GAAATGAGCACATATTCTCCTACTCTACCATCTTCTCTCGTCATCTTTATATAATATTTTCATCTTCTTGTTATTCTGTGTTACAACATTTTGAATAAGAGCACCAGACTCTCTTCCAAATATTTGTTTCTTTCTTTTGTCCTTTCTTTTCTTCCTCCATTTTCTCAGTTTCTTCTCACTTGTCATATATCTGCCTCATTTTAGAAATTCATAATGTATTATTTATAATTTTCCAGCCTGTTTGTGTAGTTTTACCTCCCTCCTCTTTTCCTCCTACTTTTCTCTTCTGCTTTCCTCCTTATTTGTGCTTAACTCCATATTGTTTGTATCTTAATACTATATTTCTGTGTTTCTTTCCCTTTACCTTTCTCCCTTCTCATCATCCTTCCTTCCAATCTCCTTCCCTCCATATTTCCCCTTCAACCCCTTCCTGCCTCTCACCATTCCACATTCTTAACATCTTCCTCTGCCCTCTTAGCTCTTTTCCAACATCCCACTTCCTCCTTTCCTACTTACTCTCTCTTCTTCATTTCCACTTCTTCTCCCCTCTCTTGTTTTGAGCTTGTATTTATTTTTATCCAGCATTTCTGTATCTCTGTAATTGGAGAGGTTTTTGGTGTGTTATTCACCATATTGTTGCATCAGTCCTCACTATTATTGGTTATTTTAAGGAAATAATTTGCATTGTTTGTTACTTTATCATTAGAACCAGATTCCTTGTGGTACATTTCATAGTGTATTAAAATAGTTTAGTGTATTACAATACCATCATTTGAGAAAAAGTTCCAAATAGTAATTTTTGTTTTTTAACAAATGAGGAGGAAGAATGATGATATTGCAAAATTTGTTGAATTTTTGGTGTTCCAACTTGGGTTATGTGATAACTTTTATAAAGGAGGTATTTAGTGCAGGTGTTTGAAATTTAAGCTCAGGAACACTGGCTTCTAAACTGTGTAATTTTTAATTATGTATGTTACAGAGCTTAAATGTCTTCAAAGTATGTAGTAGGAAATAGATACGTTAACCTTATTCATAAAAAGATCTTAAAGAGACATCTGAAATTTTTTTGTGAAAACTCAGTGAGGTCTGGAACTGTTTTGCCCCTTAAAGTTAGTATTCCCAAAGGTCTTCAAAGCATTCCTAAGCCTGAGTCAGTTTTTTACAATCTAAGAAACTTCAATCTTAATTTATGGTTGAAATGTTTATTTGATTCCTTTAAGGAAACTCTAGTTCACAAACAAACAGAAGTATTTCTAAAATTGGGGAAATTTTTGAATGTTTGAGCTTTTAGGTTCCAGCCATCAGTTTAGCACTGTGCAGAGCACTCCCTCAGACTAAAATTTTGAAAAAATATCAAAGGTTAAAGAAGCTAAGGCATGCTTCCTGTCCCCCAGAGCATCCAGTATCTATAAGAGAATAATATAATTGGCACTCCATCTTGGAGTGGTGGGTCTGCATCATCAGATTCAACCTACCATGGATCCAAAATATTTAGAAAAAATTCTAGAAAGTTCCAGAAATCAAAACTTGAATTCACTGCACCCAGTCAGCCATTTATATAGCATTTATATCGTGTTAGATTTTAAAAGTAATCTACAGATGATGTAAAGTGTGTGGGAGGATGTGCATAAGTTATATGCAGATGTTATGTCATTTTATGTAAGGGACTTGAGTGTGCCTGGACTTTGGCATCTGACGGGTTCCTGGAACCATCACCTGCTGATACAGAGGGACAGTTATACCAGCTAATGTGACATAACTAGGAGCCATATTGACTGAAATTAATGGAGGCATTCACAGATAGAGGAAAAAACAATACCCATAATGGGTTATGGGCATTTGCTGGGGGAAAGGTATTGGGTAGACGTTTTTTCCATAATCTTTCTTCCTGCTTTTCTTTTCTTTTTATATTTTCCCTTGTGTTATTATTTTATAGAGTTGTTTTTAAATTAGTGAAGCCTTCTTTTATATTATTCTTTTATATCTATTTATCCTTTTATATCCACTTTTTTGTGTTTCTTCTATTTTCCCCCTACCATGTAAATTTTGTGAATTGATGAGCAAAAGTATTTTATAAGAGTTTTTATTTGCTAACTAATCATTATAAATAGATACAGATTTAAAAAACAAATTTCTTAATTTCGATCCAGTACTTTTTATTAGTAAGTATATAGTTTCCAGGCTTTGTTTAACCTGGTGTATGGGAAGGAAATAGAGGCTGTCTTGGCTCCTAAATTATGTTGCAAAATCTTGAGTTGATTCATGTTTGCTTCTGTTACCTTTTGATTTTTTTGTTTGTTTTGCTTTGTTTTTGTTCTCATTTTCTTTTTTCCCTGGGGACATTTGTTTTGTTAGAAACATTAGTTTCAGGAAATTGATAATTATAGCAGTTTATTTATTCTGATTTCATAGTTCTTTGTTATTTCAAACTACTCTATGGGGAAAATAGAGTACTTTTCCTGTTTATTTTAGTGTATGTGTTTTATTTTGGTATTCTTTAAAATATGTTTAACTAGTATTCAGTGACTGTTACTCTTACCTTTGTTCTTTTCTTATTTTCCTTATAAATGTGTTAACACTGGAGGTGAATAGCACAGAGGCTGAGCGCATAGCCTGAAGCGCAGGCTGTGTGTGCCCGTGTCTCACTCTCTGAGACCCCGTGGACCTCCCGCCGGGCTCCTCTGCCCATGGGATTCTCCAGGCAAGGGTACTAGAGTGGGTGGCCGTGCCCTCCTCCAGGGCATCTTCCCAAACCAGGGGTTGACCCCAGGTTGCCCACATCGCAGGTGAGTTCTTTAGTCTGAGCCACAAGGGAAGCCCAGTCCAGGTGTGTTGAGTTTAAATCCATGACTTTCTTTCTTACTAACTAAATTACTTAAACTCTCTATGCCTGTTTCCTCATCTTTAGTCAGGATAATAATAATACTTATTTTATAGTGCTGTTCTGAGGAATATAGGAGTTAATTTCTATAAAGAACTTAGAAGAGTGTCTGGCATATGGGAAATATGGTTTATGTTAGCTGTTACCCCCCTTTCCCCCAGTTCTCTGAAGAGACACACAGGTACTATTACAGGTAGGAATAGAACCTGGGTGTTCTTATTCCAGTCAACTTGAGACAATGCTATTTTGCTTGTCAGTAGGTTATGCAGTATTTTCCAAGATAAAAATTTCCGAGCTACAAAGTGAATACAGTAAAATTAAAATTATTTATAATAAAACACATTTGCATGTTCAGCACTGTGCTTAGGTTTTGGAAGTACTAAGGTAGACATACTTTCTGTCCTAAAGAAGCTATAGACTAGTCCTGGAAAAGAGACAAGGAAATACTTGAGACATAATTACTTTCATGAGAGAGAATTGTAGAAAACAAAAGGAAATAGGAGAGGGCATCCATCCCTTCCTTTGGGAGGGTGAAGCAAAAGGGAAATGGTCTTGGAAAACTCCATAGGTGAGGTATCATTCAGGAGTTACTATGAATATTCATAGGATAAGATAATACACCACAAAGAGTTTAAAGTGCTATGTATTTGTTGTTAATATTTAATTTTATGCTGAAATCTTCCATTCAGCCTTAAAGCATTCCAAGAAATTAATTGATTCTTACCTTTAACTTGAGTTTACCAACAAGTAGTAGTTTTTCCTATATTTTACTCCCAGGGTGTAAAAAAAAAAATTTTTTTTTCCAGTTGCTTTTTTCAAATTTGTTTATTATAGAAGAGACACATGCTTTTTGTAAATGAATTTGAATAGTTGGAAGTATATAAACGTTATTAATTCCTCCCCCTTTCCCCAACTTTCTCACTCCCTCTGAAAACAAACAATAAAATGCATAAGTAAAGAATCTGCCTGCAATGCAGGAGAGCCTGGTTTGAATCCTGGTGGGGAAGATCTGCTGGAGAAGGGAGAGGCTGCCCACTCCAGTATTCTTGGGCTTCCCTGGTGGCTCAGAAGGTAAAGAATCTGCCTGCAGTGTGGGAGACCTGGGTTTGATCCCTGGGTTGGGAAGATCCCCTGGAGGAGGGCATGGCAATCCACTCCAATATTCTTGCCTGGAGAATCCCCATGTACAGAGAAGCCTGGTGGGTTGCAGTCCATGAGGTCGCAAAGCATTGGACAAGACAGAGCAACTAAGCCCAAGCACCTATATACTTGTGTAAATATCTTGCTTTAAATGATAATTGCCATTTCCTTAGTTTGCACTTAAAGACATTTCATGACATATCAAAGCTACTTTTTCCATTTTATTTTTATCAAAATGCTCAAAGATAGCCAAAATGAATGATTTTTGTACATTTTATCCTGTTTTCCTCACTTCATGTTTTGTTTATGCCAAGAATGTCTGTTTTGTTCAAAACCACTACATCATATCCAAATTACTTCCTGTCCGTAAAGGTCTTTTCAGATAATACGTTCTCTGTCAAAGCTTTTCTTTCCCCACCTTCACTCCTTCCTGTGTTTTGAAAGTAATTTTGTGTTAGTACCCAACACTTGCTGCTGTGGATGCAGTTAAATGTGTGGTTTTCTGTGCTTTGGATTACACTGACAGTTCTTGTAGCAGTATTTTATGAGTTTTGTAATACTTAAATGCCTATTTGTAAAGCCTGTTGTTAGATATTTAAAATAAATGTATTTTAGTCGTGTTTTATTATTCTTAGAAGTACTGATTTTTAACCGTCTGGGGGAGAAGTTACAAAATGTGAGCTGTGATTTGAAAATAAAACTTCTTTTCTTAGTTTGGTTAATGATTTTGGATGAATCTTTCTGAGACATTGTTGTCTTCAAAGATTATGATAACCTGATTTGGCCAGTTTTTAAAATTAAAACTAAAATCTTTAAAAACTAAAGTTGTGAGAATAAGGTATAAATAAATCTCTCAAATATTTTAATAGAAGTTTAAGAGCAGTTCTTTGACATTTTTGAAGGAAACTTGCCACAATAAATCTTTGCTGAATGTGGTATAAATAGTAATCACTAAAAACTGTTTTCATTTATTTTTCAGAGAATGCAGAATCCATTGATCTTAAACAGTTTTTTGACCAACATTTTTCACATATATATTATGTGTTTTTTGAGAATTTTGTTACTATTGAAGCTAGTCTTAAACAGAAAGGTAAGATGTTAAAATCAATCCTGGCTTATGCTGATGTTTCAAATAATTGTCATAAACATTCACTTAGAATAGACTCTTGCACATTGGAATTTTAGTATTATTTCACTTCTCCTCTCAAATGGCTTGTAGACACCCTGCTCACACTGTGGGTTAGCAGTAGTAACAATACCCATATTATTTTGAGAAGGCTTAGAAGATTTGTCTTTTCTCTGGTCAGATTTCCCTGTTTGCTCACCTTTACTCTGCCCTAGGGCCATCTGTCAGGTTTAAGCAGTCATTTTCATAATTTCATTTTTAAGAGTTCACTTAAGACTTTGCCACAATATATTATGATTTGTTTTTTACACATAAATATGTAGAACCTAAATTTAATTGTCTAGAAAGAGTAGAGATGTTATGGTATTGTCTACACATTGAACAGAATACAGTTTGAATATTTTATTAAAGAATCACTGAGAAAAAACTGTGCCTGAAATATTTTAAGCTTTTTAAGTGGTTGTTGACATTGAGGACAAAATGATAATGTTTAAATATTTTTCTGTAAAAATGTTTTAGGTCACAAGTCTCAAAGGGAGGAATTGGATGCTATACTTTTTATTTTTGAGGTACGTACTCACTCAAGTAACTTTTTTCCCCAAATTAATTTTTGGAACATACAAAGGAACATATTGAATATTAACAAGCGCTGTGAATCTGCCATGCTTTTAAAAAACTGAATTCTATTGTTCAACCTAAAAAAAATACCTGTCTTAATTATTTTCTGAGGTGCATTTTAGGTACAGATAGAATTAATGGTTTTATGCATTTGAAGCCACAACTGTACAATATTTACAGCATTTACAAGCAATGAAAAATTTAATTTGTGGGATCCTTACACAAATGGAGAATTTTTTTAAGAAATTCTAAAACATTCTTACTTGAGAGGGTAAATTCATGGAACTGTTATATATCTAACAAGTTCATAGTTTCTGCTTTAACTGCTTTTCATTGAAAACTTGAATAGTTTTAAACATTTTATACATTGTTGTTCTACCACATTACTTTTTATTGGGGCAGGACAGGTTTTTATTGCTAAATAAGCAGAAGGAAATAACAACATGATACTCTGTTAAAATTTCTCTTTTATTTTTAGCACAGTGATAAAAATGAGGGACACACATGCTTTTCAGATAACTCCTTACTCTTCATTCTGGCTTTCAAATCAAATAGTGATAGGAGTATTCCAATCTTTATTGAGAATTTTAGTGATCAGGAAACAGCCAGGATTAGACCTTGTGTTTTGAAAGGCGTAAAGAATTTAGAAATCAGTTTCTAAAGACTGAACTATTCTATTTACTGCTAATTAATTCACGGTCTTGTATATTGACTATTTTGGTATGGTTTAGAAGAATTTAAAGAATTTGATCTCTCAGTTGCTGAGTTAGTCACAACTTAAAAAAAGAAAGTTTTTTTTTAAGCATTCCAAAAGAAGTAACTAGTTTGGTACCTGTTCTGTAGTTAATTTTCATTAGTCATTAACCCTGAGGAATTTGCTCATATTTACCTCCCAAAGTGTTTGCATGAATAGTTTATAGGGGAAATATTAAAGCATGGATATTTTGAGAAAGAATAAAAAAGTATGTATAGAGAAAAGATAATAATTCCTGGAAAGTATTCCTTCAGACATTTGTGAAACTATATTTAGGAAATTGAGATCATTGACTAGTTAATAGAAGCTCTTTTAGGGTTTTCCTTCTATTAAGACATAATACTTATTTTTCTGTATGTAATATATACTGGTCATTTGTTACTCGTTGAACTGAAATGTTTGTCTATAATCTATCACTAAATTTCATTAGGAAAAGTAGTGTTAAATGTAGGGTTTTTATCTTTTGGAAAAAGCACTTAACCTTTTGTAAGTATGATGGTAACAGTATCTGACTTCCACCTTTAGAGACTAACGATTTAAAAGATCAAGAAATTATCTAAATAAACTGACTTCGTTTTTCTGGAATAAAATACATCTTTGTGGAATGTTAGTATGACACAGGATTGATATCCTGTTTTCTTCTGTGTAGTTAAGAGTATACATAATTTCTTTCATCTTTATATTACTGAATAAAAAGATGATAAAGTGTAATTTAATAGTGATAATGTAGAAGTACTTTAAGAAGTTCACAGACTTGTCTTTTTAGTTTTCTATAATTTTATCTCTTTCTGTACCACAATAGATATAATTATACAGCTGCTGGCTAAGTATGGGAGAAATGTAGAGGGCAAGGCTGAAGGATTTTCTGTATCTTGTGTGGGAATAGCACCTGTCTGTGAAGAACTTTGTGATTTCTTCTTCATCCTCTTACATGAGAAGGACTAGAGACGACTATCAAAAGGAAGATAGAGAAGTGTAAAGACAGGCATACCATTCTTTGAACAGAATAGTATGAAAGCACAAACTCTGGAAATAGGAATATGGAAGCTGGAATCTGTTTTTCCACTTTCTAACCTAAACACATTTCTTAACCTGTTATGGCAAATGAGATCACTCCTTTTAGGATGGTTTTGAGGATTAATGAAATATCCTTTATATAAAGTGTCTGTTATTTGGCCCTTATGAACATTGAATTAATGGTGACTCTAAGTAGTAATAAAATAGAGCAGCAATAATAACAAATACCATTCAGCAAGCAGATGAGTATTGAGAACATAGTTCAACAGCATAATAAGGCAGCTATTGAACTAGAATAATTCATACAGGTGCAATATGTAAAGGAAAATAAAGACAAAATTTTGAAGATATTATATGTAAGAAATATTCCAAACTTGTAGAAGTATGTATGGGTTAGCTTAACCATACGGCTCCTGAATTTAAAATTTTTTTTCTCATACCTATAGCCATTATAATATGTAAGTATCTTTGGGTTCATGTGATTAATTTAGTACAAGTATTTGATAGGATTTTTGTGAAGGCAAAATATTTCCCCTCTTAGGTTTATCAAAATAGGAGAAAGAAAAAAACTACTTGAAGAGAAAATATCACAGATATTAGTATCTAAAAGAATTTAAAACAGATCAGTAGTTTCCATAAAGTCTAAGAATAGAAAACAAGCCTTAAAAAATATAGTATTTCTTCACTAAAGAGAAATATAATTTTTACATCATTGTAAAAGATAAATTTCATCATTTCCTGTTCCAAGACTTAGTATAGCTTGTTTCCTGGAGTTTTCAGACACTGATCAGTATGCTGGTGCTGGAGTAGTGCCACTACCATCAGACTAGCTCGGAGATGGTTTTGTGTTTGTAATACTGTCTTCTGTGTAAGAAACTTTTAAAGGCTTTGTGTAATTCTTTAATTTTTCACATTGTTCAAGATGTGAACTTGTTACTTGCTTTTCATACTTTTCTTTGTTTTATTCATATTGATTTTTAGAAAATTTTGCAACTTCTTCCAGAAAGAATTCATCAGCGATGGCAGTTTCATAGTATTGGTAAGTAATATAAATACTATTTCACATTTGAAATAAATGATAATATTTGAACATATTCTGTAATGAGTTGGTTATTATTTGAAATGAGTTCATAGTTTATATGTTAGTAAAAATAAATAAAGAATACAGAATTAAACTTACTGGGAATATAAGAAAAACATACATGAAGGCATGCTAAATTTCATAGTGGCATGTTAAATTTCTTTGATCCACCTGTTAACTTACTCTGAATATGTTAGCAATGATGATAAACTATAAAGCCTAAAAATAAAAGTAGACTCTGCATCAAAGTAAATATTCTGTAATCAGAAATTGAAGAGAAAATGCAAAGTGCCAAGTAGAATAAGAGCCATGGGTTCCAGCTTTCAAAGCAAGCAGTGTAGGTTGGCAGTTTGCTCCATTAAAAAAAAAAGGGAGGGAACCTGGGGTTTAGCTTACTGCTTGAAGAGTCAAAGTAGAACTTCCCAGATCAAGAAATGAAGCTGAAAAGGAAAAGGGGAAAGGAAAAAAATGCAGCCCTGCTGTGGATAACTGTGAAAGACCAAGTAGGCAGGAGGTCACAGGCTTCTCTTACAAGGAGTTAAGCCAGCATCTTTGGCTTGGAGTCTGGTTCTTTAACAATCATAGCATTGCCGCAGGACTCTCTGATTCTCATTCTAAGCCTTTTTTCCCTCTTGGATGAAAAAGGAATCTGCAGGTAGGCAATTTCTGGCTTTGGTTCAGTGTCTCAATGAGAACAGAGGTGATTGCTAGTGATTCTTGTGACCTTTCTCTCGTGGTGAATACACAGACAGCCACCATATCTACATTGTTGAGGTAGAATGTTATAGGCCTTATATTCATTTGTAGAAATTGTATTTTTCTCTTAAAAAAGAGTCATAGATTTATTTAGGCCCTACAATTCTTAATCAGTTATATCAAATAAAATCTCTGAAGCTTTGAAACTATAAGTCATCCCAATTAGCAGTTCTGCAAACAAAAGAAACTACATATAGGATGGATATTGATGTAGAGGCTAAAAAAGACAAAATTTTAAATAATAAAGCCTTTTGAGAATAAACTTTCTTGATAAAGCTCAAGACTAAAAATGATGTGTCCTTAGTATATAAAGAACTCTGGCGTCTCAGTAAGACAGATAAGTTTTTTAAATATGCAAAATATTTGCGTAAATAATACACCAAAGAAGACATATGAATTGTTAATAAGTATGATAAGGTGCTCAGAAGAATAGTGTAATCCTGGTTTTTATTTTGTAATCATTAAAATGTTCTTGGTTATCTGTGAAGAAACTTCTCTAGACATCTGAACTTCTAAAGTTTTTCTCCAGAGGAATGTAGTCTTCAATCTGTAAAAGAGCTTTGCACTATCTAGTTGTCATGATCAGTAGTATTCCAATAAATGTCCAATTGGAGAAGATATATCAATGGTCATTTTTTCTTTGTCACTAAGAATCCTTTAAAAAAAAAAAGAGCAACTTGAACAACTTTACACTAACAAGTTAGGCAGTTTTTTCTTTAAAATATTTATTTATTTATTTGACTGTGCTGGGTCTTTGTTGCAGCATGTGAGATCTAGTTCCCTGACCAGGGATGGAACCCAGGCCCCCTGTATTGGGAGTACGGAATCTTAGCCACTGGATCACCAGGGAAGGCCCAAGGCAGTTTTAATAAAGTCAACAAATTCCTAGAAAGATACAAATTATTCAGACTGACTCAAAAAAGAATGTGCTCAGTCCCTCGGTTGTGTCCAGCTCTTTGCGACCCCATGGACTGTAGCCTGCCAGGCTTCTCTGTCCAGGGGATTTTCCAGGCAAAAATAGTGGAGTGGGTTGCCATTGCCTTCTCCAGCGGATCTTCCCAGCCTAAGGACTGAACGCACATTTCCTGCACTGGTGACAGATTCTTTCCCACCGAGCCACTTGGGAGCCCTTGTTTAGATTACTCACTTTCAGAGCTGCTGCCAGAAAAGCTGTATTCCATTCTGCATCTCCTTGTGTCTGTCGTCGTTCCCTGTTGTTGAATACTTTAAAAACAATCTACTAATTCATTTCAAATATACCATCTAATTTCTATAATTTTTTAATCTCTGGGGCACTTAAAGTAATAATTACAAATCTTCTCACACAGGATAGCTTAACTCCAAATATCTTAAAAAGATGTAATATCAATTGGTCACAGACTCTGAGAAAATAAAGGAACTGTTCCCAGTCTATGTACATGTCTATTATTATCTTGATAATAAAGCCAGATTAAAGACCTCACAGAAGAACACGGTAGTGTTCAATATCCATCATAAACACAGAGGCAAAAATCTTTAATAATTTATTAGCAAACTAAATTTAGTAGTATGATGAAAAGACTGTGTATAAATGGTAACCAATTGGGATTTATCTCAGGGATGCAAGGTTGGTTTAACATTTGAAAAGTATTGTGTGAAAAATACGGTATTAATAGAATAAATAGCAATGCTGTAATGCTGACTGTGATCATGCTAGTAGAAGAAAAAGCATCTGACAGAATTTACTGCCCATGTGTGATTAAAAACGCTCATCAGATTTGATTAGTTTTCCACTTAAGTTCTTTTTCTGTTCCAGGGTTCAGTTGGTGATACTACAATGCATTTAGCATGTATAGATTTTTTAGGGGAGCTGATTAAGACCTATTCTTTACATAGAATTGATCTAAGAAAATGGATTTGCTCAGACACTATGAGGGGAATTGCAAATAAATCAACACAATTTGTTGAAATAGTAAAGCTTATTTTTGTATGATAAATAAAACTTAAGCAATAGAGTCACAGTCTTAATCATTTTATGTATATATATTTCATATAAAAATATGTAATCTTGTTAATAGAAAGAAATAAAGATGCAAGATTAGAACAAATAGCTGTAGAGGAAATTTTGTTACTGGTATAAATTTTAAACATAGAAACAATTCTCAATGTTTTATGGATTTATAAATAAGTAGTAATAACACAAAATATTTTTGGAGATAATTAAAAACAAAATCTGGATAAGATTTCCTCTGGGGAAGGAAGGAGGAAAATGATTAAGGATGAGTTCACAGGAGGCTTCTGTTTATATAAAACATTATAGATAACATAAATAAATGAAAATTTGAAATTATAGGAAACATGAGACTGTTTAGATTTGTTCAAACTGAATGGTGGACTTCTGGTTGTTTGTGAATATTATTTCATTATTTTATTATAGGTTTGAAATATTGTATAATCACAAGAAAAAGGACTATTATAGATGGTTCTGAGTATTTTTAAAAGAAAAAGTAGTAATTTGTTGCGTTTCAGGTGTTTATTTGATTATATAATTTTCTACAGTGGTTTTTATTTGTATTAGTGATGGTAAAAGTATTTATTTATATTCTTAGTCTAAGTAAAATATATAGATTATTGCCCTTAAATGCAATTTTGGTTTTATTGTTTGTTTTAATAGGATAAATCATGTTTAATTCCAGTAAACCATGTGTTAAAATGGTGACTTTTTATATGCCCTCTATCCCAAGATTATGGCCAGAGGGATGTTAAGGTCACCAGGAATAATTTGGAGGTGGCCAAGGACTTGTTTTTAAAGTGTTTTCAAGTCTACTGATCACTCTTGACATTTAGAAATGAGTAAGATATGAATGTTTAAAATCATGTTTTCTTTTCAGGATTGATTTTAAAGAAACTACTACACACAGGAAACTCCTTGAAGGTATAATGTAATTATATTTTTTATATTAAAAATTTTTTGAATTAATTATCTGCAGCTGTGCTGGGTCGTCATTGCTACACAGGCTTTTTTCTAGTTGTGGCAAGCGAGGGCTACTGTCTCGTTGTGTCCTGGCCTCTCACTGCGGCGGCTTTTCTCGTGTGGCTCCTAGGCTGTAGGCCACAGGCTCGGTAGTGGTGGCGCACAGGCTTAGTTGCTCTGTGGCATGTGGGGTCTTTCTGGACAGGAATTGAACCCATGTGTCCTGCATTGGCAGGTGGTTTCTTTAGCTGTGAGCCACCAGGGAAGTCCCATTTCTGTGTTTTTTTTTTTTTTAAAACTGAGTAAAACATATAGTCAACTGCTCTACTTGCCTGCATCAGTGTTTTCCTAAATAAATTTGAATAATCTTCAGTTCCTTTGATTGAAGTGAAATCATTTAAAAAATAGCAGCATGGTCAGTATGCGTCAGGTTGACCATGCTATTGAAAACCTCTTGTAGTTTTACCACTGCATTTGACTCATTTGGCAGAAACATAGTCAGCTCTTGATGTCCATGGGTTCTACATCCATACCATTTTATACATTGGACTTAAGCACATGCTGATTTTGGTATCCATGGTAGGGGAAGTCCTGGAAGCAATACCTCGTAGATACTGAAGGACAACTGCACTTTGCCCTGTGGTCCCCAGAAGATACAAATTATTAAGCTGTTCAACAAATAATTCTTCATTTTACCATAGCTATCATGAGATGCAGAGGGAAGTAGTACATCTGTTAAAAATGGTTTGTTTATTTGTTTCTGTTCTTTTCTTCTTTTTCATTATCCCATTGTGCTGTTTAGAAAAGCTTCTCAGTCCAAAAGCATCTTGCTGTAAGTTAGGTAAAAGTCTCATTGTAGGTACTTTTGGTGTCAAGACTTGGGTTTGCAGTACAACGGGATAAGCCTTCTACAGCTTTGTCCTGTTTCTAACTGAACTGAGAGGATGGCAACAAATGCCTAGCTTTGGCAGTGGCTGTTTACAGAGCATGCATGCGTGCTAAGTCGCTTCAGTCGTGTCCAACTCTGTGCTACTCTGTGGACTGTAGCCCTCCAGGATTCTCTGTCCAGGATTCTCCAGGCAAGAATACTAGAGTGGGTTGCCATACCCTTCTCCAGGGGATCTTTCCAGCCCAGGGATTGAACGTGCATCTATTACATCTCCTGCATTGGGCAAGTGGGTTCTTTACCACTAGCACCACCTGGGAAGCTCAGTTGTCTACAGAGCTGTGGTAGAGTAATATCCGAAGCTATCAGTGAGGTTAGGTTAGTGAAGAACTTTGTGTTTTGCTTGAAGATTTGGCGTTTCCTTTGTTTTCTCCTTTTGTCTTCCTGAAAGAGCATTCTTCAGTTTAAATAATTATTTTCTGTGTATTGGGCATTGTTCTAGTTGCTTAAAAATACAGTAATAGGCCAAATTTACCCTTTAGAATCAAATTAAATCAATGAGATAATTTCAGGCTGATAAGCCTTTAAAGGACAAGAGCAGTGAGTTAGCAGTGAATCCGGATCCCCGTGACCATTCTTCCTCTTAGCAGTTAATAGTTATAGCAAGGAGTGGTCATTGCCCTCTCTCCTTTCTTCTTGATTAGAGTGGCAGTGTTGGAAAGAATGGAAGTAAACAAGAAGGAAATGATTTTGACTTTTTGTAAGTGAAAGTTATAGCATAAAAATTACCTGATAGCTTTAAGTAGTAAGAGACCAAGTTTATTTGTTCGGAATCCATAAATTTAGATTTATAAGTGCTCAGGGGGTCAATAAATTGTCATGGCCAGCATTCTGTCTCCCTCTCCTGCCTGCCTGCCTTTCTTCCTCTCCTTTGCAGAGTATCAGTGTATAACCATCTTCTAGAGAATTTTGGCATGGAAGGAAGAAAATATTTCCATCTTAAATAAATACTGTTAAATAAATAAAATACTGTTTTTCATTTCATTTCATTTTAGATTAGGCGGGAAGGTGTTCGGCTTTTCTTGTTATGGTTGCAAGCTCTTCAGAATAACTGTAGCAAAGAACAGCTTTGGATGTTTTCATGCTTAATCCCTGGATTTTCAGCGCCGCAGTCTGAATATGGACCTCGAACTTTAGATAATCTCATTAATCCTCCACTCAACCTTCAAGAAAGTAAGATTTATCTTTTCCACCATTATTTTAAAAATTTTGTGTAGTTTGTTAATGTATATTTTTAAATGTACATTTTTAACTGGTTAACCCAATGCCATATTTTTAAATGTAGGATTTATAAAACAAAACTCATAGAGAAAGGATTAGTGGTTGCCAGGGGCATTTGAACAGAGTGGGGGGAGGGGTTTGAGGGTGGGCAAAATTGGTGAAGGGGATCTAGAGTTACAGTCTTCTAGTCAGAAAGGAGATAAAATAAGTCATCAGGATGTAATGGACAGCATGGGAACTGTAGTTGATGACAGCTATTATGAATTTGAAAGTTGCTAAGAAACTAAATATTATAGTGCTTACCACAAGAAAAAAATTTTTTGTGATTTTGGTGACAGATAGTAAATACTTACTGGAGTAATTATTTTATACTGCGTGCAAATGTTGAATCATGTTGTACACCTGAAGCTAGTATAATGTATGTCAATTATACTTCAGTAAAAAAGGTAAATAAATAAAAATTTTAAAACATCCAGGTATAATGAGGCCAACAGATCAGGAGATGATTGCTGTTAAAAGATAGCTTGTTACTCACAGTTCCCAGGAGAAGGGTGTGTGCCACACCAAGGAGGGTGGTAAGACAGGGAGACACCAGGGTCAGTCGGGAATGGGGCTTGAAGGACAGGGGTGGATATCATGGGCAAGAGCTCAGTCAGAAATGTGTGAAGTAGGGTGAGCATGTCTCAGACTGGTTAGTTCGGATAATTTTATTAATAGCAGGCTCTGGGGCATAGAGGTTGTCTCTGGTTATTTGGTACCTAGTCCTAGGAATTATTAGGTTAGGGGACTAGTAGCCCTGAGTGTAAGAGCCCAACAGAGGAAGTGGTAGAGATACGGGCTCTGGATATTTAGTTTGTATTTGGAAGGCAAACTTTCAGGCCAATAGTTTTCTGTCTCTAGGAATTAGCTAGCTGTGGGAGAGGCTTTCTCACCACGGTCTGTAAGACCCCTGTTATTGTTTAATATAGGCCATTTTTACATTTAATTTTGAATTGTCATGTATCAGCTTGTATCCTTCAGCTTGTATCCTTAGGTAATTTTGATGTACACTGAAGTGCAAGTATGTTTTACTTTGTGCAAAGAGAACTGTAAAAAAGAAAAAAAAAATCTTCGGGCTTAATTTCTTGCCTGCTATTTACTCATAAATAGGTTTAGGAACCTGCTTATGCTAAAACAGGTGTACTGATTGTGTTGCCTGGGAAATGTTTAAGAGAATTTAACTAGTTGTGGGTTGATTTTCTTGAATTGCTTTTGTTATAATCAATGTCTTTGAATATCTGAAAAGTTTAAAAATGTGCAGGTTTCTTCTTTTTTTTACAAGTGGACTTCTATAAACAAGGAACTAAAATGCTAACTTTTCTTTCTGGAAGGGAAGTATTATTAGTATTTTATCCTTTGAATAAAGATGCTACCAGGGTAATCAAATTGTCCTTTAATTGATGAATAAGCATATTATTATTAATGTTTTTATAATATTCATGGAATTTTGTAGTGTACACTCTTAACCTGAATTTGAAAATATCATGAGCAGTTCTTTTTCAGGCCAGTGTTATTCACTCTTAATCCCTAAATATCTGTCCATCCCTGTGTCACATTTCCTTGATCAGGGATCATGAAACAGTTGATTATTAAAGTTGATGGTTGTTGTGATGGGCTGTCAATATGACCTTAGATTTATTTCAAGTTTCAGTCATTAGAATGTTCTCAAGCTTGGCTTATTCTTTGCTTATCCGTTTTGTAGTTAAATTTTATTTGGGTCATGTTATCACATTCTGAAATTTGTGGTTATATCAAACTTTTGTCTTGGATAGCTCAAGTCACTATAGAGGAAATCACTCCACTTGTCCCCCCACAATCAGGAGATAAAGGACAAGAAGATCTTACAAGCTATTTTCTTGAAGCACTTTTAAAATATATAGTAATTCAGGTATGTGTAATCTTCTTTTATATCACCCTCCTTACTATCCTGTGGGTAGTTCATTTTCAACTCCATCCAGTTATTCTGTCATAGTAGATACTTGCTTATTTTCCTAAAGGAGGAGTAACAAATTTTTACTTCTGAAAATATATGTTAATATGCCTTTCCTGAAATAAAATCACTAGAGGAATTATGAACCTCTTAGGGAGCTGGAGAGAGAAATTTTTATAGTAGACTCTTTATACAGTCAGCAAAAACAAGACCAGGAGCTGACTGTGACTCAGATCATGAACTCCTTATTGCCAAAATCAGACTTAAATTGAAGAAAGTAGGGAAAACCGCTAGACCATTCAGGAATGACCTAAATCTAATCCCTTACAACTATACAGTGAAAGTGACAAATAGATTCAAGGGATTAGATTTGATAGAGTGCCCAAAGAACTATGGACAGAGGTTCGTGTCATTGTACAGGAGGCAGGGATCAAGACCATCCCAAAGAAAAAGTAATGCAAAAAGGCAAAATGGTTGTCTGAGGAGGCCTTACAAACAGCTATGAAAAGAAGAGAACTGAAGGCAAAGGAGAAAAGGAAAGATATTCCCATTTAAATGCAGAGTTCCAAAGAATAGCAAGGAGAGATAAGAAAGCCTTCCTCAGGATCATTGCAAAGAAATAGAGGAAAGCAATAGAATGGGGAAGACTAGAGATCTCTTCAAGATTATTAGAGATACCAAGGGAACATTTCATGCAGAGATGGGCACAATAAAGGACAGAAATGGTATGGACTTAACAGAAGCAGAAGATATTAAGAAGAGGTGGCAAGCATTGACAGAACTATACAAAAAAGATCTTCATGACCCAGATAATCACAATGGTGTGATCACTCACCTAGAGTCAGACATCCTGGAATGCGAAGTCAAGTGGGCCTTAGGAAGCATCACTGTGAACAAAGCTAGTGGAGGTGATGGAATTCCAGTTGAGTTATTTCAGATCCTAAAAGATGATGCTGTGAAAGTGCTGCACTCTATATTGCCAGCAAATTTGGAAAACTCCGCAGTGGCCACAGTACTGGAAGAGGTCAGTTTTTATTCCAATCCCAAAGAAAGGCAATGCCAAAGAATGCTCAAACTACCGCACAATTGCACTCACCTCACACACTATCAAAGTAATGCTCAAAATTCTCCAAGCCAGGCTTCAACAGTATGTGAACTGAGAACTTCCAGATGTTCAAGCTGGATTTAGAAAAGGCAGAGGAACCAGAGATCAAATTGCCAACATCCACCGGATCATCAAAAAAGCAAGAGAGTTCCAGAAAAACATATACTTCTGCTTTTATGGCTACGCCAAAGCCTCTGACTGTCTGGATCACCACAAACTGTGGAAAATTCAAGAGATGGGTATACCAGACCACCCGACCTGCCTCCTGAGAAATCTGTATGCAGTTCGAGAAGTAACAGTTAGAACTGGACATGAAACAACAGACTGGTTTCAAATCGGGAAAGGAGTACGTCGGGGCTGTGTATTGTCCCCCTGCCCATTTAACTTATATGCAGAGTACATCATGAGAAATGCTGGATTGGATGAAGCACAGGCTGGAATCAAAATTGCTTGGAGAAATATCAATAACCTCAGATATGCAGATGACCACCCTTATGACAGAAAGTGAAGAATCAAAGAGCCTCTTGATGAAAGTGAAAGAGGAGAGTGAAAAAGCTGGTTTAAAACTGAGCATTCAGAAAACTAAGATCATGGCATCCAGTCCCATCACTTCTCAGTAAATAGATGGGGAAATAGTGGAAACGGTGAGAGACTTAATTTTGGGGGGCTCCAAAATCATTGCAGATGGTGACTGCAGCCATGAAATTAAAAGACACTCCTTGAAAGAAAAGTTATGACCAACCTGGATAGCATATTAAAAAGCAGATACATTACTTTGTCAACAAAGGTCTGTCTAGTCAAGCATATGGTTTTTCCAGTAGTCATGTATGGGTGTGAGAGTTGCACTATAATGAAAACTGAGCACAGAAGAATTGATGCTTTTGAACTGTGGTGTTGGAGAAGCCTCTTGAGAGTCCCTTAGACAGCAAGGAGATCCAACCAGTCCATCCTAAAGGAAATCAGTCCTGCATATTCATTGGAAGGACTGATGTTGAAGCTGAAACTCCAATCCTTTGGCCACCTGATGCGAAGAACTGACTCATTTGAAAAAACCCTGATGCTGGGAAAGATTGAAGGTGGGAGGAGAAGGGGACAACAGAGGGATGAGATGGTTGGATGGCATCACTGACTTGATGGACCTGAGTTTGAGTACCGGGAGTTGGTGATGGGCAGGGAGGCCTGGCGTGCTGCTGTACGTGGGGTTGCAAAGAGTCAGACACAACTGAGCGACTGAACTAAACAGAACTGAACTTTATGTGTATATACCTTATGTGAGCCAGTTGTGTTTACTTTCTAATGTTTCATTTATAGTTAGCAGCTATGGTACTTTAAATGAAAAATCATTTGATTTAGGGATCAATCTGACTACAGGCAGCAATTGAGGAGGTGGACCGAGGATGCCCTTAGAGGGTGGAGGGATGTAATTTGTACTTAAACCTACTTGTACTTTTAAAATTTCTAGGTGCATGTATTATGTAAGATAACCTTTTTGTCTCTATATATGAAGTGTGCATATCCTGATTGAAGAAAACACTTTTAGCATGTACACATTTCTTTTAATTGTTCTGAACACAAAAATTCCCTGTGTCTCAGAAACAAACATTATGAAGTTAATTTGCACCCTGAATGGGATGGCCAGGGTTTGAATCCTACTCTGCATCTTACTGATAGTGTGACTTTTGGTAAATTACTTAACCTCTTTGTGCCCAAAGTAGAGACAAAACAATAATACATATCTCATTTTGGTGTTTGGGGCTTAAGTAATTAGTGTATAGTACTTAGAATAACCAACTACGATATAGTATGTGTTTTGTAGTGAGTAGTTACCGTTACTGTCAGTATTACCAGTGGTTATTTTAAAAAGTCTGTTGTACTTCATGTAAATTTTTAAAATTGTTTACTGGTTTATTGAGATACCTTTTATGTACAGTAAACTGGTAATGTTCATTTTAATGAATTTTATTACATGTAAATACCCATGAGACCATCACAACAATCAAGATAATGTATCTATCACCCCTCAAAGTTCCCAGATCCCATGGTAATCCACCCATCTGTACCTGCCTGTCACCCTTCATCATCTTGTTCCCCAGGCAACTGTTGATATGATTTACTGTCACTGTAGTTTTCATCTTCTGTATTTTCATATAAATGGAATCATATTGTACCTTTTTTTCTTTTATTTTTGGTCTGGCTTTTTTTTTTCCCCAGCATAATAATTTAAAAAATCTTATTGTATGTATCTACAGTTTGGTTCTTTTTATTGCTGAGTAACTTTTCAGTGTATGGATATGCTATCATCTGTTATCCAGTCATTTACTGATGGTACGGTGAATTGTTTCTAGTTTTGGGCTATTACAGATAAAACTACTATGATTATTGGTAAATAAGTCTGTGTGTGAATATAGACTTTCTTTTCCCTTGGGTAAATACCTAGTGGTGGAATGGCTAGATTGTATGGTACGTATGTATTGACTTTTCCCCAAATGGTTGTACCTTTTATATTCCACTCGCAGTGTATGAGACTATATATGGTTGCTTCATATCCTCACCATCAGTTGATGTGGTCAGTCTGTAGTTTTTTTTAAAGTTAATGTACAGTAGTATCTTGCTGTGGTCTACTCCGGGCCTTTGTTATCCCCCTACTTAGATATCTTCCTCAGCCTACTGGAGTTTTCACACCCCATATTTCACAACTGTGCTCCTTCTGACTTGCTCTGCTCTACACTTCATGGATCCTTTCCTCACCCCTGTAAGACTCTTGAGTCCCCACTGAACTGCTGCCTCTGTTACACTCCCTTCATGGATGCCTTCTGCGGTCAGGCTCTCATTGCCTGCACTTGACTGGCACTGTTTCATACCTTCCTCTTTCCTCTCACATAGGCCTGTTTTGTTTGACTTTTAGGCTGAATTATTCAGGAAGGGAGAAAGAGGAAAGATCACTATAATCTTTGTCAGTAGTAGAGCCAAGTTTTAAGTCAACTTTGACAGTTTTCCAGGGCACATTATAAGATTTTTGAAAAACATATATCGTTGACTTTTGAACAATATAGGTCCCCTTATACACAGATATTTTTCAGTAAATATGAGCTACACTACTGCACAAGCCAGTGATGCTTGAATCTATGTATATGGAGGGCTGACTGCAATGTTACAAATGGATTTTTAAGTGCACAGAGGATCAGCACTTTAACCCCCAGGTTGTTCAGGGGTCAACTGTATAACGTATTTGCATGGCACAAATTTTTCTGTTTACATAAACATACGTACATACGCAGATTTAGCTTTTTATCTTTGTAGTCTAAGTTTAGTTTATTGCTTAGGTAGCCTCTTATAAGCTTGTTTTTAACAGCTAGTATTTTTTTTCCTCCTGGAATAATTCTAATTTTTTGTTTATTTTTAGGTTAAAAGTTTAGAATGGAAGAACAAAGAAAACCAAGAAAGAGGATTTTCATTTTTGTTTTCACATTTTAAGAAATATTATTTGCCTTATATTTTCCCAAACATCTGTAAGGAGAATAGTTTATATCACCCTGTACTTGGTAAGTAATCTTTGTAATTTTCTAAAATATTATACATAAGAGTAAAACATCCATCTGTATGAATTTAGCATTTATTACCTGCAAAAAACTTGCCACATTTAATTTGTGTTGATTAATTGGAGATAGTGTACCATGATTCATACTGAATTTCATACTGAAAGTGCAGTTTTATTAGTGGAGAATTTTCATTCTGAGTAAAGAGATTTATCAAAAACTTATTTCTGGGTATCACCTCTTGGAGAAGTTAGCCTACCAGGAATATTTATGATCACAAATTAAACTTAATTCTAATGTTTGGTATCATCTTTAAACTATTCTGTAAAACTTTTTAATGGTCCCTCGAAGGTTTGGTTTTGTATGTCTTTTTCAAACTCTGTATGAATAATTACATTGATATATATTTTGATCATATCTTGTCCAGTATTTAGTGACTGTGCCAAAATGTCTTTCGGAACCTTGAAGCTGTAACCTCAAGGACAAATCCTGGGTTAGAAGTAGACCACTGCCATGTATAGAAGGCATTGATAGCCTGTATGTGGAAATGTCTTTTTTGCACAAAGATGTTTCTGTTTTAAAACTCTGCCAAGTTTAGACAACTCAGAAGCTTAGGCACAGTCATTAAGGCTGGTAGAAATAACTTAAATTAGAGTAGTAGACCTTTACCACTGAAAATAATATTTGCTTTAAAAATAATTTTTCTGTGAAAATTCTCATACTTTGTATGATATCAAAATATGTGTCTCAGACTTAGTTAATTGAAGTGGGCTCTCATTAATTTTAAATGGCTCTGGAAATTTCTTAGAATTTTTAATGATTTTTTTAGTGATATTTTTGCACATTTCCATATATCAGCTGTATATGGTTCAGTCTTCTAGATTCCATGCTAACATCTAGCAAATTATTTTAAAATGTATGTATGCTGTTTCTTAAATTAGGATATTATCACAATGTTTCCTGAAATATTTAAAAACATAGATTTATCTAAGCATAATTCCTTTCTTATTCTGGTTTTTGTTTCATTCTGCATAGATATCCCACAGATGAGACCAAAGCCACATTATGTCATGATAAAGAAGGATGCTGAAACCAATGAGGCAATCTATTGTACAAAGGAGCCTTTCATTAAGGCTCGTGTTATTGTCATTCGTTGGCTGGTTTCATTCTGGCTGGAGCCAAAGCCGCATACAGGACCTCATATTCCTGGGATGGAAGGTGAAGTCTTGCCAAAAAATATTCAGGTAATACACACACAGAGCAAACTTGTTAAAGTTAAAAATGGGTTTAGGGATTTGTCCACTGATTTCAGTTCCTTAGATGTAGAGCACATTGAAAACAAATAATAACACTACATTCTTTTTATAAATGTATTTTGTAAATCCAGATTTTTATAAGTACTATAGAAACAATTTTCTTAATGAAAAATGCAGTTTGTAAACTTGTAAGGTATAGAAGATAATTTTAGTCATATGCAAGTCTCAGCTTATTTATTTCATGTTAATTGTATAGTACTAAAAATATTCTAAATTGTGCAAATTCTTGCAATTGGAAACAACTTGCAATTAAATGACCTTCGTGGTGCTATTTATTTTTTATTTACTTTTAAAATATTTAGTTACTTATTTTGATTGCATTGAGTCTTGTAGCACACCAGCTCAGTAGTTGCTCTGTAGCATATGGGATCTTAGTTACCCAACCAAGGATCAAACTCACATTCCCTGCGTTGGAAGACAGATTCTTAACCACTGAACCACCAGGGAAATCCCATTCATAGAGTACTGTTTTAAAGTCCTGTCACCATGTCATGTCCCCTTTTTTCAGGAACACTGACTCTAGAAATGTGATATAAAGTTACACAGCTATGTAGCGGAAGGGCTAATATTTAAAATTCTGTTATTTTTAAATAAACCATTACCCTCTTTTTTCACTTGCCCCTCCTGTCAGTGTGCATTTTTTTTCCTGAAATTGTCTTTTCAGTTGATTTTCAATTTATTTTTATTTTCCTCTTCTCAGATTTCCTCATTTAGTTTTAAAAATATTTTATATGTGTGTGCTTTTTATACAACCTCTTTAAGTACTGTGAAAGTTAAGTGGAGGTATAAAGGATGTTCATTAACATTCAGAAAATTTGACTTATATTCCCTCTAGCCTTTTATTTGTCTGTAGCAGATTATGTGATGTGTTTTCCCCAAAACATTGTTCTAGGTTCTCTACAAAGAATTTTTGAATGTGGACACTCTCAAGCAGAACTATGCTTTCTGATCCCAGAATTCAATAAACTAAAAATCAAAATATTTTTTTTTTTTTAGTTGGGAAGGCACATTTGAGATCATTTACATATTTAAAACCCTTTTATTTTATAGATGATAGAACTGAGACCAAAAATTGAATAACATACCAGAAAGTATATTATCATTCTGCTATATAGTGCTACCTGTCATACCATGGCAGTAATTTATCACTGCCTTAAGACTTTTACTTTTGCCCTAAGTTTAGCCATCATCTTCAGTCATAGTGAAAATTGTTAAATTATTAGAATGCAGAGTTTTCTAATATATAGTTTATGTTAGCTTCATTTCTACTTTTTCTGTCATATTTTTTTCTGTTCCTTTGCTTTTTTTAAGAAGTTTTGCTTGCATAATCTTTGTTTATGTTAAAATAGAGATGACTTTACACATTTAAGACAAGAAATAGTCCAGTTTTAAGGTATTTGTTATTGAAGATCAAGCTGACTCCATTGGCATTATTCTTTTACCCAGTCTAATTCGTAACTTGTTTGTGCTGCAAACACATTGAAAAACTTAATTGAATAGATGTTTAATGAGTATCACTATTTCACTTAGATATTGAGTTATTTCATTGCCATTTAATTATTTAGCATGGATTCTAAATGAAACTCTATTCCTAGATTTTAAACAATACTATAAGTTACTTATGGAATGCTTTGGATTTTGTCAGTATTTGCTATTGGAAGACAAAATGTTGAGTTAAATGATTGTGATATTCTCCCCCTTTTGTTTTTATTTTAGAGAGCAGCTGCTAGTTTGGTATCCAGAGAAGAAAACAAAAATGATAATGCTGATAAAGCAGATAGAAGTACAGAACCTGAACAGTCTCATTCCAACACAAGCACTCTCACGGAACGAGAACCTAGCTCTTCTAGTCTCTGTAGTATTGATGAAGAGCATCTCACAGACATTGAAATAGTTCGCAGAGTTTTTTCTTCTAAAAGAAGTAACGTTAACTTTGTCACAGAGATATTTCGTCAGGTAAAATATCTCTCAATATTTTTAATTTGTAATACAAACTTTGCCTTTAATATTGAATATACTGACTTTTAGCTATTTAGAATTTATTCTTCATGAAAAAGTTTTTTAAAGTTCATATTTAGTTTTTAAAACTTACTACATCTAATCCTTGAATATTTTCAGTTATTTTTTTAGTTTATAATAACTTTGGTTTAATAATTATCCCCCCAATATTTCTTCTGTTACCAGAATAATTTTCTTAGTTACTCACTTTATGGTTTGAAAGTTTTCTTCCTATAATTTTTTAATAAGTTATAGTAAAATTATTTATCTTTCACTTTAAAATTAATAAAAAGTGATTTATGAATACAGAGTGTCTTTATCCTCTTCATGGAGGCTCGGTTTTGTCTTCTAAGGCATTCTGAAATTAAATTTGCTTAAGGCATATATTGTTTGGGAAATAAAGAAGAGGGAAGGGAAAAGAATAAACGCTATTTCACATGGAGGTAGTTAGAAATTCCTAAGTGCACATTTTCAGTTACATAGAAATTTTATGGGAAAATAAACCTTTTGAAAACTAATCATTTGCTCTTAATAGCAAAGGTACTTAACTTTTACAGGTAAACATCATTGAGTTTTGTAGCTGAAGGGGATCATTCAAGTCTCACTGCAAGTAAGTGGTAGATCCTGGACTAAAATTCTGTTAGTACTCTTTATTCTGTGCTACACTGTCTTCACATGCCAGGGTGCTCTCCAGGCAAAGCAGATTTTCATCTCCTACATGTTTGTTAATATGTAAAAGAAAGCATGAGGCAGCATTAGCTTTGTCAGTCTGAGGTAAACAAATGAGCTGTAACATTTTGTCCAGTTTGGCAGTGAGTTGCCAGCTTTAGGGTTTGGGTTGACAGGATATATGACAAGTGCAAAGGGAAAGATATTTGACAAGTATGAGTGGAATACTTTGCTTATGGGAAAATTTAAAGCTTATAGAACTATAAAGGTTCTCTGGTTCTTGAGTCAGTTTGAGAATGTTTTTGTAGGAATTTGTTCATTACATTTGTTTTTAAATGCATGCTCTTATAATCTTTTTAAATCTCTGGAGCATTTATATTCATGTTTTTTCTTGTCATTCCTGTTAGTATTTGTTCCTTGTTTGTTTTTTCTTGATGATTCTTACCAGAGATTTGTCAGTTTTATTAGTCTTTGGAAAGAGTGAACTTTTGGCCTTGTTGATCCTCTGTGTATTATGTTCATTTTCTCATTTATTAATTTTGCTACTTGTTATTTCTTTCTACTTTTCTTGATTTTATTTGATGGTTCTTCTGCTAGCTAATTTAATTAGCCTCATTTTTTTCATATAAGCATTTTTGAGACTGTTAATTTACCTCTTAATGCTATTTTAGCTACAGTCTACAAACTTTGTATGTGTATTATTCACTTCTAAGTGTTTTCTAATTTTCTTGTTAATACCTTCTTTGACCTGTGAGTTATTTAGGTGTCCATCTGCCAAACAAATAAGGTTTTTCTAGTTTTCTTTTTTCTCTCAGATTTCTAATGTGATTCTTTTTGGTCAGAGGATATAATTTGTGTAATCAGTATGTAGGCCATCCTCATAAATGTCCTGTTTTTGAAGAGAATGTATTCTTTTCTATGAAGTTCATGATTTTTAAAGTTTATTAAATCAAGCTTATTATTTTGTTGGTGAACTTTTCTGTATTCTTACCTAAAATTTTTGGTCAGCTTGACCTCACAGTTATTGAGAAGGTGTGGTAAAATCTTTTGTTCTGATGGTGATTTGCTTATTTTTTTCTTTGTAGTTCCATAAATTTTCCTTTGTATATTTTGAAGCTTTGTAATTAAGTACATACATATTTATAATTTTATATCTTCTTGGTGAGTTAAACTTTTTGTTTATGGACCTTTTAATCTGCAGAAATTATCTGTAGTAAAAAAGAAAACTTAATTTGCTTAAAGTCTACCTATAGTAGTCTGTCTACTTTTAGTACACTAATACCACTTTTTATTAGAATTAATCCTCATGTATTTTTTTTAATTCTTCAATTTTCAGCCCTTTTTATTACATTTTATATGTCTCTTATAAATATGGTTGGATTTTAAAAAATCTTTGTCTTTTAACTGAAATATTTATTATAATTACTGATATGTTTGGATTTACTGATATGATCTTGTTTTGTTCTTTTTATTTTTCTTGTGTCTGTATTTATATTCCTCTTATTTTTTGCTTTTATTTAATTGATGTTTTTTCATTCTGTATCCTCCTTCCTATCACTTGGTTTGAGAGTTTTTTCTTTTCCTTGTCCTTTAGTGATAACTATCTCAATTTTAACATACATACTTCACTTTCCAGGTATAAAGTTATTATTTTTTTACCCTCTTCCTAATCAATACAAGGCTAACAGAAACCTATTATTCTAATTTAGCCCCAAATTAAATTATTGTTATTAACAAATAATTCAGTTCTATTTTGCATGTTTATATATTTAACTCCAGTATCATCATTATCTGTGTGTTCAGTTGATTTACAGTTAGCTTTATTCATCACTCCTTTTGATTATGATTTCTTCCTTTTCAGATCTTTCATTTAGAATTACTTTCCTCTGCTTGAAGTTCATCATTTAGAATTTACTTTAGTGGATGTCAAACACTTATAAATTTTTGCTCTGAGAATACCTTTATTTTGCCCACATATTTTTTCCACTGGATATGAAATTCTAGATTGACAGTTATTTTCACCCAGTACATTTCAGATACTTTCCCACTTTTCTGGGTTACTGTTCACATGTCAATTAGCAGTTGACTCTTGATGCTTTATAGGTCAGTTGTCTTTTCTCTGGCTTTTAATACCTTTTTTTTTTTTTTAACTATTTGGCATTTTGTATTTTACTGTGGCATATTTGGGACTTCCCTGATAGCTCAGTTGGTAAAGAATCACCTGCAATGCAGGAGAGTCCAGTTCGATTCCTGAATCAGGGAGATCCACTGGAGAATGGATAGGCTACCCACTCCAGTATTCTCGGGCTTCCTCTGTAGCTCAGTTGGTAAAGAATCCACCTGCTATGTGGGAGACCTGGGTTTGATCCCTTGGTTGAGAAGAGCTCCTGGAGAAGGGAAAGGCTACACACCCCCCCCCCCCACACCCCCCCCCCCCCAGTATTCTGGCCTGGAGAATTCCATGGACTACAGTCCATGGGGTCGCAAAGAGCCGGACACCACTGAGTGACTTTCACTTTCATTTTTCACTGTTCAGGTCTAGATTTCCTTTTATTCTTCAGGGGATACTTGGGGGATACTGTATTTATGGATTAGTATAATTTGACAGTTCTGGAAAATTTCCAGCCATTCTGTCTTTAAATATTGGCTCTGTCCTTTTTTCTTTTTTTCTTCTTTTTTACATTTCAAGATATGTGTTAAACCTTCCTGCTTTACACATCTACTAATCTCACATATATATTTTCAGCCTCTTTGTCTCTCCATGCTACATTCTGATTACTTTCTTTCTAATTACAACTGTTTCTGGAAGTTGGCCAGTCTGTTTGGTCAATTTTAGGTCTCTAGTTCATACCTTACTTTTTATGTATTGATATGAAAATTTTTTATTATATTTATATCTTATTTTCTGTTGATTGATTGATTGATCCTACTGATATCCCTGAAGTCTTTATAGGTCTGAGTCTGCCATATTTTGTTTCTGAATGCTCTTTCTCATGGTGCTATATATTCTCTTGAAATATTTTGTGATCAGAATTTTGATTCTGAGCTTTTGCTACTTACGACTGTTTCTTGATTTGTTTGTTAAAGGTTGATTGTTCCAGAAAGGGGATGCATTTACTTCATATAGATGCAAGGAAACTCTTCCAATCTCACATTAAACTGAATTCCTAAAGTTTAAGCCAGCCAGATAATATGAACGTACAAGTGTAAACCTGTATTACGGCTAGCTTTTGGTTACAGTGTCTCTGAAGAGATGTCTGTTATCTACTTTGCCTCTTTGTACAGGCAGTTTTCCTTGCAGACTTTTAATGGGGTAGTTTTAAGTGATGGGACTGGAAGCCATGATCTTTATTTTCTGAATGTTGAGTTTTAAGTCAGCTTTTTCACTCTCCTCTTTCACTTTCATCAAGAGACTCTTATAGGTCCCCTTTACTTTCTACCATAAGGGTGGTGTCATCTGCATATCTGAGGTTATTGATATTTCTCCCAGCAATCTTGATTCCAGCTTATGCTTCATCCAGCCTGGCATTTCGCTGATGATATATATTCCTTTGGAACTCCAACTTTGTTTGGAGGTTTCCTATCATTCTTTCTTCCTTGCCCCTTTAGATCCATAAAAACCAGAGTAATTGGTTCCATTCAAAATGAAACCACTTTATTGTTACACCTAAAACCTCTCTTGAGTTTGGACCTCATGTAGGTTTAAATATCTGTGTAGTGATTTTTTTTTTACAGTGGCTTATTCATATTTTCACTTTCTTAATATTAAAACGTATTGAAATATTCATATTCCTTATTCTAGTAGTTCTGGTAACTTAGGTTTTTGCTGTTCTGGCCTTGTTTGTTGTTTGTTTATTCACCCTCATTTGTTTGGATTTTTATGTTAAGAGCTTGCATTTCTTTGGAATCTTAAAACCTGGTTGAAGCTTGTGTTCCTCCAGAGAAGATTTGCACTTGCTTCTCTCAGGTGTTCAGGAGTCCTATCAACCTTGGTTTACTTTACATTACAATTCTTTGCTCAAGATTTTTCTCACTTTGCAGCACTCAAAAGTTAGGTCATAGCCAGCCTGTGAATATGAGTTTCCAGGGAAGACTGGTATTCCTTACTCGAAGTCAGCAGACAAGTTTCCTTACTGACTCTTCTCTGCAGTCAAGTTTTTTCTTCCTGTCCTAGCTCACCATTGTTTTGAGGATGTACCCTTGATTGGTTTTACATTTATGTGGTCTTTCTGGTCCACACAGAGGGCGTTTAATGCAAAGCTCTGAAGGCTGTCTAAGGCAACACCCACCTGTTGCATTGCTTACTCGTCCCTCTAGATCAACACTTTCATTTTGTTCTAGACTCAGCATATCCTTACAAGCTGAGCCATTCATTTAAAAGGTATATTATACTTTTTATGTGACAACTTTTAGGTGTTCTGTGCGAGTAGATTCTAGGGTATCTTTCTTACAATACTTCCAGGAACTGAAGTTCTCTGAGATGTTATTTTTATTGTAACAGCTGCTTTTTAAAAGTGGTTTTTAAGGCAAAACTTAAATAGATTTTAGGATAGTGACTTCAATGAATCATTAATGTTTTGAAAGGAATCAATTTCTAAGATTAGATTGTAGTAGAAAAGCTATTTTTACTTGCTTAATACTGATGATAAGTTTGCACAATGGAGAATCTGTGTAATAATTTCTTTCTTAATTTGAAGGCTCATATGTTTCATATTGTGGTATAGACAGAAATATTTAATTAATTATTAGGTATATGGGCATATGATGATTTTGCCCTTAGCAGTCCCAGCTAGAGCCCAAGTCCCTCTGTAGGTAAGTTTAGTAGAAATGTCTTATCTTTTCATCTTTCAAATAATTTCATTGTCATAGCCATTACACTAAACTGGTTCCCTGTCTTCAGCTTTCCTCTCTTTCCTTCCACCTCCTCTTCTTACCTGGCTACTCAACCTTTAGGATCATAGCTTAAATGTGAGTACACCAGAAAAGTCTTCCATGACCACCCTCACCCATTCACGTGCCCACCCACGAAGCAGGTATATGCACGTGCACCTACACATACACACACATGCTCAATAAGGACCTCTTTTTAATGATGTTTTTGAAAACTATACTTTGCTTCATAGTATCTCTCCTGAGTTATAGAAATTTTTTAATGTTTAATTTTGATCTTTCTTATTACCCCCCATAAATACTAGCTTACTCATTCATCATTGTAGCCATAGTGCCTGGCAGTGAGTTAGGCACCAAATAAATTTTGGTGAATTTGTTTAGTGAATTTTGGTGAGCTATCAAATTTGATGAATTAATCAAGAAGCTCAGTAACTGTTGAGTGCTGGGCACTTTGTTAGTGCTAGCTGTGGGCTAACATGTATTTCTAGAAGCCAAGTCTTGAGATAATTTGTTATATAGGTAATAATTTTTTTTAATACCACTTTAATGATTGTGAGTTCTATCTCAGATGAGGGTATCTATAATTTTATGTGTCTTTAAAAGAAAGGTACAGCTGTAAAGCGTAAATTCCCAGATTATTTGAAATGATAAAATTATTCTCCATATCCCTTCAGTTCAGTATAGAATGGGCATAATAACACTCTAGACATCAACACTATATTTTATGAATAAACCCATTCTTTGTGCTGTATGTTGTTAGTACTTGGAGGCTACAGTGAGGAGCCACAGGTACTTTGATGTGAGGTAAATAAAACACATAGTTTAACCTTTAAAAGCACCACAGATTTATTTATATGTATATAATTTTAAAATATATAAATATACATATATATGTAAAAAAAAATTTTCCGAAGGCAGTGGGTGGCAAAGTATAATCTGGGGCTCCTGAGACATCCCGAGAACATTTTGAGGTTCATAAGGTCAAAACCTTTTTCACTGTTGCAGTGAAATTTTCCCAAATGTACAGTGGGGAAAGTATATAGTGTACAGTGAAATTTTCCCCAGGATACCTGACATATGATATTGTGTCAGATTTAATGAGGAAGCAAGTGGGTTAGAAAATCCAACTGTCTTCTATTAAGCTAAACATTAAAGAGATTTACAAAAAAGTAAATAATTCTACTCTTCTCTTAATTTGGAAAAGGAATTATTCATGTTAACATACATTAGATTAAGTATTCTGAGACAAAATGTGAACCTCTTTGTCTCTAAGGAGGTTTGTCTCTAATCTTTTTGTCTCTAAGCTCTTTGTCTCTAAGGAGACAAAAATTTCCCAGGTCTGCTAAATGCTCACTGTATTTAAGTTTAAAGAATGTGTCCGTCACAATCTGGGTTGTTAATAATGGAAGCCCATTAAAAAAGTAATCAGAGACTAACATGTTTTGTTAGTGTTTTTTCACCAAAGAAGAGAGGCTTAGCTACCAGTAAATCAGATCCCGTTGGCAAAGCCAGTTATTAGAAAACTATGTACCAGGTTGCCTTAAGCTGATACCATTAAATATTTTACTTATTTTCTTATCTCTTGTTGTTTTGATTCTTTCTCCCTGTAATTTTCTGGTTCTGATGTAGTTTTATGGTCATAGAATCATGAAAGTGGAGATGACCTCTACCTACTCAGAGAAAATTTGCTGAGTATTGATTGACATATTCTTGCCTATAATGACAGACTCCCTTATTATCAATTAATACTTGTATCTGATTGTGAGTGGTACTTCTTTGTAGAAAGATTATGGTGCCACTGTGTGGATTTGACTTCCCTGGTGGCTCAGAACGGTAAAGCGTCTGCCTACAGTGTGGGAGACCCGGGTTCAGTCCCTGTATCAGGAAGATCTCCTGGAGAAGGAAATGGCAACCCACTCCAGTATTCTTGCCTGGAAAATCCTGTGGATGGAGGAGCCTGGTAGGCTACATACAGTCCATGGGGTCACGAAGAGTTGGACACGACTGAGTGACTTCTCTCTTTAGGTTCAAAACAAAAATGAGCAGAAAATACAGAGACTTCTCATGCTAATTTTTAAGTAAATTTTTCAGTATTTGAGAATAGAACTTTTAGAGATTGAGCTTTTTTTTTCTTTTAATATTTTTAAGGAGCTCTGAAGTGTTGCTTCAGTTGTAAAATGGTCTTAGAGCAGGCAGTGATGATCAAAATTATGCCATTGACCATTAAACTGTCAGAACATGAGAATGAGATTTAGGAATGGGTTTGTTCAGTGGAGGAAAGTAACAAGTAATGCAGTTTTCTAGGGAATCAATAATAGCAATAAATAAAAGGATTACCAAACAACATGAAATACCCTATTGATATTACACATGAGCTTTTCATCATTATTTTCTTGGCTAGTTTCAGTCAGATAAAGTAGTCTTTTGACCCCATGATTGTTATTAAATATTCATAGATAATTCTAGAATAGAAAGTATCAGGTTTTAGGTAAAGGTTTTGTGATTTTTACAGTTGAAATTCATAGATAATCATTATGAAACATACAAAAACAAGTAAGTTGAATACCAATTTTATTTGTTAAAAAAATACAATGAAAATGTTAACACATAAACACAAATATTATAAGGGAAGGACTTTGAGTAGTGAGACTGAGTGTTTTTCTTGCTTTATTTTTGTAAGTATGAATTGTATAAAAAAGCTTTTTTTTTTCTGTGATGATGTTTTTGTGTTGAGGAAAATGTTATTTTCAAACTTAAGATTACCACTGAAAGGAAAGGATAACTGTAAGGTATTCCTTTAAACTTTCTAAATATTTTTGCCATATTATTTAGCTCTGACCTTTTTAAACAGTATCTTGTGAAAAGCTAAGTTGCCTTGTTACATAGTGTTTTTATTGCTTTTTGGAGTCATTTTTTAAATAAAAGTCTTTTTATCAAAATTTATTTTAATCTACAAAAATGTGATTTATTATGAAAAGTTGTATTTACTTTAAACTTATAGGAACACAGTTACAGGGAATATGTTCATTCTGAAATATCACTTTTGAAACAAATCTTTGCTCCTAGGACTGGAGATCCATGTCTACCTACCAGAAGTATTTGTCTTAATGTATTTACAGATTATTTGGAAACAAAAGGTTTTATCTGACAATGAATTGTTTGACTTTAGCTCTTTAAGATGGAGAAGGCAATGGCACCCCACTCCAGTACTCTTACCTGGAAAATCCCATGGACAGAGGAGCCTGGTAGGCTGCAGTCCATGGGGTCGCAACGAGTCGGACCCAACTGAGTGACTTCACTTTTACTTTTCATTTTCAACACATTTGAGAAGGAAATGGCAACCCACTCCAGTGTTCTTGCCTTGAGAATCCCAGGGACAGGGGAGCCTGGTGGGCTGCCGTCTATGGGGTCGCACAGGGTCGGACACGACTGAAGTGACTTAGCAGCAGCAGCTCTTTAAGAATCATTTATATCTCATATTTTATTAAGATAGAAATGTATATTTTAGTAATTTGCTGCAAAGTAAAAGGTGTTATTATATTTTCTCTTTTTTTCACTAGGCATTTTTATTACCAATTTGTGAAGCAGCAGCTATGAGAAAAGTGGTAAAAGTATATCAGGAATGGATCCAGCAAGAGGAAAAACCTTTGTTCATGCAAGAGCCTGAAGAAATTGTGATCTCTTCTTCAGACCTTCCATGCATTGACAATGTCACAGACCATGATATTTCAATGGAAGAAGGAGAAAAAAGAGAAGAGGTAAAATAAGACTTACATATTTTAATATAAGTTTAATAGATAAGATTTTCACAGAAGTGTGGTGATATGGGATAGATGGGAAGGTAAAGATACTTTTCAGTATACAGTTGATCCTTGAACAACATGAGTTTGAACTGTGGGTCCATTTATATGAGGATCTATTTCGATAGTAAATATTGCAGTACCACATAATCCATAGTTGGTTAAATCTGTCGATAATGGAGAAACTGTGGCTATTGAGAGCCAACTATAAGTTTTTTGTTTTTGTTTTTGTTTTTTTTGATTTTTTTAAAAAATTTATTTATTTATTTATTTTTTTAATCACAACCATAGTGTATCTTTTTTTTTTTTTTTTTTACATGTATTCCCCATCCCGGTCCCCCTTCCCACCTCCCTCTCCACCCAATCCCTCTGGGTCTTCCCAGTGCACCAGGCATGAGCACTTGTCTCATGCACCCAACCTGGGCTGGTGAACTGTTTCACCCTAGATAATATACGTGTTTCAATGCTGTTCTCTTGAAACATCCCACCCTCGCCTTCTCCCAGAGTCCACAAGTCTGTTCTATACATAGGAGTCTCTTTTTCTGTTTTGCACATAGGGTTATCGTTACCATCTTTCTAAATTCCATATATATGTGTTAGTATACTGTAATGGTCTTTATCTTTCTGGCTTACTTCGCTCTGTATAATGGGCTCCAGTTTCATCCATCTCATTAGAACTGATTCGAATGAATTCTTTTTAATGGCTGAGTAATATTCCATGGTGTATATGTACCACAGCTTCCTCATCCATTCGTCTGCTGATGGGCATCTAGGTTGCTTCCATGTCCTGGCTATTATAAACAGTGCTGCGATGAACATTGGGGTACACGTGTCTCTTTCAGATCTGGTTTCCTCGGTGTGTATGACCAGAAGTGGGATTGCTGGGTCATATGGCAGTTCTATTTCCAGCTTTTTAAGAAATCTCCACACTGTTTTCCATAGTGGAGAGCCAACTATAAGTTATGTGCAGATGTTTGACTGCTCGAAGGGTTGGTGCCCTACACCCAGTGTTGTTCAACAGTCAGTTATATTTCACAGTTTAGATAATATGTTATCTTAGTACTCTATCCCAAAGCTCTTTGATGTAACAACTTTAAAAGAGCTTGTATTCTGATTCTTTCTAGTCACTGTCTAGATCAAAATTGGATGATATTACAAAAGGTATAATATTTTAAAGTGTGGTGGGAATTCCCTGGTGGTCCAGTGGTTAGGAAGTGGTACTTTCACGGCTGGGGCCCAGATTCATCTTTGGTTGGGTAAGTAAGATCCTGCAAGCTGCGCATCCAAGTCAAAACAAAACTGTGAGACTAAATCAAAATGGATGCTGTAGTACATACACTGAAAATACTTTTATTTGGCTGTAGCCAAGAGTCGGTGGTTGAGAGTGATAAGAAATGTGAAACAGACAAGAACTAGATCCTGTTTAGTAAGTTGTATGCTATCATGATGGACTGATTACATTTGGGACACTGGAAAGGTTATGAATAGAAAAATGGCATGGATAGTTACAAATCTCAGAAGAATCATACCAAGCTTAGAATGGAAGATAGATTGGAGGCCAGTCTGGAGGCAAGGACACTAGCTAGGAAGTACCAGAAGGAAACAATAGGCACCTGATAGAGGAGAGTGGCAGTTGCAATGGAAATATAAGAGAGAAGACAGATTTATGAGCTCCTTTGATGGTAAAATCAAGTTTTGATGATTAATCATATATGAGGAATGAGAAGGTGTCCCAAGCTTTTTATTTAACAACCAAGATAGTTGCCATTCACACATCAACAGGAGTGAAAATAAGTGCAAGTGTGGTGATTATGTCCAAGGAGGCTATATTAGGATTGGTAGAAATGAGGAGAGCATGCTTGTATGAATTTACTTTTAAATGTCTTGAATTTGAGGTGCTTGTGGGTCATTCAGGAAGAACTGTTCAGAAGATACCTGATCGAGAAGTATGGAGCTTAAGAGAACAGTGTAGACTAGACCATGATATATTGTATTGGCTACTTAGACAAAGCTGAGTTCCAATACTGCTTCTGGTAATGAAACAATAGTTTGATTAGACTAAATCTCCTATGTATTAAAATTGTAATTTCTAGGCAGAATACCCCCCCAAAAAAAATTGAAAATACTATTGAGTGACCAAAAGCAGAAAGAAATTAGAAACTTTAAAAGTAGAACAACATTGAGTGAAATTTCTGTTTAACTGAGAGAACTCCTTAACCAGCAGAACTTTTGACAGCTAACACTCCGGCAGAAAGCTGCAGTATTAATGGTTTGAAGTGTCAGTATTCATCTATCTTTGGATAACAGGAATTTTATTTTTCTTAAGAAGGATAAATAGAAGCTATTTTCTTTTATTTAAGTCATTTGGATTCTGGCATGTCCTTTAGAAGAGGATTTATCTTTTACAAAGCTGTAAGCAATATGATCTCATTCTTTTTAAGATTGATTTATTTACGTGTTTGACTGCGCTGGGACTTTCTCTAGTAGTGAGTCAGGGCAGGGGCTACTCTTTGCCGTAGTGTGCAGGCTTCTCATTTCAGCAGCTTCTCGTTGCAGAGCACAGACTCCAGGGATTCTGGCTCAGCAGTTCGGCTTGTGGGCTCAGACACTGTGGTGCCCAGGCTTAGCTACTCTGCATCATGTGGAACCATCCCAGACCAGGGATGGAACCTGTGTCCCCTGCACTGGCAGGCGGATTCTTAACCACTGCACCACCCGGGAAGCCCAGTGCAGTCCCATTTTGAGTGTGTAAGTGTAAGAGGGGAGGTTTATACATTAGACAGGTAGAAAAATGTCTCTGTATCTGAAATAATACAATTCCTGACTGGTCCTGATGGGTGATTTTTTTATTCCTTATATTTCTGTCAGTGAGAACTTGTTTTTACAGTGTACATATGTGTTACTTTTGTAGTCAAATAGGATATCTTCTATTTTGAGAGAAAGTTTAACAGAGGGACCTAGTACTTTCCAGTTTACATATTGAACTTACTGACTTGTCACAGCATTCTTAATTGATAAAGTATTAACTTGATATTTTGCTTCAGGAAAATGGGACCAATGTTGCTGATCATGTTCGAAATTCCACTTGGCCTAAAAATGGCACCTACCAAGATGTTCTTCATAATGCTTCTGAAGAAGCCATAGAACAAAACATACGAGCTGGTGCCCAGGCAGTTTTGCAGGTAGATCACTTTCTGTTTATTTTTATAAAATGAAATAAAAATCATTAACTATTTCAAATACATATTTCACTATTTCAGTGTAATTTTTTAAGTACAATGAACTTACCACACACATTTATCAATTACTATTATGCCCTATTAATGTTTTTTCTTTAACCTTCTTATCATAATGTGTATTGATAAACATTGCATTTTTTTCTCTACACAGTTTTAAAATTTATATAAATTGTGTCATGGTATACTGTCATCAGCAACTTTTTACATTGTCCATTATGTTTTTGAGATTTCTTGTTGATACATAGCCATTATGTTAATTCATTTAAAACTACTTTGTGGTATTACAATTTTGATTATTTTGCATTTAATAATTTTTCTATTGATGGTCTTTGTGTGTATGTGTTGATGGCTTTTGAAGTTGTTTTTTTAAGATGGTTTCCAGTTTCTCAGTTTTCAGATAATGCTGCATTGAATATTCTTATATGTGTATTTTTGGGTACATGTTGGACAATTTCCCTAGGATAGGGACTAGAAGTGGAATTGCTGGGTTGGTGCATTTTTACGTTATCAGTTTTACTTAACTATTAATTGCCAAATTGTTCTTCAGCATGATTATATTTTATATTCCCTTAGTAGTGCTTATAAGTTCTTATTTCCTTGTCTCTTCCTCAGAGCTTATATTGTCAGATTTTAATTTTTTGCTACTCCTGTGTATATGGAATATTATTCTTTTTAGTTTGTATTTCCCTGCTTTAATTGAATTTGCTTTTCCTTTATCACTACTGAAATAGAGCATCTTTTCTTGTGTATGAGTTGACCTATTAATATGTTTTTCCATTATTCTTTTGGATTGTCTTTTTGTTACTGATTTTTAGTTCATTGTATTTATTCATTTTTTAAATCTTACTGTTCTTGTCAAGGTCACATGTGACTTCTCCATTGTTAAATCACATGAAGTCTTTCAATCATAATTTTACCAGATATGTCAGCATTTTTACAGAGTAGATCATTCTTCTCTGTTAAAACCATTCTTCAGATGGCCTTCAGAATATCATACCCTCCTGTTTTTCTATTTTCTCCTAACTCACTGGCTACTTCTCAGGTTTTTTGTTTCTTTTTTGTTTTGTTTTGTTTTTTACTGATTTTTCAAAATACTTCTGAACTTTTCTTGTTGAAGTACCCAGGAACCAGTTCTTGGCTCTCTTTTCTGTGTAACTTACTGATGTCTCACTGATCTTATCCATTCCTAGGGCTTTAAGTGTCATCTATACACTGCAACTTATACTTTTTATTTCTAGTCTGAGACTTATTATCTGAACTCTTAAGAGTCCTGAACTCAAATATTCAAATGCCAAGTTGGCATCTTCACTTGACTATCTACTAGACATCTTAAATTTGACGTATCTAAAACTTGACTTACTTGTTCAACAAACATGGTCTTCCTACAGTTTTTCTCATTTCATTTGATGGCAGCTCTGTTTTCCAGTTGCTCAGGCCATTTGATTGCCTGTATTTCTTTTATATCTTATATCTAATTTGACAACAAATCCTGTCAACTCTCAGAATGTATATAGAATCTGACTACTGTTCAGCACTCACACTACCTCTTGTATTCAAGCCTCAATAATCTTTGATCTTGAATACTGCATTAAATTTCTAATTACTGTTCTTGCTTCTGGTCTTGCACCTGCCATCACCGTGGTATATTCTCAACCCAATAGCCAGAGGGATCCCATAAATCAGATCATGTCATTTTTCTCTTCTAAAGTCTCTGGTGACTTTTCATTATCACTGAGTTCTTCCCAGTGATCTGTCAAGCCTTTACATCATTGCTCCTCACAGAATGTGGTCTACAGGCTAGTGCCAACCACAAGTAGTTACAAAATTGAGAGTGAAAGTTTAGAAACTTAAGTCATTTAATATCCCTTGATTCTGATGAGAAGTTTGGGTTTGTATTTTGCATGCTTTTTCTCATTTCCTTTTTCCTATTCATTTTTTAAAATTGTATTTTACAATAGGATTGGTCTGCAAAAGACTTGGGGGAAAACCTGTACCTCACCACTGGCAGTATAAGAAGCTCTGCTTCATGTGCTCCAGTTATTTCTCAACATACCTCCCACTGCTTTTCCCCTCCCTCACTTCACTCTATACTTGGTATTCCTCATGTATGCTAGGCCGGCTCTCACCTCAGGTCATTTAAACTTGCTTTTCCTTTTCTTAGGAACATTTTTCTTCCAGGTTGCTACATAGTTGACCTTTTTCTTTTCTGTTTTAAGTCATCCTTATTTATATTCATTTTTTGCTCCCTGTCACTTCCTTTGGTTACTGGGTTCCCAGGACAACGAGATGATAGTGAGGAATCCTTGTCTTGAACTTTTCAAGCTCAATTGCTGTTAAAACATCTGCTGTAGTTCCTGATAAATGCTCTTTTTCAGATTAAGAAATTTTACCTTTTCTCTTAGTGTAGTAAATTTAAAAAAATAAATAAGTGCTAAATGCTTTCTTTATGCAATGTGATGAGTCTACCTTTTCACATTTTAATCTGTTGATAGGGTACATTATATTATTAAACTTTGCTCATGTCAAGGCATTCTTACATTTCTGAGGTAATTATTACTTGGTCATAAAGTATTATATTTTGCTTGAGTTGAATTGCTACTTTTTTGAAGATTTTCGTCTGTATGTTCTGAAGTATCTCTTACTTTTCTTATAAAGTCCCTATGTGTTTTTGATAACTGGGTTATAGTTTTATAAAAATAAATTTGGTAGTTTTTCTTTCTTTTTTTGTTTCTGAAACACTTTATGTCAAATAGGGATCATTTTCTGGGAAAACTGGACAAAACTCTGCCTGTAAAGCAGCGTAGGCCTGGTGTTTAGGGATGGATCAGGGATACCTTGATTAGCAGTTCCCTGTCTTTGTATTGTATCTGTTTTCTATTTTTTCTTGAGTCAGTTTTGGCAGTTTATGTTTTATCTACAAAATATAATCCATTTTATTAAATTTTCAGTTTTATTGGCATAAAGTTTTTCACTAAACCATTTTAAGATTCTCCACTGGGTATGTAGGTACATCCTTATTTTATTTCTAATGTTATTTGTGCTTCTCTTAAGCTTTTCTTAGTCAGTGTTGGTAGACCTACAGAGTCAACTCTTTTCACGATGTTAAAGTTAGCTTAAGTGTTCTTTGCTCACATGATTTTACAACTATATTCTGTTACAGAGTTCATCCAGGGAATTTAAATCAGAATTGTGGGTATGGAAGATGTAAATGTCCTTGATTCACAGTAGATGTAATGTTCTATTCCTCCAAAGTGTTTTGAGAACCTTTGCACTTACCTGTCACTAATATAACAACTTTGTCCTCTATAACAAAGTATAATTAATGATATTATAATAAATTTAATTAAAGATACATATTGATGGATCCTGATTAGTAGTACTGTAATATGCAGCCTGTTATTAACAAAATAGATATATGCACACAGAATCAGTAAACATGAAAAAAGAAAACAGATGATTTTGAACGCTTTATTCAGAAAGTTCACCTTGATTGAGGTATCTGTCATCTTGATTGAGGTATCTATCCTCTTTTATCCTAAACTGTTTTTACTTTTTTATTGTTCTTTCCATTTTGTGACAGCAGTAAGGTTATTATGTTAAAGCCTCACTTTTAAAACTTGCTGTTTTTCACTTGGTTTATTTTCTTTCAGTGCCTGCTAGTAACCGTACATTTGTCTAGATAAACATAAAAATAGATTTAATGAACTTAAATTTCCCATATCAAGCTGGTGGTAGAAGCAGGATTAGAATTAACCTACAGTCTAATGCTTTTAAGTTTGTTGTAGATCACCTAGCAATTTGATTTTTTTCCCTTTAAATTTTAACAAGCAGCTTATGATTTCTTTTATCTTAGGTGTTTATTATAAACTCTTCAAACATATTTCTTCTTGAGCCTGCAAATGAGATAAAAAGTCTTCTGGATGAGCACACAGATATGTGTAAACGAATTCTTAACATTTATCGGTTCATGGTTGTACAAGTATCAATGGACAAAAAGACTTGGTAAAAAAATGCTTTTTTTTTATAGTGTATATGCACATAGTAAATTCTAGAGGAATAGTGTCTGAATAGGGCCGGTAACAGTATTGTACAGGCTTCCATTATTGAATGAATGAATGACTATAACATTTTAGGTAATAATCATGATGGCAACAATGGTCTCTTTCACTTTATCTCAAACATCTTTGATCAAACTTTACAAGATCCCTTTGTTTATCTTTCTAAGGTGGGCATTTGATGGCCTCCCCAGGAGTGAATACTGGCATGCATGTATGAATAAATGAATTTATGTATGTTTGAATGAATGATTAAATAAATGTTTGAATGTATGAATGCCTGATTCCTGAACCTGATATTCAAGGCCTTGTACAGTCAGCCTCCTGACTACTTTTCTAGCCCTTTCTCAAGCCTAAATTCTGTCCTGCAGGATGCAGTCCTACCTGCCAGCTTTATCAGATTGCTCTTTTAAGCAATCTGAAATTTTCTTTAGAGAATCTAATTCCTGTCATCTTTTCCTGTTGTTACCATAACTATCCTTAGAGTCTACCTTTTCATTCTGTGTTTTTACCTTTGTTGTTTTGTGGTTTTGCAGTCACTAAGTCATGTCTGACTCTTTGCAACCCCCTGGATTGCAGCATGCCAGGCTTCCCTGTCCTTCACCATCTCCTGGAGTTAGCTCAAATTATGTCCGTTTAGTTGGTGTTGGACATTTATACAAGTAATTTAGGAACTAAGACAATTTTGATAAGATCTACAACAGAGGTGAGGATGAGATGGTTAAATAGCATCATCTATGTTGCAGATCTTTTCAAAATTGTCTTAGTTCCTAAATTACTTGTATACATGTATGTTTACCTCACTGAATTAAGATGCTCTACAAGGTATATACTAATTGTCTTGTCTATATTTCCTATGTTTCTTAGCATAGTATCATTTATTATGGATACTCTATAAAAATTTAACTGAAAGAAAAAAAGGACTTTTAGAGAGATGAGAAGAGCAGTTCTTCATTTTTTGTGCAGATACTTGTTCATTGTAAAATTCAAACAAAGAAAAGTTTTAGAAAGAAAATAAAATTTTCCCAGAAGCTCATTCTCTATAGGTAATCATAGTTTGTCCTTTGGTGAATGTTTGGTTCACCAAACCACATAGAGTCACATAGTGTTATGCCATATGTATGTACCAAACCTTAACTAACCTCTTGCTGGACATGTAGTTACTTATTTTGTTGTTGGAGGAGAGAAGGACAGTGAACATCCTTACTATATATATAATTTTCCTCTTTTGACTCATTCTTTAAAAGTGGGAGTACTTAGTAAAAGAATATGCCTAGTTTGTTTTGTTACATATAGGAAAATAGTTTTATTTTTAAAAAACTTTTGATTATCCATATTGATATAGTTAGAACTAGTTACTGTTATTAACTTATTTGGAGCACTTTTCTGTGTCACATCTTTTTAATCTTTTTACATCTAATTTTTTCTTAATCCTTGTAGCACCCCATGAGGTAGATCATTTTACATGGTGGTTCTTAGGCACAAAGAAATTAAGTAATTTATCTTTGTTTTGAACTGTGGTTCTTCTGACTTCAGAGCCCAAGTTATTGTCCGCCAATAACTTTTACTTTGAACCATTCTTTGTTAGTCCCTCCCCTTTTTTTCTTTTCATATGCTTTGAATCAATGGTCTTGAGCCAGGTTAAAGTGAGAGACTTCTGTGTGGAACACAATTTTAAATTTTTGTTAAGTTCCCTTGAAGTCATAGCATTATGAAAGATTACTCATATATTTACACTGAATTTGCAAGACTTTATAATTAAAATCATTATTGTATTATAAAGTGAAAAGTTATCTAATAATATATGAGTGAATTGGAGTTTGACCACAAATTAGAAAGTTTTACATGGAAAATCCATTATTTATTGAATGTGTAGTTGACTTTAAATGGCTTTTTGTTTCATATAGTGAAGCTGGAAGCCTAAAGGTTACAAATACATTACCTCTGATTTTTACTTTATTAGCTGAATACATGCATTTGTTTAGTTAATAAGTTCAGATATTGTTCGTTGAGTGATACTTTTATATTTAATTCTGCCCTCACTTCCCAGAAAACCATGATACCTACATCTGGGATCTCTTGCTGCCTCTAGCACATTTCTTACATGGACTGTCCCACATATTGCTGTGCCTGGAATGGGCCTGCAGACAAGCCAAAGAAGAGGAAACTGTGATAGAGACTTGAGCTATTAGTCTGTCTATGTACCTGCCCGAAATCCCCTTTGTCAGGTTTTTTTTTTTTTTTGGCATGTGGTTGAGTCAGTTTTTTAATTACCAGGTGCAAATAAGGTAGTTTTATGGTCTTAAGCATTAAGGAAAGAGAGGCATGGTAAGGATAATATAATAGGATTGGGTGACTTGCAGTATACATCGAGGATAAAGAGTTGAAAGATGACCAAACTAGAAAGGACAGAAAGGAGTAATGATCCTTGCTTTCTCATCAGGCTCACTGTGTCTTAAAGTCGGAGAAGGCGCACCCCACTCCAGTACTCTTGCCTGGAAAATCCCATGGATGGAGGAGCCTGGTTGGCTGCTGTCCATGGGGCGCAGACACGACTGAGCGACTTCACTTTCACTTTTCACTTTCATGTATTGGAGAAGGAAATGGCAACCCACTCCAGTGTTCTTGCCTGAAGAATCCCATGGACGGCGGAGCCTGGTGGGCTGCCGTCTATGGGGTCGCACAGAATCGGACATGACTGAAGCGACTTAGCAGCAGCAGCAGTCTTAAAGTATCATGCAGTTTTTGAAATTGAACATGGTACAATTCTAGATATGTAGTTTCTCCATGTTGTAAAGATGAATGAGGTAGATAGGCATCAAGGTAGAACTGTATTGTAAAGACAAATGAGTGTTCTTCAGACAGCTCCATAAGGTCACTGCTTGATTTGTGGGGTGGGGGGATGGGAGCAGTCTCTGTATTCTCACCCCTAACTCATCAGCTTTTGTACAAATTTTTATTTGATGGAGAGAGATTATGGCTGAAAAATGGCTGGTGTAGATTTGGAAAATAAAAATTTATATTTTAATATTTAAAGAGTTCTGAAAATTTGAAAGATATTTGATATTTGAATTATTGAAAGATAATACCATTTTTATAGCAGATATTAATTTCAAAGTTAGTCATTAACCAAAAGCAAATATATGCAAGAAGGAAACATTAATTAATTTTTTTACTTTAAGGGAACAGATGCTGCTTGTGTTGCTCAGAGTCACGGAGTCTGTACTGAAGATGCCATCACAAGCTTTTCTGCAGTTCCAGGGGAAAAAAAATATGACTTTGGCAGGTCGACTTGCAGGACCACTTTTCCAGGCAATAAAAATAAATAAATAAATAGATAAATGGGTGGATAGATATGTAATTTTTCTTAAGATTCATTGAGCCCTGAACTTGTTTCCTGGGGAAAAAAGCTTTAAATCAGAAATCATATTAAAGGAGCTTTTGTAGAGCCAAATAAAAGTTGTGTATGTAAGTAATATGTTTGCCATACATACAAACTAACAGCCTAGCAGAATAGATGAAATACCAATCAGGCCTATGAAAAAAGTGTTAAACTGATGACATTTGCTTCATCTTTTGTGGGGTACACTTCCGTATGATTGCAGAAAGCTGCCAGATGGCTTTGTGGTAATGATTTAATTGTTTGCTTTATGAGTTTCTGGCATTGTTAGAAAAACAAAACTTCCTTTTAGTTGTTCTGTAGTTAAAAAAAAAGGAATGAGTTTCTGGCATTGTTAGAAAAACAAAATTTCCTTTTAAGTTGTTCTGTAGTTAAAAAAAAGTAAATCAAGATTCTTTCCCACCACGGTATACTGTAAGACTTTATTCTCGTCACGTCTTCATTTGAATTATCAGTAGTAATTGATTATATAGGAATTACCTGTTATGTTTTCCAACCCAAGGATAGAGTACTGACTTAACATGTGTAGTAGATTATTTGGGAAACAGAAAGCAAAATAATGTTTTTTTAAAGACAAGATATTAAATGCATGGGTAAAATGGCTCTTAATGTCAAGGATAAAAACTATCTCAGATCTAATTCTTGGCCATTTAGTGTAGTGTTTCAATTTAATATTTTTTCCAGATAGTGCTAGTTTACCTAAAATTCTGTGCTGATAGTGAATAAATCTTTCAAATCAGCTACATTTATTATTTAAATTCCTCTTGACTTCATTAGTCTTTTATTCCCCCCCTCATCATTAGAACTAACCCAGTGGTGAGTGCTATTGGATGATACAATTTTTGCTTGCTATATGGAATAATTTCTTCTCTGAATGGAATGGAAAGCACTAGTTATTACTGTTTTATGTCATAAACTCTGCTTATTTTTATCTTTATGTTTAATGTTAAACTTATGTAAAATTTGTTGAGTTACGCTTTTAAAACACTTATTTTGTGACTATTTCTTCAGTAGGATTTTATCTTCAGTAGAATTCTACAAAGTCTCAAGGGTATAGTCTGATCAGTAATTTCTGCCCTTTTATAAATAAGTTTTTTATTCTATGATTGAATTTGTACAGAACACCTTTAATTCCACTGGTGTCTTTAAAATCAAATTTAATTTTATCCTTCAAGTTTACATACAAATTTTCAGAAACATGTATCAGTAAGTTAAATACATCTCTAGTAACTTTTTCTTTTAGAGCATTCAAATTGTGTAGTTAGTGATTCCAGTCTTTTTTTGAGAATGTTAGTAGTTAGTTTAGTAACTACTAATTACTCAGTTATTTCAACCTGTAATAATGTGGAGACTTACCTCTTTTTGAACAATGTGTACTTAACATTAATGTAACATACCATGAAGGGTAGTTAAACTTTAAGAAGATTTCTTTTCAGTTTTGGTAACTTGTCCTAATGTTAGTATGTTGGAAATTGGCAGCTGTTGAAATTTGGAGTAGACGCTAATGAGTACATGTGTTACTTTTATAAGTATTATGTACCAAGAAAGGATATCATGGATATTATGTGATTTAAAGTTCTACTAGTTTGGGGATAACTTTTTAATAATTGATTTTGAACATATTTGATTATTATTTCTGATTATTTGTCTTTATAGACTCTTATAGTTGCCTGGATTAAAGCAAATCTAAATGTGTACATCTCTCGAGAACTTTGGGATGACTTACTCTCAGTATTGTCATCGTTGACCTATTGGGAAGAGTTAGCCACTGAATGGTCGCTGACTATGGAGACACTAACTAAAGTTTTAGCTAGAAATTTATATAGTTTGGATCTCAGTGATTTACCGTTGGATAAGCTGAGTGAACAGAAACAAAAAAAGCACAAAGGGAAAGGTAAGAGTTGTTCACAGAGATGCTTCATATAAATTTGTTTAAATAATTTGGTCTGGGAGTATCAAGCCAGGGGGAGGAGTGAAGGTGAAAGTCATAATTTCTCTTAATTATTCCCTCCTTAATTTACCCTGAAGGTTAAAAATTTTCAACAGTGAAACATGTACCTACCTTGTAACTGTTATTGAAGAGCCTTAAATTCAGTGGTTCTGTGCATATCTAATAAAGTTAAGTAGTTCAGAATCTTAAATATTTTATTTTTAGCAATTAACCAACCTGAAAAATTATAAAACACTCTTCCTTTTTATATAAAACACTCTTCCTTTTTATCATACACATATTTTTATTAAAACTTAGAAGGTGATTTCATGTTACTGTATTTGAAAAGAAGTACTTGAGAAATTCTTTTGAAAGCATTTCCTTAGTTTTAACTAAAACCAAACATTCCCTGACTATGGATTATATATCTGTCTAATGTTAAAAAGCTGGAGAGGGACAGTAACATAGTGATTATATCAAAGAAACATGTCTTTATAATACTAGTAATAGTGCTTTATCACTAAAGTCATGTCTGATTCTTGTGACCCCATGGATGTAGCCTGCCAGGCTCCCGTGTCCATGGGATTTTTTTGGGCAAGAATACTGAATCGGGTTGCCATTTCCTTTTCCAGGGGATTTTCCTCACCCAGGGATTGAACCTGGGTCTCCTGCATTGCAGGCAGATTCCTTACCTACTCAGCCACCAGGGAAGACTTGTATAATATTGAGTTTGCTAAGATTTTTTGTTATTAATAATTAGTTGCTATCTAGAGATTACACGAGTCACATTTCATACTTAACAGCCCAGAGTGGTAAGTATGTCAGCAAACTACTTTTTCCTGGACTGTTTATTTTCTAAGTGGCTATTATTGGCAGGTAAAGATAGAGTAACTTCCGTCACAGGATGGATTTTGGTTAATTCATTTTCTATCCTTTTTTGCTTGTCCAAATGTTTCACTTCTATATGAAACAAGTGGGTGGCAGAGGATTTATTATCGCTTATTATTGATGGTGTATTTTTTAAAATGTGCCTCAGTTTTGGAATGTGACTTTTACACAATAAATTTCAGTAAACCCTTTCAGTACACAAGCACGTTATCTAGTTACTTTATGAATAAACCTAAGAATCTGAGGCAGAATGACATACTTAATTTGATGCAGTTATTGATGAGGTAACAGTGCACTGAGATTGAACATCTGCATTTCTAGGAGTGGGACATGAATTTCAGAAAGTTTCAGTTGACAAGTCATTTTCTAGAGGATGGAGTCGCGATCAGCCTGGCCAAGCCCCAATGAGGCAGAGAAGTGCAACAACCACTGGTTCCCCAGGCACAGAAAAGGCCAGGAGTATAGTACGGCAAAAAACTGTCGGTATGTGCTTCTTAAAGTCATGAGAACTGCATGCAGCCGTATGTTTATAGTTCTCAGTAACAATGTATGGAAACACACAGTTTTCCTATCAGTTGTTTTTTTGTTGTTACATGAAAAACTATAGCAAAGTTTTTTTCAGGAATACTTGGAGTCTGATGACATACTGTGTTATTCCTTTATGCTAGTAAGATGTATCTTACATTACTGTTTTTATGTAGTTAATTTTACCATTGATGTCAATAATTTAAAATTGTTATTTTACAGAATTGAGAAGTAGAACTCTGGTTCACTCTGCAGAACTCATGCATTAACTGATGTAGTTTCTAATAAACATGAAAAAAATAGGGTAGCTTATTTTCAGTGCTACAATTACATAATTATATTGGCTTCACAGACTTCCAGTGAGGAATTTATGTTCTCTTTTTATAGACAGCTGAGGCTAAAGTAGAGTATATTGCTAGGTTCCTTGCTGCCTTTAACAAGTAGGGAAGACATTTCTAGTCTTGGAAATATCAACAGAGGTCAGTGATGGAAAGAATTTCTGGATGTGGGATCACTCGCATTCTGTGAACCTGGTTACCATCTCACTCCTTTACCTCTCAGATTTAAAACTTGGTCTCCATCATAGTAGAAAGAGTGCTGCAATAAAAAGCAAGAGGACTTTGTCCTGATCTCTTTTACTCTCATCGCTAAATAGCTAGATAACCTTGAATGATTTACTGAACTTTCTAGGCTTGATTTACTTCATCTGTGTAGTTAGAATGACAGTATCTCACATGCCTGAAACAAAAATTGCTTGAAGTTACTTTAAGCTTTGCAATCTATGATTCTATGAAAGTGGAATTTTTTTGTGGGAATATATCTATATTTTATAGAGTCAATGAAAAACACTTATTTTAAATAAATTTAAAATTGTTGTAGGATATGTCTCTATAAAATGAGGTGTTCTAAAGTGTTAAGAATTAGAGTTCTAAAGGAAGAAACAAGTAGAAAGACAACAGGGAAATTAAAGGGTTTAAAAGAATTTAAAATGTTTAGTTTTTCAAAAGAATACTTTCACAGTTGTCTCCTGCCTGTAAAATAACTATAGAATTATACTGATGTATGTCAAACAAGAAGAGTAAGAAATTATACAAGGAAAAAGGATATTGGATAAACATTAATATAATACTTAGACACTTTGGTATAGAATTATATTTTGAAATTTTTAATGGAACATGTTGATTACATCTGAAATGCCTTTCTTCATTTTATGTTAAGGTCACATGTATAGAAAATATTTCTGTATTGGTTAAGAAGGAGTTCTTCTAAGTTTAAATTTTATTTTACTTAAAAATAGAATATTTTTTAAAGCTTATACATATTTTTCTGATTATAGAGGTAATTTATGCTAAATGTGAAAGATAAAAGTTTAAGGAAGCACAAAAACATCTTAGGTGTCTAATGAGAAGAAATCATGACTAACATGATGGCATATTTCTAATCTTTATAAAAGCATATAATGATTAAAATACTCATCTTAAGTGCATGCCTGACTATAATTACTTTGTGATACCTCTGTCAAAATCTTATCTGGCTTGTTCATTGGACTGACCAATCAAAAGTTTAATGCATAAAAAATTTTGTTTAGAAAGGTGCTTACATAAAGTTAGAAAGTACTAAAAGGGGCAACACATTAGATTAGGATATTCTTTAGACATATATTTTCTTAAATTTTTAATTTTTTAGGGACTGTACATAGTTAAAAATTCAAACTGTGATAAAGCATGTATGTGTTCTAATAAGTCATTCCTGCCTCACTGCTCATCACCCACCCAGGTCACCTCACTAGAAATAACTGCTATTACTAGTTTTTGAAGATGTTTCTAAAACTGTGCATATAGTATAATGTATGCATGGCTTTTAGTCATTCAAATGAAAAATACTTGTACTCACAGTGGAAGCTTTGTTGTGAGCATTGAGGATACATGTGAGAACAAACTTAATAAACTCCATTGAAGCTGACAATTCTTGTGTCAAGGGAGACACATAATCAGATAAACCAAACATCAGGCAGTATTACATGCTGTGAAGAAAAGTAGAACAGGGTAAGGGGGAAGAGTATGAGGATAGAGAAATGGGACTGTGTTAGATAGGTCAGTGAAGACCTGGCTCATCATATAAGAACAGAGACCTGAATAAACTGAAAGGAACCATCTAGGGAAAAAGTGTTCCAGGCAGAAGGAAAAGAATAAAAGCCGTAGTCTAAGAGTGTGCTTTTATTTAAGGAAGAGTAAAGAGTCCAGAGTGAGTGAAGTGTAGAGTAAGAAAGACGAGAGTGCAAGGAGATGAAGTCAAGCTGTAATGCTATACCTTAATGATTATTGCATGTCAGAAAATGTCCAACACCTTGCATCAGATGTACATTACATGACAGTACCATAATTTAACTTGTATCCTGAAGATGGACTTTCAGTTTATTTCAGTTTTGTGGTGTTAAAAATGACACAGAATATAGTTATGAATACTTCTGTAACTTGTGCTTGTATGCAGATATGTCTGTAGGTTTAGTCTATAGTATTTGAAATTAAATTGCCCTTAAAACAATGAAATACTACATATCTATCAGAAATGTTGAAATCCAGAACATTTATAACCCCAAATGCTGACAAGGATATGGAGCAACAGTAATTCTCATTGGTTGTGGGACTGCGAAATAGTACTGCCACTTTGAAAGATGATTTCGTAGTTTAGAAAAGTAAACATATTCTTACTGTAGACTCAAACCACCTTTGGCATTTGTCCAGGTAAGTTGGAAACATATGTCCACACAAACATTGGCATGCAAATATCTATAGCAGCTTTATTCATAAGCTTGGAATTTATGCCAAAACTTGGAATCAAACAAGATATTCTTAAAAAAGTGAATAATTTAACAAACTGTGGTACATCTATACAGTGGAATATTATTCTTTGAAAAGGTACAGTGAGCTATCAGGACATGAAAAAAATATGGAAGAGCTCTGAATGCTACTGCTAAGTGAAAGAAACCAATCTGAAAATGTTACATATACGGCGATTGCAACTATATGATACTCTGAAGAAGGGAAAACTGAAGAGACAATAAAAAGACTGCTGATTGCCAAGGAGTGGAAAGCAGGGCCACGAGGAGGGAGGAATAGGTGGAGCACAGAGGGTTTAAATAGAGCAGTGAAACTATTCTGTATGATACTATGATTGTGTATGCATGTTATATGTTTGTTAGAAGCCTGTAGAATATACAGCACAAAGAGTGATCCCTGGAGTGATCCCTAATGTAAACTATAGACTTTTGTTAATAACACTATGCTTTGAAGCTTAGAAGCCAGGCAGTAACTTCTCTAGTTATGAAAGTCCTTGATGGCTTCTTCCAGTAGAAGCTGTTTTGTCCACATTGAAAGTCTGTTTTATAATGTAGCTACCTTCGTTAATGATTTTAGTTATATCTTCTGGATAGCTTACCGCAGCTTCTGCTTCACCACTTGCTGCTTCCTATGTACTTCTTTGCTATGAAGGTGGCTTCTTTCCTTACATCTCATGAATCAACTCTGCTAGCTTCAAACTTCTTCTGCAGCATCTTCACCTCTCTCAGCCTTCTTAGAATTAAAGCGAGTTAGGGCCTTACTCTGGATTAGGATTTAGCTTAAAGGAATGTTGTGGCTGGTTTGATATTTCCAAATAACTTTCTCTTTACCAGCAATTAGACTGTGTTGCTCTCTTATCATTTGTCTCTTCAGTCTTAATTTTCTCCAAGAATTTTTCCTTTGCATTTACAGTTTGACAGATGGGAGCAAGCAGTCTAGCTCTTGGCCTATATTGACTGTTTACATGTCTTCCTCACTAAACTTAATCATTTCTATTAATAGCATTTGATTTAAAGTGAGAGATGTGTGACACTTCCTTTCACTTGAACACTTAAGAGATCATTGTAGGGTAATTCATTGAAGTTGGGCCAGTTTCAGTGGCTTTACAGAGATTCTGTGATAATAAGCTTTAAATTAGTAAATCCCCCCAAATCCCCGTAGCTAATTCATTGTAAGTTATTTTCTATAGTGTAGATTGCACATCTTTGAGGCACTTAACAGATTTCCAGGTAAACATAAAGATAGTAACAGATGGAGGGGTGTCTTTTTGAAGAATTCATTCAAGATCATAGCACACAAACTTACATCATAGTGATTATGGGGAAAGTTCCAAGGGAGATGCCCAAGCTCTTGCTTCAAGTTGGCGATAGAAAAGAAGGAAAAGAAGGAATTGTTATTTCCAAGGAATTACCTAACCCAACGGGGACAACATCAAGAAAGCTTGTACTTCATCTGTGGAATTGAGAATTTGATTAAATTTGGTTCTAAAATACATCTTCTTAATCACATCTGATTATCACTGTAGATGGTATTTTACCTTTTGTGTTGATAAGCAGCACTTTAGGTTTTACCTTTGTGTTTATATCTTTGTTCTAACAAGTTTTAAGGAATGATTATCTTGAAGTCAACATAACTTTTATTTCAAATTGGATCATAAAATAGTTGACCACTTTCACAAGAGGGAGAGGAAGCCAGCAAAAAACATGATTAGGGTCAGACTCTTTAATTTTTTATATGGTTCCCATTTTAAAATACGCTTAACCTTTAGTATACTACATGGGAAGTCATACACTGGAGGCGCGTTGTTGCCTTCTCTTAACATATTCCAACCTTCACATTTTGCTACCCATAAACTTATAGAAAAGCTACTCTTAAAGAATCCGTTATTTTTCCAACATTAGTAAATTTGGGGAATAGGGACTCTTAGATTATTCTTTTCCAGTGATAAACTCTATTGCATATATCTAGTTTTTGGTTAGTAATTTTTTTGGTTTTCTCATCTATATGTTCACAATGAACACTTTAGTTTTTTTCAAATGATTTTGCTGTGCTATCCAAATATAGGTACTCAGTCAGTAAAGATTTGTTGAGCTCATATGTGCCAGGCACTGGAGATATAAGGATAAGAAGATACAGTTTTTGCCTTTGCAAAACGGGGAGGCATATAAAACGTACAGTCCACTCAAAATAGATCATAAGCTTTGTAAAAAAGAGGAATTCTTGTTTGTTTTGGTAACTGCTGTATTGCTAGTAAATTAATTATGTGGGAAAGTCTTAAAACTTCACAGATGAGGTGACATTTTATATATGAAGGAGTGTCAAGAAGAAAAGGAGACCAAGTATATTATGAACTCATAAGGCCATGTTGTGAAAGAGCATGGAATTTTCAAGAAATGGTATAAAATTCTGTATGGCAGTAGCATGGAATAACAGTAGGGAGGAGATGAAGTTTCAGTGGATATTGTGGTTGGATTGCAAAGGCCCTGATACACTTAAGGGACTTAGGCATTGGGGAACCAGCTGTTTCTAATAATCAGGAAAACCTAATATTTTTGAAATGATGGTAACATTCAAATATATATGTGTATGTGTATTATTAATGTCACCATTACACTGGATTTTATGCAATATTGTTTCTTTTAAAATCTTCATACCTTCATTTATTCAAAAATCTCTAAATGTTAAAAAGAACTTGAGATAGAAACTTGACTATTATTTATTTCTAAGTGTGTCAAAATTTGCCTTTAATTTTGCAAACTGGTTACTTTTCTTTTAAGAAAATACCAAATACAACTAAATACAAATGAAAAAAAATTTTAATTTAATCTTTTAAGTTTTTATGTAATGTAAGTTTTTATGTAATATAGTTAAGATTTGAATAAACACAAACTTATTTTTCTCAATAATGATTCTTCATGCTGATTCCAAATGCTATTTTCTATAAATATTTTTACTTAAAATTTTAAAATTTAGGTACTGTTCTCTTTAAATAAGAGACACTGATTTAATTAAACATTCTTCTTCTATCAGGAACAGATACTAACCATGAGATTCAGTCCTTTAGATTATGAATTACATACAATTCTCTAAAAAAGACCTGTGAGTAACTTTGAAACTTTATTAGGGAAAAGTATGAAAGTAGGAATTTGCTCTTGGAATTCAGCTTCATTAAGAAGAGTGACTCAGAAAAATGCCCAAATACGGTACCCAAAATCTCTTGAAACTATTGGTATGGGTTCTTTTCAGTGTTTCTGTTCAACGAACTTTTCAGTCTTTAGTTTTGAGAACATAGTGCTAATTAAAGTGTATGCTGTTTTTAATGCTACACCATTGTAATTGCTAATAATGAAAAACAAATCATTTTCCTGCTTTACTCAAAGAATTTACATTTGAAATGTCATGTATGTTCTCTGATTTCTTTTCTTACAGCTTGCCAGTACTTGCCGTGCTGAAATGTTTTAATTTAAGATTTCCTTCCTTTGTATCTTTTAGTTTTCTCTGTTGCTGCTTTTTCTATGACACAAGCCTTTCATTATAGTCACTCTTCTTTTTTCCTTCCCCACTTCTTTCTTTTCCTTTTTTAAAGCCATGAGAAGCCGATCCATTGGTGAATGTGCTCTGCCATCGGCCTATATACGCAGTGCTAAAAGTGCTCCTGTTCTGATCCATACTTCCAAACCCTTCTTGCCTGATATTGTTCTCACTCCCCTTTCTGATGAGCTTTCAGGTAGTGCCACCTCTGCTAATTTCTGCACCACCTTTTTCACTTTTTAATCCTTCTGCTTTCAAATTTTGCTTAATCAAATAAACTCTTCAAAGTTAATTTCTTTGGGGGAGGTGTGGGAAATTGGGAAAGTGGTTGAGAAATAAACATTTTGAGTTATTTGAACTCTAATGCTATCCTTGCAGTTCATTCTGGAAGTGCTAAGTTTAGTGCTGTGCCAATGACCAATATTTGGGGTTGTAAATCGCCGGGGTTTTTTTTTTCTGTTCATGTCTGATTTTTTTTCTTCTCAGGTAGTCAGGTGAAGTAGTAATGTATATTTATTATTTCTTGTATAATTTCATCATCTGACTGAATATATGGTAAATATTAAATAATGCATTCTCCACCATTTGTAGTAATGAAATTTAAGCTAGGGGAATCAAGTATATAAGTGAAAATTTGCTTTGGAATACATCTTTGTATTAGATTATGGTAGTGTATAGAATTCTAATAACTAATTTTTAAACCAAATAACAAAACCATTCTGTGAAGCCCCAATTTCTAAGGAGCCTCAGAACCTTTCCTCAGAAAATGGTCAGCTTTCCACTTCTGCCTCGGGTCCTTTATCTACAATATTGGGATGATCTCCTCTTTAATAAGGCATAATTAGCATAATAAAATGCATAGTTCCTAGGTTCATTTCAGTTAGATTTGAGAATTGTACACCCCTCATCATCTTTCATCCCAAACAAAATATAGAATATTTCCATTACTCCCAAAATTTCCTAGAGACACTTTCAAGTCAGTCTCTCTCTCTCACATACACACACACACACACACACTGTCATTTCTACCACCTTAGCTTAGTTTTTTCTTTAAAAATTTTTTTCTGTATAACTAGAGTCTTATAGTGCCTTGTCTTTTAGACAGAAGCAAGTTTGTTTTTAGTATACACTTGGTACTTGAGCAATGCAAGGGTGAGGGTTGCTGTCCTTCCACATTATCCAAAATCCATGCACATTATCCAAAGTCCATGTATATGTAACTTTACAATGAGCCCTCCACTTCTGTGATTTCACATGGGCAGATTTAATCAACCACACATAGTGTAGTCCTGTAGTACATATTTATTTGTAAAAACCCACAAATAAACGAACCCACACAAGGGCTTCCCTGGTGGCTCAGTGGTAAAGAATCCACCTGCCAGTGCAGGAGAGGCAGGTTCAATCTCTGGGTTGGGAAGATCCCCTGGAGAAGGAAATGGCAACCCCCTCAGTAATCTTGCGGGGGAAATCCCATGGACAGAGGAACCTGACGGACTGTAGTCCATGGGGTTGCAGAAGAGTCGGGTGCAGCTTAGTGACTAAGCAGCAGCACAGCTCATAGCCCTGTTCGAGAGTCCGCCGTGCTTATTATGCAAAGTGTGCTGGCTTAAAGAAAATTACTTGTGCATCCTTGGGTGCTTTCCTGTCATTTTCTTAGGAGTGTTTCTCTCACATTGTGACTTTTGGTGAGGTTACTGATTTTTATTTTTTAACAACCTATCTTTGTACCCTTTTAGTTCCTAATGAACTGTAGGCTTATGTGAGAGAAGGTGCATTTTTATTAATAATGTTATTTCAAGTTCATGAAGGTCCCTTCCACCATCCCTAATCCTGGTAAGGTCAGACATTTTTCCCAAGAGGAGGTAGATAAGTGAAAGCTAAAAAGGAGCATGAACTATGTTTTTCATAGTTTAATCTGTCCCCCTGATGTAAGCGGGCTTAGTTGAACTCATAATAAATACTTCCTGGGTGCATCATCTTAAGAACAGGAGTTGAGGTTTCTATAGCTGCTTCACCAGTGAGACAGTGAAACTACCCGTAGATAATCACTCTGGCTTTTGGTTAGAAGTATAATTTTCCAGAAAAATATTTACCTGATACTCTTGAATACTTACATGGCAAAAAGACACTCCTTTTAATTCTTTTATATTTGTTTGTTTTAACATACTATGATTTCCTTCTAAGAATGAACTGTCAGTTTTCAGTGTACCCTATTGTTATCTAGCCCTTTTTTCTCCTCCAGTATTCTGGGTTAGATGACCATTCAATCTACATTGTTGTAAATGTGATTCTATGTGGTATAACTTTATATAGATAGACTAAACTAATTGACTCGCTGAATATCCTTGGAGAGTTTTTCTTAAGCTCCTGGAACTATTTCAAGGCCATTGACATAGTCAGTGACATGAGTTCTTTATCGAACTCATCTGATGTTGAACAAATGTTTCTTCCCAGATGTGTGTCTGTCTCTGGTTTTGATATAATATCCTGGGGGTTGCAGGAGATCTTTATTTTTTAAAGCTCTGCAGTTAGTGCTGGTGTCTGGGCAGACACACTTTCTGTGTCGCATCTCCTGTATCACCAGACTGTACTTTTACATATATGGTAGCCCAGTCTAGCAGTCTTTATTTTCCTGAAAAAACAGAGAAGTCAGAAATGTCAATAATTTTTCTTAAGTAAATTAGCTTTCACTGCCAAAAATAATACTTTCATGATAGAAGGCATGTAAAAGAACATAAGCATGGTAGGCAGTTGACTTTTGCAACTGTTAATATTTTCTAACCAAGTACTGTCTCAGTCTGAAATTGTTTACAGGCCCACTTTCCTCCCAATTAGTTCTCAAAACTGCTAATTGGTTTGCCACAGTTGATGCTGTTAAATTCCAGGCTGTCTAAGCCATGTTACATAGACTGCTAAGGTTATTAGCAGTACTTCATTATTTGAATTGAGCACTGTAGAGCAAAATGTTTTTGATCTTTCAACTTTTATTTTCTGAGTAACAGGAGAAAGAAGATGGTATGTCTCATGCCCCATCTTGTTCCTAAGATCTGCCTAATCAGGAGAAGAATTTCCTATCTAATCAAACAAGTAGGCCCTTCTTTGCACAATCAAGGAATTTATTCCTTCTCACCAATATGTGATAGTTATTTTCTACAATTTTTGCACCTAGAACACCAGCAGATTCTAGTGTAATTCTAAATTAGAATTTTTTTCACTGAAATAATTTGTGTTAATTCTTTTAAAAGTACATCTCAAGAAAAATTTGAAGCTAACTTAAACACGGTATTATTTAACATGTTTGCAAACAAATACTAAATCTGTATAATTTTCTTATAAAAAATACATTGGTAATTTATCTATTTCCAGAATTGGAGTCAAGGAAACATTAGAAGGGTAAGAAGATGATAGTTTAGTATTTTAAATATTGCTTTTCAATCTTTCCATATGATTTAATGATGTGGATACTGCTTTGAATTACCTACAAAGTGAACATCTAGTCTTAAAAAGATGTAGAGTTTTTGCTAGCCTCTACTAATAATAATTCTTAACTTACCTTGAAGGTACATTTTCATTATAGCCCAAATAGGCAAAAAACAAAACAAAACACTTTTTAAATTACATAAAGGACATTGTCTTTTCATTCAGGTAATTCCAAAAAAAACCTTGAGCCTCTAAATTAGAAACATCAGTTTCTACATATATTAATGTAAATGATTTTATGAATTCAAAAGCTATAAAAATATTGCCACTCATAGCTGCTGTTTGTGATTAACTGGGAATAGAATTTAGCTTTGGTAAAAGGGATTTGGGTACTTTTTTCTGTACCTCGTTTTAGAAATTATTAAAATTTTCCAGTAGTATCTTAGTATTATAAATTAAGTTTTTCCCCTTGAGAAACTAGCTTGATATTTTACTAGTTAGCAGCTACTAGTTTTTAATATAAAAGATATGCTTCTCTTCTACCAGTATTTATTGAGCCCCTGCTATGTGACAAGAGCTATTTCAGACAATGTGGATATGGTCATGTTAATATAAAAAAAGAAAATCCTGAAAAATGGTAAATTTCAGTGAAGAGTTTTTTTTTGTTACATGTTACAAGCTAATATTACACTTTCATTTACAGCTTATCTTTTCAAAATATCAAAGAAAACTTTTTTTGAAACACAACATTCAGAAAAAGCTATGTTTTAATCCAGAGATGATTTCCAACACTTTAATGGTAAAACATCATTAAGCAAACCTAGAGATGAAACTTGACATTTCAGATACTTTTTAGGCTCTATAGGAAGCATTTTTTCAATGTTCACTTATTTTTTTAAGTATTAAAAAACTTTTTTCTTGTTTTGTTCAGTCATTGGTTAGTGATTCTTTAGATTGAACTAATTTAATTAGATACTTGTTCAAGGTAAAATGTAAGCAGCATAATTAAATAGTTTTAAAGGCCATGTCTGTTTTAACCTGTTACTACCCTTATTTTCAGCAGTCCAATACAAAGTTTATCCATTGTGTTTTTCTGTATAATTTACTAATACTTGTAGCTGACCTAAGTTTTGATTCCTAAGATTCTTAGCTTTATAGAGATAAATTACTATGCTGATTTATCATTTATTAATAGTAATTTTTAATTATTTCATGAATGTATAATATATATTATTCAGGAGATAAGAACATGGACTAATTTTTGCCTTCCTTCAAATCCCAGCTCTCCACCTTCTAGCTGTGTATCCTCAGGCAAGTCTTGCAGTTTCTTCATGTGTAAAATGGGGATAATACACCTAATTAATGAGGCTATTGTGAGGATTAAATGAGTTAATATATGTAAGATGCTTAGAACAGTGCAGTAGGAAGGACTATACAGTCGGTCCTTCATATCCAAGGTTGGTTGAATGCAAGTAAACTTGTTGGTTTGGAGAGCCAACTGTATTTATTATACTTGGCCATTTTATATAAGAAACTTGAGCATCTGTGGATTTTGGTTTCCATGGGGCCTTCTGGACACCAGTCCCCAACGAATACAGGGCAGCTGTGTATGATTGAGCTGTCATTTAGACATTATCTTCAGTAAGGTTCAGGGTTATTTCTTTAAACTTTAAGCCTTGTTAGAGTCAGTTTTGCTTAATTTCAAGTGCTGATTTTGATTTCCTCTCGGCAGTTACTTTCTTCTTTGATTTTATGCAATTAGTATTAGTGTTACATGCCCGGGTAAGAACTGTATTTAAAACTTAAAACTTTCAGAAAGCTCTTTTGTTGAAACTTAGATTTATTAATAGTACATTATTGTTAGAAAAATATTTTCATTGTCTTCAAAGCCCTTGCCCTCTTACACTTGAAAGTTTTTTAGATAGTCATATGTACTAACAAAAGTTTAGGGAAAAAACAAGCTGAAATAATGGCTAAATTTCCTAACATGCAACATGAAGACTGGACTTTGGAGGAAATGCCTAAAAACAGAACTTCACAGTAATCTTTATTGGTTTCCTTAGAATGGAAAAAGTATGAGATTATCAATAAAGGAAACTAAACATTAAAACTAATGTTCAACTTTTTTCCTGAAGTTCATATATTTTCTAGTCTCAGCATTAGATTTTAATAAGGTTTTAATATCTTGACTTTAAATTTGCAGTTAAAATAATTCCAACTATAAAATTCTTAATAATTTTTATAGAAAAGTTATATATCTGTATTCCTTGATGAGTCCTTTTAGAATATTTAGTGGGAAGAAACTGGAGTGCATGGTGAATATAATCCCTTGGCAGAGATTCTTATGACCTTTTATGGGACACAAACCAGAAATACTTAGCATTTGTCAAGATGCACAGATATGAATTACTTATCTACTACAGTAATACAATATATGCATAAAGTTTCTGCGGAAATGCTTTGTTTTTCATTTAGAAGAATTTGTAAGTGAAGTGTATGAAGAAGAAAGCTAGCATTTTTTAAAAGTATTCTCAACTTAATGATAAAGAGTTGTTTCAACTTTAGGAGATAGTTTATATTTGACGTATATTGGGAGTCTCAGTGTATATCTTCAGGAATATAGTGTGATTTTAGTATATCACAGACTGCTCTTGATTTGAATTTAGTATAAGGTGGCTCCTTTTGGACCTCGTACAAAAAAAATGATATCAGTGAAATAGCAGAGGTACCAGCCTCTCTTCATCCCTCACATAGATCCTGAGAATATTTTGAATTACTGTACCCATCTTATAAATGAGAAAACTTGCTTCTCAGAGTCTGGAGTAAGAAAACCTAAGTTTTAGATCTTGCCCCATTTCAGTAAATATATCTGTGATCTTGGACAAGTAACTGTTTTCTCTGGATCTAAATCTCATTTTCGTCACTTATAGTTCTGTTACTTTTAATCTATGCATTACAAGCCTAATGAATACCAATATCAGATTTTTTGACTTTTGACTCTTTGTCCCTTTTTCATGAAATTTTTTGGTATTTTTCTGTCTTTTAGTAAAATGCCAAGATGTTTTTGTAGACATGACATTTTATCAGTAGTAAAAGTTTTAATTTGTATATATCTCTACAATTAAATAGTATTTCATATTGTGACATTCAATTTTATATATATATTTGAAGACTTATCATATACTTAGCACTTCAGGCACTGAAAACAATGTAATGACTTGGAACACTAAGCCTGCTTCTCAAACTTGAGAGAGTAGTTTCCTCTCTTTAGGACTCAGCTTGTTCAGTAGGAGAGTTAAATAATCTATAATGTCCATTTTGACTCTCAAATCTGTAATTTTTAAAAGAAATGTAAGAAGCTGTAGGTGCATTTTTTAGGGTTCGATGGTTACCTAGTGGAATGGGCCAGTGTTTGGCAGAGGAGATTTCTTCCTAGTAGATTAATTCTGTTTGTGTCAGAAATGAAAAAATACATTTTTTTTTAGCAGTGTATTGATTTTATTTGATAGGATGAATAGATTTTTCAGGGTAGGGGTAAAGAGATTTTAATAGTATAATAAAATAAAGTAAAATACCCCAGTAGAACAGATAACTAGTTTCCTAAGAGAACTTTAGGAAGAGGATGGAGATTTTCTTGTGTAATAAGTGATCAAATAGATAAGCAAAATTTGAAGAAAAGGTGATGTTTCTTACCTGATAAGGAAGGAAACAGGAATTTATAAGACCCTATGAGTTTCTGTAGTGGGATACTAAGATCAGCTTTTTTGTGTTAAGATCTACTTTTTTCTACCTGAAACTTTATTAGGAAAAATTGAATAGCAAGTTTGAATTGCTTGATTTATTGGCACAGCTCTATCTTTAACTGCACTTCCAAATGTTTCATCACCTCACTGTCTGTTCTATGCATGTTAACATTTTAAAATGTATTCTGATAGTTTTATAATTCATTTATACTACATGCTATATTGGCTTGTGCCCATCATTATTTAAAAACAAATTTGTAGATTTTCTTTCATTGAGCTTACAAAAAAAATCTCAAAAATTTTTACTTTTAAGCATATGCTTAGAAAATGGTTGAAATTAATACTTATTTTTTTTGTATTTGTGTAGTTTCTACTCTATAATTTTTTTTTCTTTTCTTTTTTTTTTTTTTTTTTTACAGATATTGATGATGCTCAAATACTTCCTCGTCCAACTAGAGTCAGACATTTTTCGCAAAGTGAAGACACTGGAAATGAAGTTTTTGGTGCTTTGAGTGAGGAGCAGCCATTGCCTCGAAGTAGCAGCACTTCTGACATCTTGGAACCATTCGCTGTTGAACGAGCGAAAGGTGCAGTTCCTGTCATTGACAGTTCATCCCGTCACGCACCGAGCTTGCAGAGTTCCACAGAGGCTTCTTCAATCACTAGATCCACTGAGAGCCACATCACTGATACTCAGAGTAGAGAGTCTTCTCTGGAAGTTGGTGATAGCATATATGACCATCTCTGTCACTTAATAGATCCAGTAGAACTGGCAGATTCAGCTTTTGAACAAATCCAGTACATTGACCTTGAAGGAGATGATGATCTTGTTTCCTCCCTGAAAGAATATTTTAAGGAAACCCAAGAAAGTCACAGTAAAAACGAGTTAGATAAAGATGCAGCTTCGCAGGAGGTGATCTCTGTTGCAGTAAATAAGGATGAAAGATCATCCTTAGATAAATTAGAGTACATAGACCAGGAAAGTAAATCAGAAAATACCACCTCTTTTGTTGGAACTCCTGAAAACATACAGTTTCAAAAAGAACCAAACTCCACTGTCTTCACAAATATTAGTGCACCCAACCAGTTAGACAGCTTTATGAAAGCAAAAACTTCTGAAAAATGTAAACAACTAAACAATGATAAACAGTCATCGGAACCTAGTTTAGGTAGCCCTTGTGATAAAGAAAAGAGAAAACATCTGTACAGACAAACAGCCACAGAATTAGATGCCTGTATAGATATAGCACTAGCTGAAAAGGTTAAGGGTGTGCAAATTAATGAAAAAATCACTGTCCCACATGTTTTGCATGCCAAGAAAACGACACTAAAAGCACCTGTTAACCGTAGAATGCCTCATGTTACAAGCGCTAGCAAGCTTTCTCCAACTAAAAGGAGCTTGTCTGAAACAGTAACTCACAGAGCCAAAATCATGAAAATTGCTACTAAAAAACGAAATAGTGTTCATGTTACTTTTAGACCTTCTACTGAGTCAGTCCAGTTTTATAATCCTCTGGAAAACAAAGAGGCTCCATGGAAGATGAGACTGCGAAAGCTCAGTGGCTTTAGTGGTGGTAGTAATAGCAACATCAGCAACCCCCACGCCAGCTCCACCAGTGCGGCAGAGCTGGTAAAGCCGGGTGTGTACAGGCCTCTAGACCCAGTTAGTGCAGCGGCAGCAAGCAGCGAGACAGTTCAGGAAACGACAGAGATTCCCACCGCCGTATTACAAAAGGGAGGAGGCGCAGCTCATCAGTTAGGTAGTCGTAGTACTATTAAGTCATCAAGTCACGAGGCAGGACTACAGCAGGGCTCCCTGGGTGGCGTTTATAAAACTGTTGTCCATGCTCTTTCGAAGCCGAAGGCAAATGTTTCCCCACAGAGGCAGAACAGAATGCCACCAGAGGCTCCACTGAGGGATCTGTACAGTCATGTAATGGGCTATTTTGGAAGGAAAGCTGCAGGTGAGCACTAACAGTGTGCAGAGCGCAAAAGGAGAAGACAGCACCAGTTTGGCTTAATGCAACTGAAGCAAGCTCTAAGCAATCAAAAAGCTTTGGGATGGTCACTGCTTTCTCTCTGTTTGGTTATGCATGCGCCTTTCCCCAGCTGTATTTTTCCCAGCATAAAGTGTTTATTTAAATTACTAATTTCCCTTATAAAGCATTTAGTTAAACCTCTTTGCTGCTGAACAAGATAGAGAAGAGGGGATGCAGGAAAATTTAATGACCTTCCAAAGACTATCTAAATCAAATGTTTTTAGTGTTTACTACATGAACTTGAAATTAAGATTACTGAGGAGTTGGAATACTTTCTCCCTTGCTCCCCCAGTAGTTTACATTTAAAAGGATCCCAGCTCTAGATAATTGGTTTCATTTATTTTTACTGCTGACTTATTTAATTTCTTAATGTAGAAAATTATTTTGACATAATGTAATGGAAATCAGGGTCCTACAATGAAAACCAACATTTTTAGTTAATTGTTGTTGGAGAGGAAATTATTTCTTATACCTCAAAGTGGGCTTAGTTACTTTCATGTACTCCATTTCCAAATAAGCTGTAGGCTTTTTAGTTTTGCATTCATTTGTATAGAATGCAAGTCATATCCTTAAAACACTTATCATTACTTTCTTTTTTCTGAGATTTTAGATGTGCATAAAGGTTTCATGATAGCCAATCATGATTTAGATATGGAACCTCTATGGACAGATTACAGAAAGCAAGATTATGATTAACTGTTTTCTCTTATCTTGATTCAAATTTAAAATAACTGTACAGTTATAGAAAATTAACTTTCAGCAGTAAGGTAGGTTTTGATTTTATTTGTTTAACATGGTTTTGTTAGCATGATTAACAGAACGCTGCATCTTGCACTGAGCCATTAATGCCACTTGAGGGCAGTATTTGACAGCTTAGCAAAGCCTGGCCAAGTAGTATAAAGATAATGGTATTTCACAGTGAGTTCCTGACCAGTATATTTTCTTAACCTGAAATGCTTTGAAGTTCATTAGGAATATTAACAGTGTTGATTTCCTTTGGTTGTGGAGAAATCCCCTTTTCAATGGCATAATAGTGAAATAAGTCGATATCTTACTTTCTGTCAGTTTCCCAAGTTTTAAAATGTCCATGTTAATGTAAATCACAATGTAGTCTTAAAAAATTCAAAGTAACTATGGTTTTTTTTTTTAACAGAAAAAGTTTTGTGAAAATCTTTTTTTTTTCCAAACAATAAAATTAGATTTTGTAGTGAATAGAAACAACATTATGTCAAGATCATAGAATTTAAACGTATTAATATCTTAACTTAAAATTCAGGGGATATATTCCTTGTAAATATTCTTTGGGGAAGATGGATTTCTAAATTATTAAGGCTCCAAATAGAAGCATAGAGACAGGAAGAAAGAAAAATATACCAGTTTCTTTATAGACAATATTAACCTAACTCCCAACTAGTGCTTATCTATAAGCTTTCTTGCTGTTTAAGGTTGTACTGAAGATTGACTAACATCTGCTTAGTTAAATAAAGTAAATATCAATTTACTAATTCTTAAAATTAAATCTAAAAGGAGAAAAATTACTCTTAGATGCATGTTTGGCAAATAATTGATATGGCATAGGTAATTTGTTGTGGCTGTTTTTGTTTTAAATTTAGGAAATGTAGTTAAGTCTTTACTCACTATATATAGTTATTTATTTGTTTTTAGTCAATAAAGAGGACATGAGCACAAAACTGCCTCCTCTTAATAGTGATATTGGCAGCAGCAATGCTAATGTTCCTGATCTGATGGATGAGTTTATAGCAGAACGACTTCGAAGTGGTAATGCCTCAGTAAGTGTTATTTTATTTATTTGTTTTTAGAGAGGAGGGTAGAGAGACTAAAAAAATACATACCTTTTACATATATATGTGTGTGGTACACGTGAAGAATTTTATTCCAATCAGCCGTCACCCCAAATTTAGGGCTTTTTTTAAAATTAAGATTTTTAAATTACATTAGCAGAGTGAAAGACTGGTATACATGGTTGCTCAGCTACTGCATTATAAGCCACTACCTTGCTAGCTCTTTGTTTTTCATCTTTGCTCTTAGGGTGCTCTGATGCCTGCTCCCAGCCATCAGCAGGAAAGATAACAGTAGAGGTCTTCTGGCCCAATTCCCACAATTTTAAATATAAATATATGTGAAATTATATAGATAAACATATGTGGAGTTGCTTTTTTAAAAAAGAAAGCTATTTCACTTGGATTTCCACTGTCTTCAGAGAAATTCTGCAGCTCCATTACATTTTCCTTTCTTGTTAAATTTTTCTTTATTTTGGCTGCACCACACAGTTTGCAGGATCTTAGTTCGCCAACCATGGATGGAATCTGGGCCCCGTGCAGTGGAAACCTGAATTCCTAACCATTGGACCACCAGGGAATTTCCTCTTCCATTGGCCTCTTTTTTTTCCATTTGAATTTCTTAACTTAATATTCATTTGATGGATCCTTTTAGGTCTTCAGAGTCTCAGGCCCAGCACCGTATGACATTTGACTCTTTGATTTAGGCAGACCAACAGTGCTTCAGGCTCTGGCTCCATACAGTTACGTAGACTCTTCAGTTAGTGTCCCCGCCCCCCGCCCCCATGCCCTAAATTTCAGTACTTACTGTGATGATTATCTTGGAAATTAAAGATTTCAGATGCTTAATGAGAACTAAAAACAAATTTTTTAATGGTAAAATTTTTCTTGAATTTTTAGACTATGACACGAAGAGGAAGTAGTCCAGGTAGCCTCGAAATTCCCAAAGACCTCCCTGATATTCTGAATAAGCAAAACCAAATGCGTCCTATTGATGACCCAGGTGTACCCTCAGAATGGACTTCTCCTGCCAGTGCAGGGAGCAGTGATCTTATCAGCTCAGATAGTCATTCGGATTCTTTCAGCGCTTTCCAATATGATGGCCGAAAATTTGACAGCAAGTATCTTTTTACTGCTTGAGCAATATGGTTTTTTGTTAACTTGTTTTCTGTTCGAGACTGACTTGTGAACTATATAACCATCACCTTCCTCTCTAATATTGGTTCCTATATATGTATTTTGATTTCATTTTCAGTGAAACTTTGTAAGGATTTGGGGGATCACTTCAAGTTGAGACTACTTTGTTTTGCCAACTAAAGGCATAAAAAAAAAAACCACTTTTCTTTCATAAAACAAATGGTATCTTAACCAGAAACATAGAAGAGGAAAAAATTAGGATGGACTTGGTGTTAGAATAAGGGACAGTAATGCTTATGAGAGGGACTGTTTCATGCGGTCATTTTGAGGGACCACTATCTAGTCATGGGGGCTTGCCTGGTGTCTCAGACAGTAGAAAATCTGTCTGCAATGCAGGAGATCTGGGTTTGATCCCTGTGTCGAGAAGATCTGGAGAAGGGAATGGCCACCCACTCTAGTTTTTGCCTGGAGAATCCCTTGGACAGAGGAGCCAGGTGGGCTCTAGTCCCTGGGGTCGCAAAGAGTCAGACACGACTGAGTGACTAACACTTAACATCTAGTTACGGGCAGGGCTTCAGTATGGTCAGTACAGTTACATTCAGTGTTCCATTACCCAGAATCTTCCTTGAGTAATCATTTCACATTAAAGTGACATCAGTGATGTTACCTGGTGCTGTATTACTACCGCATAGCTTTTCTGCTATAATTGTGTATTACACCTGGCAGTCAGTGAAGGATACCAACATTTAAAAGAAGAGAGTCAAAATCTTGGGAAGTAAGTTTATGAAGAGCTGGGAGATTCATTGGAGAATTGTATTTCTTGCCCTCGTAGATTATATACTATAATCTTGGACTGGAAATGAGTTTTAAGAGAAAAATTACTTTTACCACATATGTGCCATTTTTATGTTACATATCTCTTCCAGAGATTGTGAAACTTGAAAAGCAGTTAGCTATATTTCCATCTATCAGAAAACATGGATATGAATAGTGATGATATGTGTTTCTGTCCTTTTATCATTATTTTTGTTAATAATAGGCTCTGAAGATCTTTAAAAATTTGTTTCTAATTATAAACTTCAAAGCGTTAACATTGTTTACACTTGCCTGAATGGTATGTAAATATGAAGTAGATTTAGGGGGGTGTTTATATTTAATTATTTTGATAAAGTAGTTCTGTCTCTTTGGTAAATATTTTTGTGTTGTAATCAGAACATCTGTTCACTAGCATGTCTTCTTCCTGTAGATTTTGGTTTTGGAGCTGATACTGGGAATGCATCCTCTGCTGACATGGATTCAGGTTCTGGCCATTATCAGAGTGCAGAAGAGCAAGAGGTGGCTAGTCTAACCACTCTACACATCGACTCGGAAACGAGCAGTCTTAATCAACAAGCTTTCTGTACTGAAGTTGCAACGGTTACTGGTAAAGTTACTCAAGGGAATGTATTCCTTAAATGCATTTTTTTAAGCCACCGAAGATCTTTTGCAGGCTTTTATTTGATAGATTTTATTTATTATTTATTACTTATTACCATTTAAGTGTTATTTTTTTTTCCCCTCTCATCTTTATGTAACAATGGAGAGAGAAAAAAAAGAAAAAACATTATAAGAGTCGCTTGACCTGGAGTCCACATGGATAAGCTTTTGGGGAACTCTATGAACTCCTAATATCATATGCAGAATTTTATAGATGTTTGCACCAGAGCATTTCCTGCAGCAGTTTTTAAATAAATACCGAAAAATGTTAAGGGGCACTGCACTTTATCTTTTTCATTGATTTTCAGAGTTAGCCTAGATTTTTGTAGATTTCTTTGGTAAAATATTATTGAAAAGATAAACCACACTGCCAAAAAGAAACTGTTTTTACTAATACTCTGTATTTATACAGTCAATTATGAATTTCAACAACTTTCTATGTGTGGTTAAACCTGACAATCATATGACACGTGGGGTCCAAGAAATTGAGTCCTGAAAGGTGTCACTTTATTCCCAGAGCAGTACAGTGACCATAGGAAGCCTGAGCAGCCTGTGACCCATATTCAAGAGTTCCACTGTCTTATCCAAATTTACTCTGGTTCCCACTGTAGTTTGATGCTCTTTTGATGGATGATAGGTGAAATATCTGCCCATCACAGAATGAGGGCTGAGTGGGAGACAGGAGCCAGTTAGGTTGGATCCACAGTTTGATTGTTGGAGAATTTAAATTACTACTGAAAGAAATACTAGAAAAAGTTCTTGTTTTACAATAACACCTTTTACTATAGTTGTCCTGAAACATAGATTTAGATGAGAAGATACTCAACATTACTAGTAATCAGGGAATATAAATAAAATCCATGAGATAACTGCTATACATATAATAAATCAGCTCAAGTTAAAAAAAAACCCTGACAATACCAGTGTTGAAGAGAATGTGAAGCAACTGGAAATACCATACATTACTAATTGGAGTGCAAAGTGATATGGCCACTGCAAAATCATGGTAGTAGCTTTTAAAATTAAACAATACATTTACTATATGACCATCCCTAGGTATTTATTTCAGTTGTTTATATGTGAACATTCATAAGAGCATTATTCATAGTAGCTAAATTGAAAATAGTCCAGATATCCATTAACTAGTGAATAAATTATCAAATTCTAATGTATTCATTCAGTATTCATTGAAATTGTTCTCAGCCATTTAAAAAAAATTAAATGCTTATATTTGCAAAACCACAGCTGGCTCTCAAAAATATGCTTTTTTAAATGAAAAATGTTGAAGCTAGCAATGGTAGTGGCATATAGCAATAAGGAAGTTTCTCTTCTGAATCACGTCGAGCCTGAAGTAAATAAAGTAGCAGTGGGTACCAGAGTTTCTGTAGCTGAACCGGGAATGGGAGTAGACATTCTTGCTTTCACTGATGGTCCCTGTTAACTGGTAAGTCCCGTTCTCATTCCACACTAGTCCCATGGTAGACATGGAATGAGACTGCTAGATATGAATCTTGTACAGTATCATGATTTTATTGAACTCTTCACCCAGTTTATAATCTATTTTATCTTGCGATATTTTCGGTTTGTGTTTTATTGGGCTTTTAAGCATTACATCTTAGGTTGAGGGTATTAAATATACTCTTTATGGTAATTTTATGAATTTATATTTACAGGTTCAGAAAGTGCCTCTCCAGTCCACTCAGCCCTGGGATCCAGGTCACAGACACCTTCTCCTTCCACACTGAATATAGATCACATGGAACAGAAGGATCTACAGCTCGATGAGAAGCTCCACCACTCTGTTCTTCAGACACCAGATGACCTAGGCAATATTTTAAAATTAGATCTTTGCCATTTTTTGTTTTGGGAGCATTAGTGTCAGGAGATCTTGAATAATACATCTTAAATTTGATTGTGTATTTTATATATGTTATATAAGTATTATTATAAGTCTTTTGAACTGTTCTGTCTTTGGGAAATTTATTGCTGTAACATTTTTTCCCTGCCCTTAAAGATATTTACATTCCGATTTTTGTTATTTGATATATTATTATAAACTAGGCAGTCCAAATGAAGTATTTTTATGCTTAAGCAAATATTTAAAAGTGACTGGGAAGCCTTAGAAACTGAAAGTTAATAAAAAGTTATCTTTGCTGTGCCCTATATGATGTAACAAGCATCAGGGTAAAAATCATCTTGGAAATATGCTAAAAACTTTTTCCAAGGACACAGTTGATAAAATATTTATAATGAATAATATAAAATACTAGTTTTCATTGGTGATGCAGGAAATTTACTCTTTGGCCAAAGGAAGACATTTAAAACCACTTGACTTCTCCCTCCCCCCATTCCCACCTCCCTGCTTCCTCCTCCCCCCATTCCCACCTCCCTGCTTCCTCCTCCCCCCATTCCCACCTCCCTGCTTCCTCCTCCCCCCATTCCCACCTCCCTGCTTCCTCCTCTCCCCATCCTCACCTCCCTGCTTCCTCCTCTCCCCATCCTCACCTCTCTGCTTCCTCCTCTCCCCATCCTCACCTCTCTGCTTCCTCCTCTCCCCATCCTCACCTCCCTGCTTCCTCCTCTCCCCATCCTCACCTCCCTGCTTCCTCCTCTCCCCATCCTCACCTCCCTGCTTCCTCCTCTCCCCATCCTCACCTCCCTGCTTCCTCCTCTCCCCATCCTCACCTCTCTGCTTCCTCCTCTCCCCATCCTCACCTCCCTGCTTCCTCCTCTCCCCATCCTCACCTCCCTGCTTCCTCCTCTCCCCATCCTCACCTCTCTGCTTCCTCCTCTCCCCATCCTCACCTCCCTGCTTCCTCCTCTCCTCATCCTCACCTCCCTGCTTCCTCCTCCCCCCATCCCTACCTCCCTGCTTCCTCCTCCCCCATCCCTACCTCCCTGCTTCCTCCTCTCCCCATCCTCACCTCCCTGCTTCCTCCTCTCCTCATCCTCACCTCCCTGCTTCCTCCTCCCCCATCCCTACCTCCCTGCTTCCTCCTCCCCCCATCCCTACCTCCCTGCTTCCTCCTCCCCCCATCTCTACCTCCCTGCTTCCTCCTCCCCCCATCCTTACCTCCCTGCTTCCTCCTCTCCCCATCCTCACCTCCTGCTTCCTCCTCCCCCCATTCCCCACCTCCCTGCTTCCTCCTCCCCCCATCCCTACCTCCCTGTTTCCTCCTCCCCCCATTCCCCACCTCCCTGCTTCCTCCTCCCCCCATCCCTACCTCCCTGCTTCCTCCTCCCCCCATCCTCACCTCCCTGCTTCCTCCTCTCCCCATCCTCACCTCCCTGCTTCCTCCTCCCCCCATTCCTACCTCCCTGCTTCCTCCTCCCCCCATCCCTACCTCCCTGCTTCCTCCTCTCCCCATCCCTACCTCCCTGCTTCCTCCTCTCCCCATCCCTACCTCCCTGCTTCCTCCTCTCCCCATCCCTACCTCCCTGCTTCCTCCTCTCCCCATCCCTACCTCCCTGCTTCCTCCTCTCCCCATCCCTACCTCCCTGCTTCCTCCTCTCCCCATCCTCACCTCCCTGCTTCCTCCTCTCCCCATCCTCACCTCCCTGCTTCCTCCTTTCCCCACTCCCCCACCTCCCTGTTTTTTTTTTTTTTAAGGTACTCATACTCTTAATTCCCAGTTACCTTGTAATTATATAGCCCTCATTTTCTGGTTTGTATCAATAGATTATTTCTGACCTTTTTTTCCTCCTCTTAGCCTGCAGTTTTTTAGCTTTTTGATTTTTATTTTCAATTTTTCCCACAACATATGGATAAAATTTCAAACTGATAGAAAAGTTGCAAGAGTAGTAATATGAATACCCATAACTCCTTCAGATAAATTCACCAGTTGTTAATATTTTACCACTGTATCTTTTTCTGTACACACACACACCCACCCACCACCACCACCACCACCACCACCACCACTACCACTGTACCTGCCCTTTTTTTCTGAGCCATGTAAGGGCAAGTATCAGACTCTACATATAAACACTTCAGCAACTATGTCCTAAGAATAAGTACACACTTCCTGAAAAAATCATAACATAAAGGCCACATTCAGGATGTTTAACATTGATTTGTTACTACAGTTTTAGTCTATCGTCGGTTATCCTCAGTTGTTCCAATTATATCCTTCGTAGTTACAAATCAGTTGATTTATCACTGTATTATGAAGTTTCTGTAGAACAGAGGAGATGTTAACAGTGATGACTAACTAGTGTTTTTTAAAAATTTCATTTTAGTGAATTTACACTGGAAGTCTGTTTTTATTATTATGAAAGTGTGTTTAGTAACTTTTTAATAATATAATCAGTTACTGCACACTTTACATGCAAAGAGAAAAAAGTTAAACATGAAGCGTAAAGGATATATGTCTACTATATATGAGTTTGTAAATTATCAGTACATTGAGGTATTATCAAGCAGGAAAAACCTTCACTGACTTTCTAATGATTTTCCATTTTCCATTATATACGTTGCTTAGGATAAAGACTTTTTTTAAGCTGGAGGAGATCTATAATGATACCTACCTAAACCATCTATTTTACAGATGAACTGCAGTCTTAGATTATTGAATAACTTATACAATATCACGTAATTAGTGACAGAAATGAGACTAGGACCCTAGGTTACCTGTAGGTCTTATATATAATCATGCCAATATTAATAAAAGAAATTTAATTATGGAAATTTTAGATTATGGTTTTTTTTTTCATGCCATTGTGATAATCCCTTTTGATGCTAGACCTGACTTAATTGTGAAATAACAGAAATATTATTCTTTGAAAGTTTTAATTACAAAGAAACAAGCTTAGGAAGACTTGTTTCCTACAGGATTTGCCTTCAGCCTAAGATTTTCTCTTAAATTTGACGAGGTAACTTGAAGTAGCTATTAGATGGAAGAGAGAGTACATACTTATAAATAAGATCCTTATTTCAAAACTTAAGTTTCTCTGTGTCATTTTCTCCTTAGGTAAATCTAGATAGAAGCACTATTGAAGAAGTAATTACTGTCATAATAAGTGAAAGTGAAAGTCGCTCAGTCGTGTCCGACTCTGCAATTCCATGGACTGTACAGTCAACAGTCAATGGAATTTTCCAGGCTAGAATACTGGAGTGGGTAGCCTTTCCCTTCTCCAGGGGATCTTCACAACCCAGGGATTGAACCCAGGTCTCCCGCATTGCAGGCAGACTCTGCCAACTGAGCCACAAGGGAAGCCCAGGAATACTAGAGTGGGTAGCCTATACCTTCTCCAGGAGATCTTCCCAACCCAGGAATCGAACCAGGGTCTCCTGCATTGCAGGTGGATTCTTTACCAACTGAGCTATGGGGGAAGCCCATATTGTCATAATAAGGAATTATGAACTAGTGAGGTTTTGACCTTACCAGGACAAAATAACACTAAGGCATATTGACGTTTCTCTTATTCACTTTTGTAGATATTTAAGATTATTAATTTTACTCCTATGTATTTTTTTTATCAATTCTCTGGAAAAATTACTGACACTTGTGTATAATTTTTTTTCTGTAGAAATCAGTGAATTTCCGTCTGAATGCTGTAGTGTGATGGCAGGGGGCACTCTTACCGGATGGCATGCTGATGTCGCTACTGTAATGTGGCGAAGGATGCTGGGTATTTTGGGAGATGTCAACGCTATTATGGATCCTGAAATACATGCTCAAGTTTTTGATTACCTCTGTGAACTTTGGCAGAATCTAGCTAAGGTAAAAAAATAAACAAAAGCTAAAAAGGGAGAAGGAAAGAAATGTAAAGTATTACAAAGTATAAAAAAAGCCTAAGATAACATTCCCTCCCCAGTCCCCTACTACAGACTGATGCCTTAACCATGATTGAATATATAGTTGGTGGTAGGAACCAGATCTCAGGTTTAAGGTAAGGTAAGCCAGAAAAGAGAACACTTTTCATATCATAGATTCGTTGTGTTTTATTTGAAAATTACAGATTAGAGATAATCTTGGCATTTCAACTGATAACCTGACCTCCCCTTCTCCACCGGTTTTGATTCCTCCACTGAGAATTCTTACACCTTGGCTTTTTAAGGTAAGTTTAATATACAAAATATTAACTTAAAAATTGCATTTAGTAAATATGTATGTAGTCTCAAACATTTGAGAGAGAAAAGACTGTTGTGTAGTCTTCTAGAGCACTTAATTTTGTTTTGTGTTTCGTTTTGCTTTTTAAAAATTTGTTTCATTGAAGTATAGTTGATTTACAATGTTGTATTAATTTCTGCTGTGTAGGAAAGTGATACAGTTATGAGTGTGACACATTCTTTTTCATGTAGTTTTCCATTACGGTTTATCACAGCATATTGAATATAGTTCCCTGTAAAGCATTTAGTTTTTAACTAGCCATTAGGGGTTATATAGAGAGGAGTGGGCCTAGCAAAATTATTATTTAGGATGCATCAATTTTATTACTGAAATAAAAATGAATATAGAAAATTATGTTATTATATTTAAATGAAATATAAACTTCAATTTTCTGTTATAGAGTATGCTGTGTACTTTTAAGGAACTGATTCTTTTAAGTATTATTTGATATGTGTGGTGCATTTCCCTAAGTGAAACCGTGTGTAGTCATTCACACCTACATTGTATCATTTTAGTAGTAAAGATAATTCTAGTAATTCTGATATTTGGTTCAGTAAAGAAAATGAGCCAACACAGGAATAAATGAAAACGAATATATTGCTTGTTGTATTCAGTTGCTTCAGTACTTAACAAATAGTATTTGGTTTTGAGTTTTTTTTTTTTTTTTTTTGGTTTTGAGTATTGAAACAACATCTTTTAATTGTAGGCAACCATGTTAACTGATAAATATAAACAAGGTAAATTACATGCCTATAAACTTATTTGTAATACAATGAAAAGAAGACAAGATGTTTCTCCAAATAGAGATTTTCTAACACACTTCTACAATATAATGCATTGTGGATTACTTCATATTGATCAGGTAAATATATGTACTTTCTAAGAAATTGCTTTATGACTTTATCTTTGATTCTTGGATCTGTTTAACTCTTGACTTTCAAAGTGTAGAATTAAAAAGCATTCCTTTATGTGAGTAATTTATTTACTGATTTCTCCTATTTATAACATCATTTATCCTGAAAAATGACTTCAAAACAAGCTATTGTAGTTGAGAGATTAACTTGATTATTAAGTGCATGTTTCTTCTAGTGTTATACCAACTAGTTTGTTTTTGAAGAACCATCCTTTGCTTACATTGAGAGCATCTTCCTTTAATGTCCTAATATACGACTAAGCGCACACACGCACGTGCTTAGGGCTTCCCCGATAGCTCAACGGGTAAAGAAACCACCTGCAATGTAGGAGACACAGGAGATGGCGAATTTAATCCCTGTGTCAGAAGATTCCCTAGAGAAGGAAATGGCAACCCACCCCATCGTTCTTGCCTGAGAAATCTCATGGACAGAGGAACCTGGCAGGGGCTACAGTCCATGGGGTCACAAAGAGTTGGACATGATTGAGTGACGAAGCACGCACATACCTGGCACTTAAGACTTAGGATTTGCTCAACTAGTCATGCAGTGATCAGAAGTTTTTTTTCCTATTCTAAGACTCAGTATATCACTTGCAGTTCATTTAAGGAGCATTAAATTAATATCAAAGATGATATATCTTTCTGAAAAGTAAAAATACTTCTTGTGTTACTTTGAAATAATTACAGTGTTTTACCTTACACTCTTAATTATGGATAAAGAGCTTCATTTAAGGTAAATTGGATTGAGTAATATAACCTGGTGCACTTCATCTTCATGGTAAATTCCAAAGGCAAAATGAATGAATAAGCAAGTTAAGAATATTCCCTCAAGAATGCCTGAGTCTAGATTTTTGAGGCTAGATGTCTATCATCAAAGGGCTTCAGTTTTTCTAAGAATTTTCCAAGTTGCCACAGAGCAGGTCCTGCAGCTTCAGACTTCAAAGTGATCTCATGGAAGCAAGTAGGAGGCAGGAGGAACTACTCTGCAGTTAAGTTTGACAACACAGGGGCCTTAGATTTTTAACCCTGTGAAGTGAAGAGCCCTCTAACTGATCTCCAGGGTTGATGTCAGTTTAAAAAAAAAGTATTTTAAGTTTACTTTCCTTTGACGAAATACAGTACTAAGCATGTATTATTATGAAGAATTAAAATTAGTCTTTCCTATTAGGCAAGCACCTATAGTTATTACTTGTTTTATTATTTCGTATCTTAATGTGTATTTAAGGATACTGATTAGCTGATGCCCAGATTGCACATTTGTGATTTTCCTCCTCTTCTCTTGCTCCCTAAGGACATTGTCAATACCATCATCAAGCACTGCTCTCCTCAGTTTTTCTCACTCGGCTTGCCTGGTGCCACAATGCTTATTATGGATTTTATCGTAGCAGCTGGCAGAGTGGCTTCTTCAGCTTTTCTAAATGTAAGTTTTCATTTCCTATTCTTCATAATGTAACAAACAGCAGTTAACCAAGATGCAGCTAACAAAGCAACAAAGGAAGAGCTATTGTTGACAAAATATGACAAGCTGATGTTTAGGAAAAATATTTAATTAGAATTAAGCCTCATTTTAGATCCCACACATATCATCTTCCTTTTGTTAATCCCCCCATCCCTAGACAGATAGATTACAAAGTAATTTGATTAGGTGTCACCTTTCTTAATTACAGTTGCATTCCAGTTGTGCCTTCCATTATGCCCCACATACCTGAACAAGTATTCCCAATTTTATTGTTCAGCTTTAAAGAAAACCCATAGCTAATCTCTGTCATTAATTTTTTTTTCACTTTTGTAGTAAAATTGATTTTTAATTGAGATAGTGGTTGTGAGCCTACCGTGCTCCATTATGCCTCTGGCCTTGTATCCATAAATCTAGATTATGTTTTAAATATGGAAATGAGTTACTTTGTTAAAGATTAGAATACTCCATCACTTCTGTTACAGCATTTATTAACATAAGGAAACCCTTTTGGAGATAGATTCTTGTTTTATGTGTATAGAAGATGTTTTATATTTCTAATAGATTTGTTTTAGCATTTTTGTTAGGCATGCTTAAACATACATCAGTGTGTAGGTATTTTAGTAATTAAGTAAAGCATTGTATCAGTAGGTGGATGTTGATGGTTCTTGGGCATGAAAGAAGGCAGAAGAAGAAAAATAAACATTCAGTGCTGATACTTAAGAAATGGCTTAATGTAGCCAAAGAGAAAGGATGGAAAGTTACCTTCATCCTCAATCTAAGCATAATTTATTTTTCATTTATTTTTCATTTATTTTTGTTAGTTGGAGGCTAATTACTTTACATTATTATAGTGGTTTTTGCCATACATTGACATGAATCAGCCATGGATTTACATGTGTTCCCCATCCTTATCCCCCCTCCCACCTCCCTCCCCATCCCATCCCTTTGGGTCTTCCCAATGCACCAGCCCTGAACACTTGTCTCATGCATCCAACCTGGGCTGGTGATCTGTTTCACCATTGATAGGATACCTGTTTCAATGCCATTCTCTCAGATCATCCCACCCTCGCTTTCTCCCACAGAGTCCAAAAGTCTGTTCTATACATCTGTGTCTCTTTCTGTGTCCTGCATATAGGGTTATCGTTACCATCTTTTTAAATTCCATATATATGCATTAGTATACTGTATTGGTCTTTACCTTTCTGGCTTACTTCACTCTATATAATGGGCTCCAGTTTCATCCATCTTATTAGAACTGATTCAAATGTATTCTTTTTAATGCCTGAGTAATGTTCCATTGTGTATATGTACCATAGCTTTCTTATCCATTTGTTGATGGGCATCTAGGTTGCTTCCATGTCCTGGCAATTATAAACAGTGCTGTGATGAACATTGGGGTGCACGTGTCTCTTTCAGATCTGGTTTCCTCAGTGTGTATGCCCAGGAGTGGGATTGCTGGGTCATGTGGCAGTTCTATTTCCAGTTTTTTAAGGAATCTCCACACTGTTCTCCATAGTGGCTGTACTAGTTTGCATTCCCACCAACAGTTCACCCTCTCCAGCATTTATTGCCAAGCATAATTTTTAATTTTTTTTATTAAGTAGTATAGGTAGTGTTTTTATTATGTACATAATACAGTAAAACTCATCTAGGCTAGTGCCTATTTCTTGAAGATACAGTGAACATTTTCATTCCTAGTTACTTTATTTATCCTTAGGTCGTTACAGATGTAATATAGAGACACCGAGTCTTCTACTCATTAGAACAATCTATTACAGTGCATAAGTTGCCTTTAAAATGAAAGTATATTTTTCCTCGAAATTAGGGTAATTTTATGCTGTTAGCTAAAACTGTATTCCTGTCTACATACTCATTAGCTGCAGCCACATTTCTGCTTTTTAGCTGCTCTTAAGGAAAGCTCTGTTTGTTCATTGCCTTTATTGAGAATAACAGTAGTTTATGTGGAAAGTATAGGTGAAAACCTACTCTTTTTGTGTTCCCCTTTCCTTTTTGAATTTTGTCTTGTACTCTGACTTCCCTGTGTAATCTGATGAGGTAATAAAGTAATTTTTCTGGTAAGTTAAAGATTTTTTAAATCTGATACATAGGCACCAAGAGTGGAAGCACAAGTTCTTCTGGGATCTTTGGTTTGCTTTCCCAACTTGTATTGTGAACTGCCTGCTCTCCATCCCAACATCCCTGATATTGCTGTGTCTCAATTTACAGATGTTAAGGTAAGAAGTCAGAGACTAATTTATAATCATAACAGTATACTCAGGAAAATTTGCATTCTTTATTTTCCTCTAGAAAGCCACACAATTTTTAAAGAACATTAGCCCGCTGTACCCCTCAGACACAAAGGCTGGAATGTTCATTAGGAGCATAGCCTTTTTTATTTGTAACTACTGTGGAAACATTTTCTCACTGTTGAACCCACTTATATGTCATTATCTTAGGATTCATTCGTTCACTCACTGAACATTTATTGAAATCCTGAGTCAGATATGATGCTGCTAATGTAAGGCTTCTAAGATTGATGGCACTCGGCCTGCGCATTTGACTTTCCTTCCAGTTTGCCAAGGTGGTGAATCAAATAATGTAAAGGAATATTCTTTTCTGCTCTAGGAAACTATGGAATTGGGCTGGGGATCCCATGTACCTGAAGTATTAACAGGCTTAAACAAGAGATGGTGCAAAATTGAAGTGACCATGCAATTGCTTACCCAGATAATAAACCTTTCTTAGCTACTATAAATTCCCGTGGGTTTAACAGTCCTAAGAAGTTGTACTTGTTATAGTAATTGCCAAATGGTCTCTGTGAGCTGAGTTGGCCCTAGAATTAGAAGGAAAAAGAGAATAAAGAAGGGACAAGACAGTAGCATTCTGTCTCCTTGAGAGTCATGCTGATGACTTTTTTAAAACACATGTGCTTTCTCTGAAAAATTTTTTAAGACCAATTTTTGTCTGGAATATTGCATATACTTTCCATACCACCTTTGTTTTTCTTTATCACACTTGTTATCTTTCAGTGTCTGATTTATACTTTAGACAAATAAACACCAAGGTCTTAGTTCCTGCTACATCCTCAAGCTTAACATGATGCTTGGCATGGAGAATATACTCAGACATTTTTTAGACAAGTGAACTTCACTGAAACATAAAATCATAGGGGCTGATGTGAATTTGCAATGATATTTGATTGAAATTATACAAATTGACCTTTACTGTTTAGGAATATAATGGCTTTGGTTTCTTCTATGTTCAGAAGATTCTGAAAATCAAAAATAAGTTAAGAGCTTCAGTGTTCTTAGGCAGTTTTGAGTTTGTTTGAGCTTAGCTTAGCCTGCTATATGTGATTTGCATGAACTCAGTGGCCTTCTACTTTGTAGGCCATTGTATAGGAAGTAATGGCTGAAGTGATTTAAAAAATAATAATAATAACACTGTCACATAGAGGGGCTGCCCTGGTGGTGCAGATGGTAAAGAATCCACCCGCAATGTAGGAGACCTGGTTTGATTCCTGGGTCAGGAGATCCCCTGGAGAAGGGAATGGCCACCCACTCCAGTATTCTTGCCTGGAGAATTCCATGGACAGAGAGGAAGGAGCTTACATAGAAAGCTCTAGGGTTTAAACAATAGGTAACTTCCACCTACCTATTAATTCCTAGCCATTGGGCTAGATGCTAAATTCACAAAGGTAAGTAGAAGTTCACTCCTCTTAAGGACCTTACAGTCTGTATATGTGATAAATCTTTAGTGAATGAAATATGAATTCTATTCCAGTTTCTATAGACTATAAGCCAGGAGACACTGGCACATATCCAGGGACATAAAACAAGATACAAAAATTTCATGGCCTAATGGTATTGAAATCATACAGAATCTGTTCTCTTATCACTGTAGAATTATGTTAGAAATCATTATCAAAAGATAAATTGAAAATATTTTGAAATGTAATGTGACATTTACCAAGAAAGATATTTGACTTAGCCATTGAAAACTTCTAATTGAATGATTTTTAAAAAATACATTAACTATTAACTGGCCCTTCTCCCCAAATTCACACATATCATGGTTTACAATTTTTAAAGAAGCAGCTTGCTTTTAAATGATAATTCTCAAAGTTTTGAAAAGTTTAAAAAGATGTTCATACCTTTTAGCTATTAAATCTGCTTTAATTATCTTTATAGTGAACATATTATTGCTTTTCTAATCAGGAAAAAAAGCTGGCTTAAAACACAACATTCAAAAAACCAAGATCATCTGGTCCCATCACTTTATAGAGAATAGAAGGGGAAAAGTGGAAGCAGTAACAGATTTTATTTTCCTGGGCTCCAGAATCACTTTGGATGATGACTGCAGCCATAAAGTTAAAAAACGCTCCTTGGAAGGAAAGCTGTGACAAACCTAGACAATGTATTAAAAAGCAGAGACATCCCTTTGCCAACAAAGGCCATATAGTCAAAGCTATGGTTTTTCCAGTGTTTGTGTATGGCTGTGAGAGTTGGACCATAAAGAAAGCTGAGTGCTGAAGAATTGATGCTTTGGAGTTGTGGTGCTATTAAGACTCTTGAGAGTCCTTTGGACTGCAAGGAAATTAAACTAGTCAATCCTAAAGGAAACCAACACTGAATATTCATTGGAAGGACTAATGCTGAAGCTTTAGTACTTTGGCCCTGTGATGCAAAGAGTCGACTCTTTGGAAAAGACCCTGACGCTGGGAAAGATTGAAGGCAAAAGGAGAAGAAGATGAGATGGTTGAGGGTGAAATGATTAGATAGCATCACCAATTTAATGGACATGAATTTGAGCAAACTCTGGGAGATAGTGAAGTACAGGGAAGCCTGGCGTGCTGCAGCTCATGGGGTCACAAAGAGTTGGACATGACTTAGTGACTAAACAACAACAAAATCAGGAAAAAGTTTTTGAACATATACATTTGGTGATAAATTTCCAAAAATATTTGTCTGCTGTAACAAAATACTACAGAATGGGTAGCTTATAAGTGACCAAAATTTATCTCTTACAGTTCTGGAGGCTGAGCCCCAAATCAAGGCTCTAGCATAGTCACTTTGTGGTGAAGGCCCTCTTCCTGGTTCTTAGCTTGTGCCTTCTTGCTATTTCCTCACAGAATAAGAAGTGCTTAGGGAACTCTGTGGGAGTCTCTTATAAGAGTGTTAATCCCATTTATAAAGGTTCCACCCTCATGGTCTAAGTACCTCCTAATACCATCATCTTCAGGGGTTGGGATTTCAGTGTATGAATTTGCAAGGAGAGCACAAACATTCAGGCCATACTATTGTTTTATTTAGGGCTTTCCCTAGTGGCTCAGATGGTAAAGCGTCTACCTACAATAAGGGAGACCTGGGTTCGATTCCTAGGTTGGGAAGATCCTCTGGAGATGGAAATGGCAACCCACTCCAGTACTCTTGCTTGGAAAATCCTGTGGACGGAGAACCCTGGTAGACTACAGTCCATGGGATTCCCAAAGAGTTGGACACAACTAAGTGACTTCACTTTCTTTCTTTCTTTCTTTCTATTGTTTCATTTATTTAGCTAACTTTGTGAATAACATTGGAATATATTAAAATTATGTACATGAGAACAAAAATGTATGTTTTATTTCTCTGTTGTATCCCTAGTGCCTAGGCCCATAGTGACTATTTAATAAACATTTGCTGAATAAATGAATGGAATCTTAGTCATGGCTACTGTTTCTCTTTCATTTTAGGAAATTATAATCAAAACTGTGTTAAGCTCCGCAAGGGATGAGCCCTCTGGTCCTGCACGGTAAGTCAGACTTTCTTAAAACTTGACATAACTCTTCTGCGGGTGCAGTTTTATTTTAAAAGTTAATTGAGTTATTTAGCAGTCCGGGTTGTTTCAGATGCACAAAAGCTATTCTGAATCACAAATTTAAATTATTTGGATGATTAAATTTTTCATTACAAACTTCCTTCAGTAAAAATAAAATAAAATCCTAGTTATCTTCTTCAGTATCTTCACCTTCTGTATCTAAAATGATTTCTTTTAATCTTATTAAAATTCAGCTACTCTAGAAAATGATATTGTCTTTTCCATTATTCCACATTTTCATTTCATTTAGCTTTAACTCTAAATTTGATGATTTTCAGTATTCTTTCCCTAGCATTTTCTGTGCTAATAATGACAACCTTCTAAGTTTACAGAGATATTCCTATAATATTATTCTATTCAATCCTCATCACAATTCTAAGAAATTATTAGAATCATTATTCTTCCAATTTTACTAGCAAGAAACTGGCAGCATAGAAAGCTAACATTCATTAAACTTTTTCCAAGTGCCAACCACTGTTATAAATACTTTATTACCTCACTTAATCTTTGCAACAATTTTTATCCTCCTTTTTATAGATGGAAGCCCAGAGAATTTTAGTAATCTGCCCTATCAAACAGAAAATGTAGAGCCATAATTGAAACCCTGGCAGTTTGTCTTCAGAGCCTTATTAGATGTATAAGTAATAAGTGGCAGAACCAGATTTGAACCTTAAGCTTCCAATTCTAGATATTCTGCCCTTTTCTTTTCTATTTTTTAATGTCATTGCCTTTCCAATGAAAGAATATTTAAGCCTAAAACATAATTATTCAAATATAGATTTATGAATCATTAACATAACAGCTGGTGTTGACAGTATAGGAGAATCCCAGAAGTTGAACATTAAACATTTTCTAAACTTGTTTGATTATACTTTTCGGAAATGTGGGGCCTTACGCACACAGACACACACACAAACCCTTTTCCTATACTTTTCAGGAATGTATGGCCTTACATACATATACAACCAAAAAACAAAACTTAAATATTTGTATTCCAGTTTGTGCCTTTAGTTAGCTGCACCCATGGAGAACTTTGCTTCACTTCAGAGTTTATTGTTATTTTAGGATTACAGCTCCTTCCGCTGCTAAGCCTGACACTTGGTTATTTAGATCTGTGAGTGTATAAAGTTTATGGGTGGACAAACTGAGAAAGAAAGCAAGCAGTAGATCACACATAAAGACTTTCTGCAGTTTTGATAGTAAATTAGTAGCATTAGCACTGAAAGGGGGACTTTGATCCATTACGTTCAGGAAGAAAAGTATTTCTGCATTGAATTGTTCTCAAATTTAGCATTATACTGAATCTAATTTAAGAGTATCAAGACATGGAAGATATATCAGAAAAACTAGAAGGAGTTGACTTATTTTTGTACCTTGAAAAGTTACATGCTTCATTAGAAGCTTATACTTGAACACACTAATAGAATTTTTACTGATTCTGATCATCAGATAACTTTCTTCAAGCTGAAACTCATATATAGTAGGGAACTGGAGTTTCACATTAGAAAACAAAACAAAAATTCTCCAAGTTCTATTTCTGTTGGAATTCCTTTATAAAGTGTATAAGTTTTGTGTTCTCAATTTGTTTTAAAGAGAATTCGTAGCTAGTTATGTTAAATTTAAAAGATATGAAAGAAAAAAATATTACTGCTATCATTCAATAAAATTACAGTTTCTTTTTTGAAAACAGGTTGCATATTTGTTTGGGAAATTGATGATATCAATTTGTCAGTATGGGTTTGTTAGAAAGATCCTGTATCTTTATCCCCACCTATGATCTTGATAGTAAATGGTAGTTGAAAATAAGGCTTAGAACAGGAAACTCTACTCAGTAGTCTGTAATAATCTGTATGGGAAAAGAGTCTGAAAAGGATGGATATACGTGTATCTGAATCACTCTGCTGTACACCTGAAGCTGACAGCATTGTATCAACTATACTCCACTATAAGATAAAGATTAAATTAAGCTTAAAAAATAAGGCTTTGCGTTTGGGTTCTCCCACTTTATCTTCCTAGGTAACAAATTGATTAATGAACAGTAATGAATTGATTAACAATAACAAATTGATTAATTCGCCTAAATTGTGCATATTCACTCTAGGTTGGTTGGTTGGGAATATTTTGGTTGTGGTGGTGGTATCATTTCATTTACAGGCATACCTGCTTTTATTTATATCATTACTGGTTGCCTTTTTGCAGATGTGTAGCACTTTGCAGTTTAGGTATTTGGATTTGTGAAGAACTAGTCCATGAGTCTCATCATCCTCAAATTAAGGAAGCTCTGAATGTAATTTGTGTATCCTTAAAGGTAAGTAAGTAAATATTTAGAAGACTGTATTAAGATAGTATAGAATGCATGATTATTTTCCCCCAAATGTTAATTATATCTTGTGCATTACATTATTTCCTTGATTCTGACGTTTTCCTTAGTAGTTCTACTCTTGAATTTAGGGTATCTTAGTGATGGCCTGTTTTATTCCAACTTTTTATGTATTTGGCTTTGTCCCTAAGATACATATGGATGACTGCTATAAAGGAAACCAGTCATTTAACAACATATGTAGGGCTGTGTACCATTTCTTAATCAGTATTTTTGTAACCTACTCTTTGATCTTTATTACCTCATGAATTCTTAAGCTGTTCCACTTTTTGGCTTTTTCATTCAAGTTAAATGCTCTGTTTATGACCAGAATCAGATTTGTTCAGAAATAATAACCTGATTATTTGGATTCTCAGTGAACAAATGAATATTTTTATTAGTAAAAAGATTAGTGATATTATTTTTTGTTGTGTGACTTGTCATACGATATCTATATAGAACTCTAAACACATAAAATACAAAATTACTTGACAGGTATTTCTGAGTATATACTATGTTTGAGGTGCTTTGGTAGGCAGAGGTGAAATACAGAATAAAAAAGAAATGTAAATATTAGATTGAAGAGATTAATAATGTGGCTGAAAAAGATCAAAATTTGATCAAAAATTACTCTTAATAAGAGTAATAAAATATAAAATGCCGAGAGAACCAAATGAATGGTGCATGTAAGCTGCTGATTCAGTTCAGAGAAAGCAGAGGTTACTTTGACTTAGTTATCAGAGAAGACTTTAGAAAGAGGACACATCTAGTCAGGGCTTAAAGAGCGGGTGAGATTTGGTCGTAAAGAGATAGCATAGAAGTTTGACTTTATACCAGTGGGGAGTCATCTAAGATTTTTAAGCACAGAGAATGTCAGCATCAGAACAGTTCAGAAAACAATTTGGAAGTATCATACACAGATTGGAATGGGGAAAATGGGATAACAAGATTAGCAGTTTAGAGGCCATTCTAGAAATGAAATAAAAACTTTAATGAGGACAAACGTTACAAAGAAAAAATTAAGTTAATTATATATTTGGAATGTATTATGATTTTTAATTTTGCAGGTTATATTTATCTTTCTAATATTTTAATATAAATATAGAGTGACAAAATAAACATGTATATACAATTAAAAATTTTTCAATAACTAGTGCATAAATGAATAATATCAAGAAATTTTTTATATTTCTTTTTTGTTTTTTTTCTTCTTATTACTACAGTTTACTAATAAAACAGTAGCCCATGTAGCTTGTAACATGCTTCACATGCTGGTTCATTATGTACCTAGACTTCAGATTTACCAGCCTGATTCTCCCTTGAAAATTATTCAAGTAAGTAATTTCTCATTTGTTTATTATGACTTGTTAAGGATTCTTATATTTGGATACCTTGAAATATAGTCCTTTTCTATATTACATTATCTTAATATATTAAGAGATTATGTGGTTGGTTTTAAATGCTATGTGCAAATTTATTATTGCTGTTGTCTTTATAATGTATATTCAGTATCATTCCCTGTCTTAGGTTAGAAAACGGTTACCAAAATCAGAACATTATTTTGGTTCTTTCCTTCCCTTTCCTCTTCTGCCAGTCATTTATAAAGTGTTTTCTTTTTTTTTTTTTTTCTTTTAATTCTGTGTGTTCTGTGCTTCCTGTAACACAAGATACTATAATAGCCTTTTAAACTGGTCTCCTGGCTTCTGAGGTCATCCCTCCAAGTCATCATTCATATTGACATGACTTATGTCACTATCCTGAAGGAGAAAAAAACAATGAAACTAAAGTCTCCAAGTGGTTTTCTTTTACCTATAAAATAAGACCCAAACTCTTTAGTTGCGACTTACTTGGAAGCCTCCAGATGAGAACCCATACCATCTTTTCAGAATCATGTACAGATTCCTTTGATGAAATACCCTGTAGTCTAGGCACCTGAGTCAGCTATTATCCCCTAAACATACCCTTTACTCATCTTCTTACCTAAAATGCTCTACTTTCTCTGCCCACCTCATCTTTCAGTGATTGGTTTAAATACCATCTCCTCAAAAAACAAGAACCCTTACTTATTCTTTCCAACCAGAATTTATCTTTCTTATCTTCATGTTCTTATAACATTTTTAGGAAAGACAGTAATATTTATTAAGCACTTACCATGTATCAGTCATTATACTGGTCACCTTTTCATATGTTACCTCATTTAATTCATAAAAGGTCATTTGAAGCAGATTGTTATGTTATCTCTTCCTCCTCTTCTCCCTTTATATGAGATAAGAGAAGTGAGGATATAGTAACTACATAAAGTCATAAGCTAAACCAGGGTAGAAACAGAGTTCAAACCCAGTCTCTTAAATTTCAGGTCCAGGCTTTTGCCACTCAACCATTGTCACCAAGGCCCTATTATAGCACTAAATATATTTGTGTAAAAAATCTAAGCTTCTTTAAGGCAGTGACAGTTTTTCTTATTAGTTTTTATGCATAGGATGACTTTCATATAGAATCTCTTAAATATCTGTTGAGTTTAATACAGTATTATGGATCAGAGATTGGGTTTGAAGGTTAAACATCGTTTAATTAACCCACAACTCTGCCATTTACTAAGTTTGTAACTATGAACAAATTACTCAGTCCTCTAAACTTTGACTTTCTTTATGTCTGCACTTGGGATAAAAGTACCTACCTCACAGAGTTGCTCTGAAAACTAAATGAGAAAATATATATAAAACACTGATACATTTTGCCATAAAAGTGATGGGACATAAATTTTAAAAAGTGTGTTGGCTGCAGCTACTGTCATAATCTTGCAGGATTTGATAACTGGATGTAAATGTGAATGTTCATATGTATATATATGTATTAAAGCATTTGTAATTTTAAAACTTGAAAATTTTACTTTTTAAGATTGGTTATTCTAAATGGGACCTAATGAAACTTAAAAGCTTTTGCACAACAAAGGAAACTTAAGCAAGGTGAAAAGACAGTCCTCAGATTGGGAGAAAATAATAGCAAACGAAGCAATAGACAAAGGATTAATCTCAAAAATATACAAGCAACTCCTGCAGCTCAATTCCAGAAAAATAAATGACCCAATCAAAAAATGGGCCAAAGAACTAAACAGACATTTCTCCAAAGAAGACATACAGATGGCTAACAAACACATGAAAAGATGCTCAACATCACTCATCATCAGAGAAATGCAAATCAAAACCACAGTGAGGTACCATTACACCCCAGTCAGGATGGCTGCTATCCAAAAGTCTACAAGCAATAAATGCTGGAGAGGGTGTGGAGAAAAGGGAACCCTCTTACACTGTTGGTGGGAATGCAAACTAGTACAGCCGCTATGGAGAACAGTGTGGAGATTTCTTAAAAAACTGGAAATAGAACTGCCATATGACCCAGCAATCCCACTTCTGGGCATACACACTGAGGAAACCAGATCTGAAAGAGACACATGCACCCCAATGTTCATTGCAGCACTGTTTATAATAGCCAGGACATGGAAGCAACCTAGATGCCCATCAGCAGACGAGTGGATAAGGAAGCCGTGGTACATATACACCATGGAATATTACTCAGCCATTAAAAAGAATTCATTTGAATCATTTCTAATGAGATGGATGAAACTGGAGCCCATTATACAGAGTGAAGTAAGCCAGAAAGATAAAGAACATTACAGCATACTAACACATATATATGGAATTTAGAAGGATGGTAACGATAACCCTATATGCAAAACAGAAAAAGAGACATAGATGTACAGAACAGACTTTTGGACTCTGTGGGAAAAGGCAAGGGTGGGATGTTTTGAGAGGAAAGCATCGAAACATGTATATTATCTATAGTGAAACAGATCACCAGCCCAGGTTGGATGCATGAGACAAGTGCTCGGGCCTGGTGCACTGGGAAGACCCAGAGGGATTGGGTAGAGAGGGAGGTGGGAGGGGGGATCGGAATGGGGAATACATGTAAATCCATGGCTGATTCATGTCAGTGTATGACAAAACCCACTACAATATTGTAAAGTAATTAGCCTCCAACTAAGAAAAATAAATGAAAAAAAATAATAATAAAATTTTAAAAAAAAGATTGGTTATTCTGCTGAAAGTTAAGGTATTCTTTAAGCAGATTTTTTTTTCTCATTTGAAAGCCTCCAAATGCTCTCTTATATTTTCTTTCTCAGTTTATGTATTTTAATACTTACCTAAATAATTCTTAGGTGTGTAGAGTTTTTGCAGATTGCCTCATTATAAATTATGGTGGCCAATGGCTACAGATAAATAGTTATACTTCACCTCTAATTGAATGAAGAGATGAAATGCTAAAATAATAGAGGAATTCCCTAATGGCTGCCTACTTGCATAGTTAGGAATAGAATCCCAGTTCTATTACCATTATTAAGTATTAATCTGATATACTAGATTCATTCTGTTAGTGAGTAAAACCTTTTACAGTGTAAATAACCTTAGAGCAATTTTTTTGCTTGAAGCACTCATTTATAAAAATGTAATAGCATGGAATAAAAATACAATAAGTTTACCTCAATACATTTTTAACATATACATTAAAAAATTGAATAAGACTAAGAAATTTTCAGGGTAAATGATAAAACTGTATTAATATTTTGCTTTATTTAATAAGGTCTTCTATTTCATACTTTATCAATTTTGTTCATACTATGTTAAGTGTACAATATATGTTAATTTAAAAAGTCACATTATAAAATTTTTTTTAAGAGTCATATATTTGCAAGTATGTATACCACAATATCCAGGCAGACAAGAGTAAATTATTTTTCCCTCACTTCCTTGGGGAATAATTGATAAATATATTTAAAATGTATAAAGCAATGATTTGATATTGTAGAAGGGTTATCAAAATCAAGATAATTAACATATTGATTATTACACATTGTAATTTTTCTTATGGTGAGAATGCTTCAGGTCTACTCTTAGCAACTTTAAGATAATATTGTATGATTAACTGTATTTACTGTACTGTACGTTAAATCCTTAGAATTTATTATTCTTATAGCTGAAAATTTGTGCCCTTTGACCTCCATCTCCCCAGTTCACTGGACCTCAGCCCCTGGCAACCACTATACTATTCTATTTCTATAAAATCAGCTTTTTTTAGATTCCACATGTAAGTGATACCATACAATATTACCTTTCTCTGGATTATTTCATTTAGCATAATACCCTTCAGGTTTTTTCATGTTCTCACAACTGACAGGATTTTCTTCTTTCCTATGATTTAATAATATTCAATAGTCTATGTGTGTACACCACAATTTCTATATCCATTTATCTGTCAAAAGACATGTGGGCTGTTCCATATCTTGGCTATTTTGAATAATACTGCAGTGAACATGAGTGTGCATTTATCCCTTTGAGATACTGATTTTATTTCCTTCATGTGTATACCCAGAAGTAGTGTATATGGTAGTTACATTTTTAATTTTATGAGGAACCTCCATACTGTTTTCCATAATGACTGTACCAGTTTACATTCTCACTAAGAGTGTATAAGGGTTCCCTTTTCTCCACATTCTCACCAACATCAGTTCTCTCTTGTCTTTTTAAAAATAGCCATCCTAACAAATGTGAGGTGATACTTCATTGTGATTTTGATTTACATTTTCCTGATGATTACTGATGTTGGGTACTTTACCGTGTTCTTATTGTCCATTTGTGTGTCTTTGGCCGAATGTCTACTCAGAATCTTTGCCCTTTTATAAATTCAGATAATTTGTTTGGCTGTTGGGTGTAGAAGTTCCTTGTATATATTAGATATTAACCCCTTACAGATATACAGTTTGCAAATATTTTTTCCCTTTGTAAGTTGTCTTTTCACTTTATTGATGGTTTCTTTCTCTGTGCAGAAGCTTTTAGTTTATATAGTCCTACTTGTTTATTTTTTCTGTTGCTTGTGCTTTAGGTATGATTTCCAAAAAATTACTACCAAGACCCATGTCACAGAGCCTTTTTCCTATGTTTTCTTCTAGGAGTTTTAAGGTTTCAAGCCTTTGTATTGAGACTTTGATCCATTTCAAGCTAATTTTTATGAGTGGTATAAATTAGGGGTCCAGTTTCATGCTTTTGCACATGGATACCCAGTTTTTTTCAACACCACGTGTGTGTGTTCTCAGCATCCTTGTCAAAAATAGACTGTATATAGGGGTTTATGTCTAGACTTCATTCCAATGCATTGGTCTGTGTGCCTGTTTCTATGTCAGCCCCTTACTGTCAGTGCCATGTTTTGATTGTTGTTGTTAAGTCGTGTCCGACTCTTTGCGACCCCATGGACTGCAGTATGCCAGGCTTCCCTGTCCTTCACTATCTCCCAGAGTTTACTCAGACTCATGTCGTTTGAGTCAGGTGATACCATCCAACCATCTCATCTTTTGTTGCCCCTTTTCCTCCTGCCTGCAATCTTTCCCAGCATCAGGGTCTTTTCCAGTGAGTCGGCTCTTCCCATCAGGCGGCCTAAGTATTGGAGCTTCAGCTTCAGCATCAGTCCTTCCAATGAGTATTCAGGGTTGATTTCCTTTGGTACTGACTGGTTTAATCTCCTTGCAGTCCAACGGACTCTCAAGAATCTTTGCCAGCACCATAATTCAAAAGCATCGATTCTTCGGGTCTCAGTCTTCTTTATGGTCCAGCTCTTACATCCGTACATGACTACTGGGAAAACCATAACTTTGACTCTATGGACTTTTGTCGGCAAAGTGAAGTCTGTGCTTTATAATATGCTGCTTGGGTTTGTCATAGCTTTCCTTCCAAAGAGCAAGCATCTCTTAATTTCATGGCTGCAGTCACTGTCCACAGTGGTTTTGGAGCCCAAGAAAATTAAGTCTTTCACTGCTTCTACTTTTTCCCCTCCTGTTTGCTGTGAAGTGATGGGACCAGATGCCATGATCTTAGGTTTTTGAATGTTGAGCTTCAAGCAAGCTTTTTCACTGTCCTCTTTCACCTTCGTCAAGACACTCATTAGTTCCTCTTCACTTTTTGCCATTAGAGTAGTATCATATGCATATCTGAGGTTGTTGATACTTCTCCTGTCAATCTTGATTCCAGCTTGTGATTCATCCAGCCTGACATCTCACATGATGTATTCTGCATATAATTTAAATAAGCAGGATAACAGTATACAGCCTTGCTGTACTCCTTTCCCAATTTTGAACCTGTCAATTGTTCCATGTCCATGTTCCATATTTTGATTGCTCTAGCTTTATAATAAAACTTGAAATCAGGGAGTGTGACGCCTCCAGCTTTGTTCTTTTTTCTCAAGATTGCTTTGGCTCTTTGGTTTTGTGTGTGGTGGGGGTGAGGAATTCCATTCAAATTTTATGCTATTTTAGGATAGTTTTCTCTAATTCGAGAAAAATGCCACTGGAATTTTGATAGGATTACACTGAATCTGTAGATCACTGTGGGTAGTGTGAACAATTAAACTGTTAATTCTTCCAATCTATAGCATGGACTATCTTTCCATTCATTTGTCGTCTTCAGTTTCATTCAATAGTGTTTTCTAATTTTCAGTATATAGATCTTTCACCTCCTTGGTTAAATTTATTCTTAAGTATTTTATTGACTTCAATGCTGTTATAAATTAATTTCTCTTTGTGATAGTTTATTGTTGGTGTATAGAAATGCAACTGAATTTTATATGTTGATTTTTGCATTCTGCAACTTTACTGAATTCACTTATGAGTTCTAATCTAACAGGGAGTTTTTTTGGTGGAATGTTTAGGATTTACTGGGTATAGGATCATGTCATCTACAAATAAAAATAATTTTATTTCTCCCTTTCAGATTTGGATGCTTTTTATTTCTTTCTCTTGCCTAATTGGTGTGGTAGGATTTCCAATACTGTGTGGAATAGAAATGACAGTTATGAGCATCCTTGTCTTGTTCCCAACTTTAGAGGAAAGGACATTAACTTTTTACTTTCAAGTATGTTGTTAGCTTTGGGCTTGTCCTGTATGGAGTTTATTATGTTAAGATACCTTCCTTCTAAAAAAAATAAAAATAAAAATAAGATACCTTCCTTCTTAACTTGTTGAGCAAAGCAGAGGTCTTGAGTCATAAATTACCAGTGGTTTTTAATATGTCATTTTGCTTGTCTGTATCTTCTGATTTTTCTGTCAGAACATATATTCAGTTCAGTTCAGTTCATTTCAGTCGCGTTCAACTCTTTGTGACCCAATGAATCACAGCACGCCAGGCCTCGCTGTCCATCACCAACTCCCAGAGTTTACTCAAACCCGTGTCTGTCCATCAAGTTGGTGATGACATCCAACCATCTCATCCTCTGTCGTCCCCTTCTCCTCCTGCCCCCAATCCCTCCCAGCATCAGGGTTTTTTCCAGTGAGTCAACTCTTCGCATGAGGTGGCCAAAGTACTGGAGTTTCAGCTTTAACATCAGTCCTTCAGTGAACACCCAGGACTGATTTCCTTTAGGATGGACTGGTTGGATCTCCTTGCAGTCCAAGGGACTCTCAAGAGTCTTCTCCAACACCACAGTTCAAAAGCATCAATTTTTCCGTGTTCAGCTTTCTTTATAGTCTAACTCTCACATCCATACATGACCACTGGAAAAACCATAGCCTTGACCAGATGGACCTTTGCTGGCAAAGTAATGTCTCTGCTTTTTAATATGCTATCTAGGTTGGTCATCACTTTCCTTCCAAGGAGTAAGCATCTTTTAATTTTATGGCTGCAGTCACCATCTGCAGTGATTTTGGAGAACATATATTACTTGTATATTTATACATATTGATTCAAGAATTGAATCTATAAGAAAGCCATTTATAGTTAAGAGAGCATATATAACTTTGGTTCTGTACCTTAAGTTGTAAATGTTTGATAGTTAAGTATACTTGAAAAACTGACCTATTAAAAATTACTTTGAAATAACAATATATTTTGGCTTAAATTTTCAACAGTATATTTTCTATCACTTTATTAGCATTAGTGTTTGTTTTAAGATACAGCGTTAGTTTGACGTATTTTGAGCTTTTTTTTAATTTCTTGCAGATTCTAATAGCCACTATTACCCATCTTTTGCCAAGTACGGAAGCATCATCTTATGAAATGGACAAGAGGGTAATTTAAATTTGTTTTTATATTTAACAATGTGATTATCTAGCAAAATATTTATATTTTTAAACCGTGAAGGTATATATATTTATGTGGGACACAGTTAATCTTAAAGTTAATTATAATATGAGATAAAGCTTTTCATTATTTAAGTATAGCTAAATTATATTTTTAGTTCATATTTCAAATTAATCATGGTCATTTTATAAAGTCTTTAAATTTTAGGGTTGTAAGGAACTTGGGAGGGTTCTGTCCATTTTATTTTATTTTTTTTACTTGTTATGATCTTATTTATCCTTGAAATTTATTAATTGTGAGGAACTCATTCTTAAGGAAGCCATGCATTTTTATATAACTATCACTGATAGAAAGTAAAGAAATTTCCATTAAGGAGAGTTCATATAATGTATAAAGGTATGATGCTTTGGAGAAGACATACCCTTTGGCCATCAGAAAGTTCTACAAGATTGTGTTTATCTCAGTACATTTATGATGAGATTCCTTAATTATTTCAGATATTGTACTTATCAGTCTAAAGTTTCTATTTGATATCTCTTTATAGTTTTCATATCTTTCCTGAAATTCTGTATTACTTCATCAGTTATCTCCATTTTCTCTTATAGATTTTTAATATATGTATTGTAATTAAAGTTCTAGCTGCTAAATTCAATATCTGGATTATTGATGAGTCTGTTTCCATTGAACTTTTTTCCTAAAGACTGTAGGTTCCACTTTGCTGTTGGTGCATATGTCTGTTAATTTTTTGCACAAAGCTTATTATAGAGACTAGATATGTGCTGCCTAAATGATAGCTACTTATCCTGTGTGACTTTACATAAAATTAAATTGAACATCTACATGAAAATTTTAATTCCTTGTTTGTACCAGCCACATTTCAAGTGCTCAGTAGCCACATGGGCAAATATATATATACCATTTCCATCACTGCACAAAGTTCTATCAGACAGTGCTGCTCTAGATCCTGTTCATTTTCTCTCAAAATTATTCCTTCCCATTTTCACATCCCAGTCTTGAATTCTCTTCAAATCTCAGTGTTATGATTTCTTAATCATATTGTGTTGAAATCTCATGTATTCTGCCCATTGTTTACAGAACTCTGTAGTTATAGTTATGTTTCTGGACCTAGTCTCAGTTATTTTCTTGTGTGGGCTTGTTGTTGTTTAGTTGATAAATCATGTCCGACTCTCTTTGACCACATACTGCAGCACGCCAGGCTACTTTGTCTTTCACTATCTGCCAGAGTTTGCGCAAATTCATGTCCCTTGAGTCAGTGATGCTTTTTAATATTTTTTGGTCTTTCCTGTTATCTTCCATATCACTAACTTCATGAGTTTACCTAAGAATTTTCTATTCTTCCTCTTTGTACTTAGTTTAAAACTCATTTGATCGTATTATCTCCCATCCAAGTACTAACCAGGCCTGACCCTGCTTGGCTTCCGAGATCAGACAAGATCGGGCGTGTTCAGGGTGGTATGGCGGTAGACTGATCGTATTATCTAATGATTGATAAGTACATTCTTCCTCATCTTTAAAAGACCCTGTTACTCCATTTTTAGGCAGGAGTCCTTCATTTTAGTGTCTTAAACTATGGTCAAGAATTCCAAATCCAATTTGTGAACTATATCTGGGTCACTAATTAGCCACCTCCTTCTTTATCATTTTGTCTTCCAAAGGCCTAACTATTTATATGAAAAAGCTCCACTACCAGGTTTTTGTTCCCCACCTACTTTATTCACTAAACATTTATTGATCACAAAATATGTCTGTGGTATTCTGCTTGGAGCTAGTTAGACATAAATAAGATGGTCCCTGCTCTCATGGATTTTGAAGATTAGAGATGCAAGTGAAGCAATCCAGTATAGTAAGTGCTTACTGTAAAAAGTAGAAAAATGTGTATGATACAAGGTAGAGGAGGAAGTAAATAACTATCAAGGCAGGAAGACTTGTTTTAAGGGAACAATTGCTTAAAGATGAATGGGGTCTTCTACATAAATGGAAACAAGTACAGTCAGAGAGTTATTCCAAGTGGAGGGAATAGCATGAGTAAAATCATGTGTACAGTGTCATGCTGTGTTATGGGAAGACAGTTATTGTTGTTCAGTCAATTATGTCCAACTCTTTGTGACCCCGTGGACTGCAGCACGCCAGGCTTCCCTGTCCTTCACTATCTCCCAGAGTTGACTCAACCCCATGTTCATTGATTCAGGGATGCCATCCAACCATCTCGTCCTCTGTCAGCCATCTCATCCTCTGTCGTCCCCTTCTCCTCCTGCCTTCAATCTTCCCCAGCATCAGGGTCTTTTCTAATGAGTCAGCTCTTCACATCAAGTAGCCAAAGTGTTGGAGCTTCAACTTCAGCATCAGTCCTTCCAATGAAATTTCAGGGTCAGTTTTCTTTAGGATTGACTGATTTGATCTCCTTTCAGTCCAAGGGACTCTTAAGATTCTTCTCCAACACTGCAGTTCAGAAGCATCAGTTCTTCGATGCTCAGCCTTCTTCATGATCCAACTCTCACATCTATACATGACTACTGGAAAAAAACCATAGCTTTAACTATATGGACCTTTGTTGGCAAAGTAATGTCTCTGCTTTTTAATATGCTGTCTAGGTTTGTTACAACTTTTCTTCCAAGGAGCAAGCATCTTTTAATGTTACGGGAAGACAGGAGGCAATTATTTCCATATTATAGGACTTGAAATGCATGATTCAAGGTTGGGAAATTAGGCATTAGATATAGAAAGGGGTCAGAATTCTACATGAAGAACCTTGGACTTTTGAGAATGTTGTTTTTTTGAAAGTGACTTTTTGGAAAGGTTTTAAGATGCAACAAAATGCCAGATGTGTGAGAGATCACTTAACAACGTGTAAAAGTCAAAAGGAATAATATAGTAATTGTTAATTATAATAATCTCCATGAGAATTTATAATGTTCTGAAATAAAGCTAAAGGAATAAAGGTAAATATTGACAAAGTGGCATTCATCACTAGCATCGGAAATAAAGAAAAAAAGCAGGATATTTGAAGAAAGATGCATTTCAGTTTTTAGTGTGTTGCACATAAGAAGTGATGCTCAGGTAGAGACCACCATCTATATAACTAATGTAGTAAATTTGAGGCTGGAAACAAAATTATTGGCATTGTCATTACATGAGTTGTATTAAACTGGGAATATATGTGATCACTTAAGGAGAAGCTAGAGAATAAGATAGGTTAGCAAAGTATAACACCTTGAAGAGTAAGAGTTAAAGAACAAGCAGAGAGGGAGTCACCAGGATAGTGACCTAGAGGGCTCCTGAGTTTTCCTCCTCTCTTGGGCCTGTGGAAGATATAGTTACACATGGAGCAGTTCTCTCTGAGAGAAATCCAGAAACTAATCAAGTGACCTCTAGACATCAAGTGACTGAGAAAATACCACATCAAAAATAGGTAGGAAAGGCTGTAGCACTCTTGTCATAAACCCCACTCCTAGCATAATTCCATACAGTCAGGAGGAAACTCCCAACTCACGCCCTGTCAGAGGAGAGAAGGGTTTAGACCATACATCTCGCACTCCACCATTTACGCCTGCCACCCAAGGGATAGACGCCAAATCACCTGGCTTGTACCTAGTTCCTCTTCCTCTTTTACACTCGCTCTTCACAAAAGCTTACAGTGGGAGAATGGGTGAAAGTTCATTGGATTTGCTATGTATATTTTATACTTACAGATAATTTGAAGTTTGAATGTTCTGTTTTCTGGTTGTACTGAAGATGTGGGATTTTGTTTGTTGTTGCAGTTGGTGGTATCCTTACTTCTGTGCCTTCTGGACTGGATCATGGCCTTACCTCTTAAGACACTGCTCCAACCAGTCCATGCTACAGGAGCAGAAAATGATAAAATAGAAAAATCTGTCCTTAATTGTATTTATAAGGTAACCTTTGCTTTATTATTTATTTGGTAACCAAGGATTTTTGAAACCTAAAGAATTAACATTTCTTGGTATTGCATTTTCATTGTTTTAGAGCTAGGAATTTTCTAAGAACATAGATTTATCTTACAGTACCTATGGATAATTAAAAAGTACTTCTTACAAGACTTTGTTTCATTGCAAAATTTTGAAAAGTGAAATCTTTGTTGAATGTGTGAGAATCATTAGTTAAATATTGCTCATTCTTTTTAAGATAAATTTTACCTTGATTGAAGAGCTGTGTTTAAATATTTAAAAATTTTGTCAAGTTCTTATATTAGCAGGTGTTTTCTCCTTTTACTTTTGTTTTCACTGAAAAGGAAAATTTGGTATGTTTTTTCCCCTGTATTTGCAGGTATTACATGGGTGTGTTTATGGAGCTCAGTGTTTTAGCAATCCAAGGTATTTTCCAATAAGTCTTTCTGATTTGGCATCTGTAGATTATGATCCTTTTATGCATTTGGAAAGCCTGAAAGAGCCTGAACCTTTGCACTCTCCTGATTCGGAACGATCTTCTAAACTCCAGCCAGTAACAGAAGGTAAAATGAATTCTCTTCAGGACAGTATTGTTGCTTGGGTTCTGCCATAGTATGATTTGAGGCCTAGGTAGAAATACTGGAAGGTAGTATATCTTAATTTATAATTGTTTACCTTGCCATGTATATTATAACTAAGTTCATTTTTAGTTTAAGGAATAACTTCAGATACACAATTACTAAGATGATATGTGATGACATTCCCTTTGTAGGTATTCTGATACGGATTAAGTTCTTTAACCATATTGTGATTAAGTTCTGATTAAGTTCTTTATTTTGGTTAAGTTCTTTAACCATATAGTTTTTGTTTCTGATTAAGTTCTTTAACCATATGTTTTTTATTCAGTGAGTTTACTATCTGAGATAAGGAACTATGTAGACAAGTAACCTTATGATATGATTACATATAAAAATAAAAGTACATCCAAGATGCACGAGTATATTATGATGCAGGGAACTCAAACCCAGTGTTCTGAGACAACCTAGAGGGGTGGGAGATGGGAGGGCAGTTCATCAGGGAGGGGACATATGTATACCTATGGCTGATTCATGTTGATGTATGGCAGAAACCAACACAATATTGTAAAGCAATTATCCTTCAATTAAAAATAAAAAAAGATGCAGGGGTAGCCCAGAGGAATCCCGCAATTATTGAAGGGTTTTAAGGAGGTGGTATACATGGTAAGATTAGTATTAAGAACTCTTTGAGAGTGGTATTTTAGGAGTCAGCAGACTGTGACCCACACCTGCCACCTAAATACAGTTTTATTGAGACACATCCATGCTGTTCATTTATGTATCATTATGGCTGCTTTTGTGTAGTAATAGCAGTGTTGAGTAGTTTGGACAGAGAGAGCATGGCCCATAAAACCAAAGATAATTACTCTCTGTCCTTTGCAGAAAAGGGGGTTTGCTTGATCCTTTAATATGTTAGATTGATTTTTAGGGAAGTTAATGCAGGATCAGAGACCAATCATGATGCTGTTGCAGTAGGAGAAACAAGAGTTGCTAAAGGGTTAAATTGGTTATATCTTCCCCAAACTAGACCAAGAGTATGAGAAAGTTTAGAGAATTAGGAAGGGAAATGAGAGCAGTATTAGAAATGGTTTAACTTGGAGCCACCTATTGGATATTCATGTGACTTAGTGGGACAGTTCATGGTACATGCAGATCTACATCTTAGCAGAGAAGTCTTCGTTAGGAATATGTATTTATACAGATGTGTGTGTTCTGAGAAGAAAAGGTTGAAAAGGAAGGAAAACCAGGAAAGAGTAGTGTCTCAGAAGCAGAAGAAAAAGATTTTTGAAAGACTGGCCACAGGTATTAAATGATAGAGATATTAAGTACAAAAAGACTGACAAATACATCTACTTTGGTTTTAGCAGAGAAGTAGGACAGAAGTGGATGACTGGGTTAAAGAGCAAGCAGGACATAAGGAAGTAGAGCCATTTGTCAAAAGTGCTCTTTAAAAAAGCTCAACTTTTTTTAATTTTAAAAAAGTCAAGAAAAATGATAAAAACAGATAAGATTATTCAGGATTAAAGGAGTTTTAAAGACAAAAAGAGTTAAACTCAATTATAAACTGAGAAAGAAAGTTGTAAGGGGTTCATTAACAGAGTGAGGTTCTTGAGAGCTAGAAAGTTTAGGTATTAATATTAGCTCTTCTTCTGAAATCAGGAAGATGAAAAAAATTGAAATAAGTTAAGAGGACTGACAGAAGTTATTGAGGACCCAATAGAAAGTAGAAACCACAATGTTTTGGTTGCATCTCTCAACATTCAGTAAATTGGATCTGGCAGATAGACAAGGGAACGATAGCTTTCAGAATATTGGTATAGGTTTAGTTATAGAATCAAGGGTTGGTAAGGATTGAACTGATGTTAGGAAATAGCTAATAAGCTGGAAGAAAGTAGAGGAGATCCTGTGAATCAGAAAGTAGATGTGGTCGGTGATAAGAAGTTTGAACAATGATTCTCAGCCTTGGCTACATATTACAATACTGATATTCTGGTGCCATCCATAGAGGTTTTGATATATTGGTCTGGGATTGCTGGAACTTTTAAAATGCTGCAGGTGATTAATATCCAGCCAAGGTTGAGAACCATTGACCTTATCTGTATGTTAGGACGGTGGTTTATTGAATGAGCAGCAGACACTCTTCAGATAAATTTCATAAGGAAGTCTACTTTGTAAAACTTCTTAAAGTAGAGCTACAGTGAAGATTCTGCTGACTTCTCTCCCATTCATATCTAAGAGCCCTCTCCAAGGGCTCTACAGAACAGAATTGGAAAGTCACTGGACTAGGAGGTTGTGGTCAGAGTATAAACTATTAAGGAAGAGTTTGACTTTTAAAGGTAGAATAGTTATAAATGATTAAAACACCCAGAATGTGGCCATGGTAATGGATTGATGCCGTAAAATGCAAGTGAAGGTATGAAGTTATCTATCAAGGAAATACAGGTCTTGGGTTTTGAGTAAACCACAAATACCTAATAGTTTGTCTAGAACACGTATGTGCTAGGAATGTAAGAAACTAGAAATTGATATAGGTGACTTATTTCTTTAGATTTGGCACAGTATAATACAGTGTTTGTTTTACTTAAAAACAGAGTTAAATGAAAATATTCTTTTTGCATTTCTAAAGGTGTAAAATGATAAAACTTGTTTCAGGACTATATAGTATATTTCTTAAACAGTGAAATAAATAGTTTACTTAATATTTACTTACTAAAAGGGAAGTTTTAATGTATTTCAAGTAAAATTTACTGTGCCATTAACAGTCACTGTAAAAGAAAGGTGTAAAGATTTTAAACAGACGAGCTTTATATTGATACCAAATACTCCATGGGGTACTATTCTCTAAATGTATTAAAGTTGTTCCCTTTGGACTTTCTTAAAGGTATTAAGGACCAGATAAATGCAGAACCTTTTAGGAACAGCTGTGAGCTAACAGCAGGTGATTCTGTGGTCTGTAGTGACTACATGCTGAGGGTTTGTTTTTTTTTTTAATGTGGCATAAATGGCTAATCATTGTGCCCTTGTCTAAGGCATGCAATATCATCTTCAAGTACTTTTTTGGCCAAAGATTTCTAAGCAGTGTCCGTAATAAGCTCAGTATTGGACTGAACAAGTCTGATTTGAAAACTATTGGCAGGAGTAGCTGTAATTATTAAATTTACTAAAGAATAAAGCAAGGTAGTGAAGTTGGCTTTTTGTCAAACGGCAATAGTCTTATTAGCAAAAAGTCATCATTTGCAGGGTCACAGTGAAAGGAGGCTCCAAAGGATTCATTCTGTCTTAATTATAGTTTCACCTATACATATTATGCAAAGCTAATATTTAAAGCATTTGCCAAAATTAACTTCCTCTGCATGTTCTGTTATAGTGCAGTGAATTGCAGCAGCTTTTTATGTCTTGCTGCTTTTGTGTGCCATAATAATCTGTAATTATGGGTTTGCTGCAAATGCTGTAGGGTTTGTTTAATCTGATGATCTGAAAAGACAACCTTGAATAGATTTATTTAAATGAATGATAGTTACCCAATGCATTAGAAGCATTGATATCTTCATTTTGCATTTTCTCACAAGGCTAGTTATTTTAGAATTTCATTTTTAATTTCTAAATTAGAGAATTTCATGTTTTTTATATCTAAGTATATATGTAGAAAATATGTATGTTCAATAGCTTATGATTCAAAATAAATCTAAGTAAACCTAACTGCCAAATTAACAAGTTGAAAGGTGTTTTTTTTTTAATCCTTTTATATTTACAGATATCCTGAATTTAGCGAAGCAGTTTAGGAAAGAAAATGCTTTTACCTACTTCTGAAATCTAAGTTCATTTGTTAAATGTTCTTGGTGTTAGTAATTATGACATTTGTGAACAAGCTCACTAAACTGCATTCTGACTGTCTCTTTCCTTGAGGGGAGCATGTATGGGACGGACAGGACCTAGACTTGGGTCCTATTTTAGGGAAGGAGTTGGCTCATTCTTACAGTTTAGTTATAGGCAAGTTTGCAAAAGGAACTCATAAAACCTTTGTGACTTACAGTGCTCTCAAAATTGATTTGTATTGTTTCAGTTATATCAGGCTTTGTATATGAGTTTTCAGTTCATCTTTACCAAAAACCCCATGTTATCCTTAGAGAAAAATGGAGTTTAAGAAGTTTTATGTGACTTGTCCATGATCACAGAAGAAGCCAAAGTTAGAAATTCTTCTCTTTTCTATAGTCTGTTTCTATTTAATTACACTCTTTTGCTTCTTGAGAAATGTTCTGCAAAGATTCACTGCCTAAATGAGTCACCTGTTTGTCACTCAAAAGGAAGAAGGGAAAAAAGTTTTCCTGCATCAAAAACTTAATTTAATCATATTTTTCTATTACTATTTAAAACATGGCTTAGTTTATTTATTTTTTCAATGCTTAGTTTAAATGAGTTTTTCCAGTTGATCTTCACCATTTATTAATTTATGCTAAGTACTACTTTTTTGTCTCTGTATGCAGAAAAAAACTTTTTTGAATGCATTGTTTCCTTATGTCAAAGTAATTTGCCAAAAGAAAAGGACAGTTTAACAAAAGAGAAAAATATGGATATTTGAGTTGTGATAAAGATGAAAATAACACTGCCGCAATGTGATATCTTCTGTGGCAAATCCCTGAACTTGTGAACACATTTGTCTTCTTGTGCAAAATGAGAAGTATTGGCTAGTTTATCTGCAAGGCCTCTTACATTTGGAACACTCATTATATTTTAAGTTACAATTAGAGAATTAAAAGACAGACACTAGATTCAGATTACCCGTTTCTCATCATTTAGTGACATATCTTTTTGCTTTACCATAATAGGTCTTGAAAATGTAGGATTGAATTAAGATTAGTCACTTAGTTTGTTATCTAGTGTTAAAATAGCTCATTTTCAGAGCTAGCCCTAACTATAATCAAAGAACAGCTTGATAAAACTGGAACTTTTTAGGTAAATTGAAGAATGTTTATATATACATATATATAATAAAACTTGATTGATTATGGAAGAAGATTAAAATTTTGACACAGTAACATTTCCAAATCAATAAAAGTCCAAAGAAAATTGTTCTTTTTTATATTCAAAATAATGAAGAAGATGTTATTGGTATTAATGGCATAGCTGCTGACTTCTTGCTTACTTTTTGCCTGTACCCAGGAGTGTCAGTTCTGAATCTTCCAGGCTATAGCCTGGAATATATGACACTATTTGTCTCTCTTGCCTCTTTTTAAGTAACCATACCAACAATGTACAACTTGGTTCCCTTATGAACTTTTAAAACTTGAGTGTACTCTCTTTCTTTTTCCCTTTACTCTCCTTCTGTGTTATTTGTCTTCCTTCCTCCCTCCCCTCCATTTTCCTCTTCCTTCAGGTCCTGACGTTAGGCTCCTTGCCTCTTCAGGCCTCTTACTGCTATATTCTTTGAGTTTTCTGTTTTTAACATTTCCTATGGGTTGTTTTTTTTTTTTAAGTTATTCATATAGATGTACTCCTTACCTGTTTACTGCCTTAGAAAAATAAGCAAGCCATAAATATTTTTCCTTTAAAATTTCCTTGGCATATGCAGGCTACACTGACTCACTGTTTAAATTGATCCTGACTCCTGAAGTTTAGTTGAAAGATCACTTTTTTCTGACACTTTTACATCATCCATATAAGCCATAGTTAAATGACATTTAAGGCATGTTACAAACTATGTCTTTGCATCTCCTGATAAGATAAGAAACTTTATCAGTTGGATTTCGTTGACTTTTTAATCTGGGAGCAAAGCTATTTCACATGTTAAAACACTTTTGAACCTTCTTTGAAGGTATGATGTACATTTAAGGGCCTCAATTTAAATCATTAATATGAATCCATAAGCAAAAATTTTAAAAATGGCTTTCTTATAAAAATTAACAAAACTTTATCTGAGTAGTTTTCTTCTTCTTTGCCATCATTCTTGTAGTTTATATGCTACATTGAAAATATTTCCTCAAATATTTGCTGTAATATTTGAATGTGATTTTGATAATGTGATGGAATCCCTGTTTGCTGTTTCATTATTATATGACTCTCTAGGAAGCAGCAGTATTCTCACTCACTTATATTTTTTCTTTATTCCTAGTGAAAACTCAAATGCAGCAAGGATTAATCTCCATAGCTGCCCGCACTGTTATTACACATCTGGTGAATCACTTGGGCCATTATCCAATGAGTGGTGGTCCTGCTATGTTAACAAGTCAGGTGTGTGAGAATCACGACAATCATTACAGTGAAAGCACTGAACTTTCCCCTGAACTCTTCGAGAGTCCAAATATTCAGTTCTTTGTGTTAAACAATACAACCTTAGTGTCCTGTATCCAGATCAGAGCTGAAGAGAGTATACCTGGAGGAGGTTTATCTGCTGGTCTTGCATCAGCCAATTCAAATGTCAGAATTATAGTACGTGATCTTTCTGGAAAATATTCATGGGATTCTGCCATCCTGTATGGACCACCTCTTGTAAGTGGTCTGTCAGAACCTACATCTCTCGTACTTTCATTGTCTCACCAAGAGAAGCCAGAAGAGCCTTCTGCATCTCATGAATGCTTAGAAGATATAACAGTTAAAGATGGGATTTCCCTCCAGTTTAAAAGAAGTTTTAGAGAAACTGTACCAACTTGGGACACAATAAGAGATGAAGAAGATGTTCTTGATGAGCTTTTGCAGTATTTAGGTGTAACCAGTCCTGAATGCTTACAGAGAACTGGAGTCTCACTTAATATCCCTGCTCCACAGCCTGTGTGCATTTCTGAAAAACAGGAGAATGATGTTATTAATGCTATCCTTAAGCAGCATACAGAGGAAAAAGAATTTGTTGAGAAACACTTTAATGACTTAAACATGAAAGCTGCAGAACAAGATGAACCAACACCTCAGAAACCTCAGTCAGCATTTTATTATTGCAGATTGCTTCTTAGTATATTGGGAATGAATTCCTGGGACAAAAGGTAAGCATAAAGGACAGGTTTTTCCTTTTTTAAAAGAAATATTAGTCTTATTCATCTTACGATCAGCATTTTAGTCTCCATTCTTTCCATCACTAAATTTTACCTACCAATTAGTTCTTTGACCAGTAGGCAGATTTTCTTTCTTTTTTTAGTCCACTGAGTCATAATCAGGTTTCAGAGGAATAAGAAGATAATTGAATGTAATGAATTAACTCTTAACATTTTCATAATGACTAGCATAACTGTCTGACTTAGAACACATACCTCAAATAATTAAGAAAAATCTTCTTTCCAACCTTCATGTAAGCTAATAGGAAAAACTGTTTTTTCTTACAACACTTCTGACACCAAATGTGTGAGTTTCTCACACCAGGCAGTTTCAACAATACCTGGAATTGCCACAGACAGGTTAAGAGCTTAGACTGATGAGATTGCCATCTACTTCAGACACCAGTTGCAAGTCTGGGTAAATCAGGGGTCCCCACAACGGATTTGATAATTAATTATAATGACTCTTAAGACATTTACTTAGGTTTATCAGTTTGTTATAAAGGACAATTAAAGGATATAGATGAGCAGCCAGATGAAGGGGTAAGTGGAGTAAAGTCTGGAAGGATTCCAAGTGTGGAAATTCTGTCCCTGTGGAGTTGGGGTGTGCCACCCTCCCAGCACAGTGAATGTGTTCAACCAGGAAAGCTCTCTGGATCCCGTTGTTGAGGAATTTTTATGGAGGTCCTACCGTGTATGCATAATTGATTATTAACTCAATTCTCTAGTTGTTCTCTCTCCTCAGAGGCAGGGTTGAAAGTTTCAAGCTTGCTCTTTCTGGTGGCTTACTCTTCTGGTGATGAGACACCATCCTGAAGTTAACGAGACCACCACCGAGAGTTACCTTATTAGAACAAAATTAAAAGGAAACTCCAGAGGTTTTAGGAAGTCTGTGTAAGACTTTACTGTCACCTCCTATACTCAGGAAATTACAAGAGTTTTAGGAGCTCTGTTTAAGGAATTGGGGACACAGGCCCAGTGTATATTTCTTACTGTGTCATATAAGCCTAATTTTTTTATTTTTTAGACAAACAGTGATATGATACTTTCTTGTTTGTATCAAAGAAATTAACTCAGGATTTAGCATCAAATCACAGAAAGAATTTAGATTTAATTTTTTAATGTTATTTAATGTTGTTTTCTTTCATGCATATTGCAAAACCTCATTAAAAACAGAGTTTTGTAGGAAGTTAAGTAGGAGTTAAATGAAAAGGCATGAGACTTAAATCAGAAGATCCAGGTTAGAGAAACTTAAACTTTGAGCCTCGGGCCACAGTCTGCAGATTGAGGAAATAACTCCTACCTCACATGATGGTGAGAATTAAATTAGACAATGTAAATAAAATAGTAAAACTGTACACTGTAGAAGTATAAGTTGTAACTGTAAACTATACAAGTATAAGCATTATTAGCATACATTTATTTTTTTAATTTCTGTAATACTAAAAGCTTATAGGGAAGTGAAAGAAGAAATGTTTTTATATATATAATGTATTTTCAGTTTATAGTAGGGCAGCTCAGATATAACTGTATGAATAAATCTTAAAGTAAGTCAAATGCATGTGAAGCATTAAATTGGAATTCTGCTTGCTTACTTAGTGTTTATAATCTTACTTGGTTTAAATACTTCCATTTATTAAAAGAGTATATCCTCTGCCTTATGGGAAAGCCAGGTTATATCAGGATCACAATTTGGTATGTCCAGTACAGGTAATTGCTACTAATTTAAATTTATTCTACTCTTTTCGGAGAAGGCAATGGCACCCCACTCCAGTACTCTTGCCTGGAAAATCCCACGGACGGAGGAGCCTGGTGGGCTGCAGGCCATGGGGTCGCTAAGGGTCGGACACGACTGAACGACTTCACTTTTAAGCATTGGAGAAGGAAATGGCAACCCACTGCAGTGTTCTTGCCTGGAGAATCCCAGGGATGGGGGAGCCTGGTGGGCTTCTGTCTTTGGGGTTGCACAGAGTCGGACACGACTGAAGCGACTTAGCAGGAGCAGCAGCTACTCTCTTTTGCTGTTCAATGGCCCATATATTGTTTCTTGAGAAAAATTAGAGAAGGGAAGCTCTGTTTTACTTTCATGAATGTAATTTATATATATTCAGCACCTGTATAATGTATTTGGTAAAATTTACACACTGCTTTGTAGTGTAAAAAATACATATAATGTAAAACAAGAAAGAAACAAATTCCATCTGGATTACGCATCCCTATCTGGTAAAGAGTTAGATTTTGTGAAATGTTTCCCATGAGGGACAACTTTCTCACACATTTTTATGAAACTTGAGAAGGAACCTACAAAGTACTTTTATCCATTTTTCTGAATATGAGTTTGGGAAACTCACAGCATCTTCAAAGAGACATTTACATAGTCAAGAGAATAATGATGCACAAGCAGAATTGTATGAGGGACTCAGTAGAAATAATGACATATATTCTTTACATTTTTTGTAGGGTCTGTTCTCCTTTGTGTTAGAAGTATGAAAAAGCAAGGACAGTGTAACAATTGCATGAGTAGAGTGGAAAGTGTTTCCGGGACTGTCATGTCATTCACTGCAAAGATGATGAACATGTTTATGAATCTCTCTATTTAGGAGGAGCTTTCATCTCCTGAAGAAAAATGAAAAACTACTTAGAGAACTTAGGAACTTGGACTCAAGACAGTGGTAAGTCATTGAGAAATTTTCAAGTCTATATCTAGCACATCATCTGTTTCTATTCATGATGTGAATAATAATGTATTGTGTATTGAATTATAAATTTCTGAACACAAACTTTTTTCATTTACGCATATCTTAGAAATAATAAGCATTTTTTAAAAATGTACAGCTACATTTAAATGTTTGGTATCTTTGGATTATTTATATCTTTTTATATACCTCAGAGTCATCTTCTGAGTTGAATAAATCTGATTGAACCTATAAAATGTCCTTTAGTTTCCCCATACTTAGATATTCCCTTTTGATGAGTATAAGAGGCCAAAGTGAAATGCCTGGTATAAATAAGCTAGTAGCTACGAAATTATTAGTGAAATGAAGAAGATGGAGATAGTTTGTCATATTGCTATAAACCTGATTTCTTTTTAAAACCTTGGATATATACCCATTTTAATGTGGTTTTTGGTGTGAAAACCTTGTTATATCATTATTTTAATAATCTCCAGATTCCTGGTGTATCTGGATGCAATTTCCTGGGAAACTCATACTAGAAACTACAAAATATTACTTAACTGAAATTCCCATATGGTCAACTTACATATGTGTACCACTTTCCTTTTTAGGTTCATAAAAATAAAATTTACAAATAGGAGTTTTTGGCAGTATAGCTAGAAAAACATTAGTAAAGCAATACTTCAGATGTTACCATTATTAAGAATGCTTATATTTCTGAAATTTGAAATCCACAACATCTTTAACATTCACATTTCTTAATTGTCTCAACATCTTGCTTGAGTGGTGTTTTATACTTTCGTGTCTACAGTTTTTGCTTTTCATGTTCTCCCAGTCAGTTTGCCCACCCACCACTGATTCCACTTGCCTGCCTGTCAAGCAAATTCACATATTGTTAACCATTTTTAAAACGCCTTCTCTTACAGCATCGAAACTGTTGTTTATAGATATATATTTCTGTAACCAGTTCTTTAATCAGAATCATTCTTAACATCTGCTTTCTCTACTCCTAGGCAGCAGTACATTACTAGAGAAAATTATCAGAACAATATGATACAGGGAGTTACTGTAGATTCATGCATCTTTACTTCGACAATGCTATCTCTCTTGTTTGGCAAATTTTTTATCCCTTGATCACTTTTATAATACTTTACTTCTTAAAGTAATTATTATAAACCACTTCTTTGTTCCTCAAGCTATCTGTATAGTCAGAAGTCATCTCTATATTCTGACAATTGAGAAACTAGTTTGTAACAAGCCATTCACCCTACTGTCACTATTCTGTAGGAATGCAAAGTGAAGAAGATGATTCAGACCATTCCCACATCAAACACACATACCTTACATCTTCGTTTTTTAAATTTCTCTGTACTGAGCCATCTTCTCTTGCTCGTTTTCTTTGTCAGAAAAGCACTTTTTTTCTTTCTATGCTTCTTCTTCCTACTTTCTTAGTCTGCTCTAGGATCTTTAGAAAGTTACTTCTTCTTTATCTTATATTTCTACTTCTCTTGCTGTAAGTTTGTTACATGTTTAAAACAAAACTTTCCTCAGTTTTTATCCTTTCAAGCTATAGTTCATCCCTTTCATGTTTTTACTACCAAATTTATAGAAAAATGTAGTTTTTATTCACTTCCAGTCATTCTTGTTTTTCCTTGTTTTTAGCTTTCCTCAGAATAATTTTTTAAAATAATGTATGATTTCTTTGGCTATTACAGAAAATAGAAGAATAACACTAGTATTATTCTTAAGACTATTGTTAAAATTTCTTTATGTATTTTAGTCTTTCTTTTTGATAGACATATATATCATTTTTGTTTTACAAAGTTGGAATCATAGTAATATGTAGGAAGTTATGTCTTTAAAAAAAACTGTATTGTGAGCGTTTTCTTCCGCCATTTTGATATTCTTCAAAAAAAATATTTTTATAGCACCAAGTTCTACAAATTTTTGACAGGAGTTTTTATTTCTTGCCCTATGGTAGATTCCTAGAAATAGAATTCTTAGGTCAAAGCATAAGAACTTATTTCAGGCCATATGTATTATAAACTTGCTTTCCAGTAAGTACTGATTTCTAATCCCACCAACATTGTGTAACTGCAGCCTGTTCAGCACAAGATATTAATCACATTTTCTTAATTTTTATGATTTGAGGGGCAGATCATAGTATCTTATTAGCCTATAGTTTTTAAATACTAGTGAAGTTAATATTTTTCATATATTTGTAAAAAATTTTTAATCCGTTTCCAAATTCTCTCTTACTGTCCTTTTCCTCTTTAGGAATTTTTATTAATTGTAAGAGCTCTCTTACATGTGTGTGTGTCTTAAGGATTAATTTTTGTGTTTATTGTGGGAGTTCTTCTAGTTTAGTAGTCAACATCTTTAGGTTGCTTAACATAGAGGTTTTTCATTTTTATGTAGTAATTATTATCTCTCAATCTTCTTTTTAATTTCTGTAATTGTGCTTAGAGAGTTCTGTCTTCAAATCAATTAGTTACATTTCCTTCTAGACTTCTAAGTATTTATATTAATTTTTTATCCCATCTGGAATGTATTTTGATTTATGGAATGAGAAATGGAACCACATTGAAAGTTGGAAAATAGTCTATTTCTATAATTTGTTTTAGAATTTGTTAAAGATCATATCTTTCCAATTGACTTGATATTGTCTTTGTCAAATATTAAGATGTTTCAGGGCTATCTGTTTATTGCTATTAATTTGTCAGTTTTCCGGAGATGTTACTGTTTATTACAGCTTTATAATTTAGTATCTGATAGGATCAGTCTTCTTCCTCATCTCATCCACACACATTCTTCTTTTTGTATATGTTTTTACCTGTTTTTTCTTCCAGAGTTTTGTTAGAATTATGATGTTGTTTTCCAGGGGGAAAAAATCCCATTGATATTTTGATTGGATTTGCAATAAAACTTTCCTGTGGAAAGAGTAAACACCCTTATTATTATCATTCTTCCCATTCATAATCATAGAGTGTTTTTTATTTGTTCCGAGGCCTGGACATTACTTTTAGGGGTATATTTTACTTTTGTGTTGCTGTTCTGAGTAGAATCCTTCCCCTCACTGTATTTTGTATCCAGATACCTTAACGAATTCTCTTATTGATTTTTTTTTTTGCCATTACCAAATCAGAAATTTATTTATTTTAATTAAGGCTAATTACTTTACATTATTGTAGTGGTTTTGCCATACATTGACATGAATCTGCCACGGGTGTACATGTATTCCCCATTCCTAACCCCCCTCCCACCTCCCTCCCCATCCCATCCCTCTGGGTCATCCCAGTTCACCCTGGAATGACTCTTATTGATTTTAAACGTTTTATAGTTGTCTCACTCTTAGACACTCCAGTACTCTTGCCTGGAAAATCCCATGGGTGGAGGAGCCTGGTGGGCTGCAGTCCATGGGGTTGCTATGAGTCGGATACGACTGAGCGCCTTCACTTTCACTTTTCACTTTCATGCATTAGAGAAGGAAATGGCAACCGACTCCAGTGTTCTTGCCTGGAGAATCCCAGGGACGGGGGAGCCTGATGGGCTGCCGTCTATGGGGTCACACAGAGTCGAACACGACTGAAGTGACTTAGCAGTAGCAGCATAATCATTTTCTGCAAATCATCTCCTTTCAAAAAGTAATGACAAAAAAAGGTTATGATTTCTTTTCTTATATCATCATGTCTTATCGCACTGATTAAAACTTTCACTACAGTTTTAAATAGCTATAGGAAGACTGGTCATCCCTGTCTTTTCTACTTTTAATAGAAATGACTCTTCTATTTAATCTGTAAGTAAAATATTGGTTATTAGTTTGAAATAGATTATTTTTATCCTGCTGAAAAAGTAGCTTGTTTCCTATGAAATTTTATAATGAAAAGGTGTTAAATGTTGTCGGAATCCTTTTAAGCATCAATTCCAAGTTTTTATATATTTTTATTTACTTTGCATTCAGCCTTTGCTTTCTTACCTAGTTGATACATATTTATTAGATTGTTTATATTAAATAATTATTGCATCCTTGGGATAAACCTTCCTTGGTCCTATGACTTCTTGCTGGGTTAAATTTACTAGAATTTCATATTTAATTAGGGCATGGTTTATCTATTAGAATATTTTAGTTAAATTTTTGTCTGTTCTCATGTTTTTAAAATTAATGTTACAGCCAGATACATAAAATAAATATTCAGTGCAGTTCAGTCACTCAGTCGTGTCTGACTCTTTGTGACCCCGTGAACCGCAGTACACCAGGCCTCCCTTTCCATCACCAGCTCCCAGAGTTCATGTAAACTCATGTCCATTGAGTCAGTGATGCCACCCAACCATCTCATCCTCTTGTCATCCCCTTCTCCTCCTGCCTTCAATCTTTCCCAGCATCAGGGTCTTTTCCAATGAGTCAGTTCTTCGCATCAGGTGACCAAAGTATTGGAGTTTCAACTTCAAAATCAGTCCTTCCGAGAACACTCAGGACTGATCTCCTTTAGGATGGACTGGTTGGATCTCCATGAAGTCCAAGGGACTCTCAAGAGTCTTCTCCAACACCACAGTTCAAAAACATCAATTCTTCAGCACTCAGCTTTCTTTATAGTCCAACTCTCACATCCCTACATGACTACTGGAAAAACCATAGCCTTGACTAGACAGACCTTTGTTGGCAAAGTCATGTCTCTACTTTTTAATATGCTGTCTAGGTTGGTCCTAACTTTCCTTCCATGGAATAAGTGTCTTTTAATTTCATGGCTGTAGTCACCATCTGCAGTGATTTTGGAGCCCAAAAACATAAAGTCAGCCACTGTTTCCACTGTTTCCCCATCTATTTACCATGAAGTAATGGGACCAGATGCCATGATCTTAGTTTTCTGAATGTTGAGCTTTAAGCCAACTTTTTCACTCTCCCCTTTCACTTTCATCAAGAGGCTTTTTAGTTCCTCTTCACTTTCTGCCATAAGGGTCGTGTCATCTGCATATCTGAGGTTATTGATACTTCTCCC